TGGACAATAGCTATTTATACATAATCAACGTTTTTGGACAATAGCTATTTATGTATGTTTTAATTATTATGTTTAGTAAATATCTTGTCAGGAAATTAAATGATAAAAGAATCCGTCGTGACATTTACGCGATGTCACGCAGCTGCGCCGTGGCGACCATGGGAGCCCCACGTCTACTCCGATAACCTTGAACTTTACCGTGTTATTGAAAACAGCTTTCTAAGATTAATTTCAATTGAAGAATGTTACGATTGCTTTTCTAAACGCCTTTCTCAAGTACATACTTTCTATTGAAATGCAACAAAAATGTTTCGCGTTTAAATTGTCCATTTGTATTGAGGTCATATGCTTATATTTGTTAAAATTTTAACACAATGAAGCCTTCTACCGATGGCTAATATGGGGAGTCGCTTTCTGTGTGACTGTGGTTTTGCATTATTTTGAAATGGCTTTCCAGAGTTTGGCCCATTGTCAGTTTTCAAATGGGATTCCCTCTCGTACGTATATATTCTGTATGGCATGGCCCTGCTCACTATAATAGCTGCTGTTATGCAGAAAATCCATGTATCTTAGCCGCTTGTCCAGGACGAGGTTCTATGAAATGTGTTGACCTACTCGATTTGGTCGAGAGAATAATGAACTTAAATGTCCACTTGTTTGAGAACTGGTCATTCACATCGATGGGCCAAGGTCCGCGAGTTCACAATGTGACCAGTGGCGAATCACTTAATACTTTCCCAGCTCCTGAAGTGGGAAAAATGATACATTTCATGCTGCCTTTATATATACAGTATATTTATATGAAATCGCTGATTAAGAGGTTAGTTCATGTTTGCTTGCAGTATTTTGCGGAGTAACTACGGGGATTTGTCCACTGACGCAAGACTCGAGTGGAGAAGACCTTCGCGGATTGCACAGCCGCACTTGCACTGCGACCAGGAACAGCTTGCAAACATGCAATCTAGTGTGGCCTGATTTGCACATGCTCTGTAATGAAGCTGATGAATCTTGCACTGCCTGCTTTAAGCACACTGCTGTGACGGCAGAGATAGAATGCACTGTGCACGGAGGAGGCGACAATTGTCGACGGCTGTGCAAATCAGCGTACGCTCCACGCGGCACAGCAATGGAACGATGGAGGAGGTGGGGAGGCCCCGTGTGGCTCCGGTTCACGGCTCCCGCGTGCGTCTGCGCTTGAGTTTGGAGCACGGCGCGGGTGACTCAGTCACGGCTCAGTCTCGCGTGACTCATCCGTGCTGCGCGAGTGGAAACGGCGCTTGTTACGAGCGCTCCGGCATACATAGGAAAAAGGAAAGGTTTCCAAAAGGTCAACTCCACATATGTGGGGGGCGGTGGTGCAGTAATTAGCACGTAGTGCTGTGATCCCAGACTACCGAGTTCGGTTCCCGACCGCTACTAACATCAGTGATGAGTGATAGCTGCCCCTCCACCAACACGCACTGACCAGCGTGGTGAAGTATGGTGAAACAACCCCCTTGGTCGACACGGCATGGAAAGGTCTTTATCCAGCAATGTATGAATCGAGGGCTGTACATATTTTAGTACATGCATTTACTCACTTAAATGGCAATGTACATTTACAGTCCCTTCTAGGAGAAATATACCTGAATATGTGGGCTTCTTTAGAGGAATACACATAGTCTGATTTCAACCACGGACAAACTGCTTCTCCACTTCACACAGGTTCAAGATTAATTTTGAGATCGACATCTCGAATTGTTTGTATTTATTCACGGCGTTTCCGGCCGTATCAACGCTTTTCTCTCCATTTAACGTGATTAATGTCGTTTAGCTGTTGCGTGCCTTTACGCTCTCCTCTCCCTCCTGGTCAGTATAATCCAGGTTGGGCATAGAGGTCATGGAGAGAGAAGCGTTCATACGGCGGGAAACGATCTTAATGATCTTAACGTGATTAATGTCGTCTGTTGAGATGATTAATGTTGATGTAATTCGGGTTCATTTTGTAATTATTGATTAGGGTATCAGTATCCCACTGGTCAAAATCTACAAATGCCCTTCTCCTCTAAACCTAAATCAATACGATGCTCAGAAACTGTAGTTTCTGGGTTACACCTCGCTGGCAAATACAGCCGCAGGATAATTACGAACAATGGCCTCCCTCGAGGCTTGGTACGACTACCGTCATGATTAAACATTATACACAAATGACCTGCCGTGTACATTCAGTATCTTTCAAGTTCATATGTACAGATCACATAGCCCTTGCAGCACATCGCATAAACCGTGAAAACATTAATAATACTCCAACATCTCATCTAATCTTATTGGAGGCATATTTCCATCACTGAGCCTGACCAAATCCCTCCAAAACCACCATCGGCGCTTTCCACCTGAACAATCATGCAGCAGATGCTCCCCTTGACGTGTCCTGTGGTAGCTCGGTGCGCTATGACCTCACTCCAAGATACGTGGGGGTTATCGTGGATAGAAGCCTGACCTTCAAACCCCACCTAAACAAATCTTTGAAAATACCAAATAAAAAATCACCACGCTACATTAAACTTGCAGAAACAACCTGGGACGCCTCCGCTGATGCGAACTGCAGCCCTCTCACGGATCTACTCAGTGGCAGGTATTGTCCTGCAGTCTGGTCCAGGAGCTCGTACACAAAACTCCAAGATTCATGGTTGAATAACGTCATGCATATCATAACGGAAAACAATGAAACGAACACCATTTCTCTGGCCATCTGTTCTGGTGAACGTTCTGCCACGAAATATCCAGAGACATCGCACAAACTGCAAGGGAGGTTACACGTTGTTTTGCCAACGACAACAAGCTACCCATCAAGCAACACTTCAACCATGTACCTCGGCATCGTCTCAAGTCGCGATTCCCCTTCTGGGATTGCGCTGTCACCATTCTGAGTTCTCACCCATATCCGGAAGAAAAAAAAACATTGGAGAACCAAGTGGCACACGGACGTCCAGACAACAAACACCCAATTCAAGACCCAACATCGCATCTACTGCTTTTGACATCCCTCCTCTAAGACACCGGTGGAACCATCAACCGCATCAGAACACAAAGAGGCCGATAAGCACACCTCCTTGATAAATGTGAAATTAAAGACAAACCAAAGTGCGACTGTGGCTATGACACCAAATACATATAAAATAGAGTCGGCCATTGTAGTCTGCGTAGGAATGGGAAGACCACACAGACCCTCTTCTGAAGCCCGTTTAGAGCTCGCAGACCTCGACATTGCCATTTAGCTCCTGAACATAGAGCAGCAGGAGCTGAAGGAGGGTTGTGATACGTGACTTCATCCAGTCTCAACTGCTGCCAGCGGCACGAGAATAATGTCTCTAGCCAGCCAGGTCACTCGTGCGTGTAGTGCGAGTTCATTCTGGCGAGCGAGAGGCAACCCTTCACCTCAGGTGACTTATCCATCGGGTTTGTCCGTCTTTTATTTTAGGTAAACCACCCTACCAGTTCCAAAACATACAATACGCAGCCTCTAATACCCACACACACCTATGTATAAGCCCGTTCCCGAACACGCTCGCTCTCAGATAGGCAACCGTAGCCACTGCTGGGCCGCAAGACTATCTTGCTCATCCTTCCAGATACGAGGACATGTCCCTTATCGGCCAAGGTACGAGCTCCCGAGTCCCACGGGAGCTCCTACTTTTCAGTCAGTTACCCCAATGATCACATTGAGCTGTACAACCTCCCGACATCAGAGACAGGGTCAGACAATCACAGCAACTTCTGAGATGGAGGAGGCCTCTGCTGCGACAGAGGCCGCCTCCTTGCGCTCCCCCGTTGCTGCAATGCCCTGGCTCGCCCTCGCTCGTCTCCCTGCTCCCCACCAAGCGACCACTGTAACCCCCACAGGGACTGCGAATATGCGACCCCGGGGTGTTATTTAATGGATACTATACTTTAAAATATGTATCTGACGACACAGCTTGTAATGACGCAGGGCTACCACTTACAGCTTCAAGCGTAGCTTTTCTCCCTGGTCAGCTTCTCTCCACTGCTGGCTGGATGTTGCGTAGAGCTGCGTGCGGCTGGGATCCTTCTGATTTAGCGTCTCCATGCATCTGAATCCATACAGCCCTGGCTGTTCTGCACCTGTTTGGAATTCCCCCTTCATGCACGGGTCCCCTGCTAATTACTCAAAGCCTGATCTTCACCCGCCTCCACTCAAACACGGCTCCGCCGCCTTCTACATGTTTCCGTCTCATTTAGACTTACATGGAGCTTACTCAATTTTAGCTCACATGTTTCTTGTACCACGTGACAGAGGGATATAATCGTTAATGTTTGCAAATCGCTCTGAATACATTTTAAAAGTTCACGTTTGCTCAGTCTTCCGGCAAACCTAACAATTGATGGTGCCACTTTATTCACTATTATTCCAAAAGTATACAACATAGAGAATACGGTCAACACTTTATGAAAGTCTTATTTTAGTTTCATAAAGTATATTTACCAATGAAAATCCCCTGTGAGATAAAAATAGGACCGCAATCTGTGTTTATATTGAAGCGTGACAAATGAACATTGCACTACCTTTCCAACTGATTTGCATCACTGTGAACGTTGCTTTCTTAAAACTGTGCCGCATGCAGTGTATGTGTACGTGTCACGTGTACAGAGGAGGAGCATTACATCGACTCGATATATTTAATTGAGGCTTTAGTTTGTGAACGTTGGGATGACTGTAAGGGGTCTCAACTCCTGATAGTCCGTGGGCCAGAGCTGAACCCGGTAACAACTACGGCGGCAAAATCTTAGCCACACATATTCTTTGGGTCTTTCGGTAAAGTCACGTAGAACAAACAAACATTTACAATTGTTTTTGTTCTACGTGTTCTACGTGACTTTACCGAAAGACCCAAAGAATATGAACTCCCCTAGTCACGAAAGCTTTAAGTGAAGACTTAGCCGTACACATGTATGGTGACCAATTAGAGTGAATCAAATGGGTTGTCACACAATCCACATAATTCACTGTTATTGGCCACATAAAGAAACTGGATCCCGTAAAGCTATGCCACCTCATGTGGTACCGCCAGGTGATTGATCTGCTCCGAGTTTATGGACTGTTCGCTTCGTCTCTCACCTCTCGTCGCTGGTGCCCATGATCTATTCTACCCACTTCCATGTTTTATTTTGCTTTACCAACAGCATTGGTGACCCCTCTTCTTTCCCTTACTTCACTACTTACCATGCCCCTTAGGCTTGCGCCTGGTAACAACAACACTAATACGAATATATCTTTACCGACGTAACCAAAGCCGAAAAGGTATTGAAGTCGAATTAGACTTTCACGTTTATTAATGAAATACATTTAATCTTAAACATGTTTGATAAAACAATTTACATAATTATAATTTCCACTCATTGACAGGTTAGCATGCGTGGTTTCACTCTGTACGGGTTAAAGTGAAACGTCAAGGCCACAAATCTTGTAGGAAATCCCACGAGAGCGAGAACGCAGCATCAGATGATACTCCGTGACATTTCAAATGTCAACTCTAATCAGCTACAAACGAATCGGCTGACTTACCACTGTGATTACCAAACAACAATGCGATGTTGGTTAAAATTGGAGGCTGCTGTTATATTTACGTACATTGTTAAAGTCTAGTTACATCATTGTAAATGTGACGATCAATGTGATTGTTGGTGGCGCTACACAGTCAGTGCTGCGACGAGAGCCGCGCACGCGAGATTCCGCACCCAGCTCTGCCCGGCGACGCCAGACGAGGCGGGCTCCCGGGACGCGCTGTTGGGCAGCACGGGAGGAGCGACGGGCGGCGAGGTCGAGGTCGGCGGCGCCTTGCATTCAAAGGGGGGGGTCTCGGTCGCGTTCCCGTGGGTGGACGCACAGTCCGGTAGGTCTCTCCACTTGACGTCCTTCACCGGTCGTGATGCAGAGTTATTGCAGCTGACCGTGCCTCCTGACGCGATTTTGCCGTTTAGCCACTCGCTGAGAGGGCCGATGTCGTTGCACGAGCAGTCCCACGGATTTTTGTAGACAATAAGCTCCTGCAGGTGGAGCAGCGCATCGAAGACACCCTGCCCCACGTGTGTCAGGTGGTTGTTCTGCAGGTACAGCTTCGAAAGGTTGCGCAGGTTCTGCAGCGCGGCGGCCGGGATGTAGCGCAGCTTGTTGTTATTGAGCCAAAGCACCTGGGTATTGTTGGGGAGGGGGCACGGGAACGTAACGAGACCACGGAAGCTGCAGTCGACGTTTCCTGGGCGAATAATGGAGCAGGCGCGTGGGGGTCTTGCAGCGGCAGAGGCGAGGAGGGAGAGCCACGCCACGAGGCTGCACGTCGCGAAGGGGTGCAGTCGAATCATGATCGCCAGCGACGCAGGCAGCAGCCGCCTCCCTGGATGTATCCTGCGAGAAGAGTGGAAGGGAGCTCATGGTGAGGTAATATGTGGGGATAGTGGGCAGAAGAAAGGAGGGAATCGCATGCCGAGCGACGCGTAAAACGAGACAGGAAGAATGACCGGAAGTGCCTGATTGGCATAAGAGAAGGGAACATGACGGAGAGAATAGAGACATTGATAGTGGGAAATAATAGACACATTGATGTTGGGAAATACAACCAAGAGATGGGGAGAGAGGAACAATATAGGTTGAAAGTAAGATAATTCATCAAGAGCAGAAATATGGAGGGGAGCTATTGTGAGTGTGCATGAAGACAGCGGAGATAGGGAAAGATGAATGATGGAGACAAGAGTGAGTAGACAATAGGTGGGCTGAGATGTTCTTGGATAACGGATGAAGAGACAGATCGCGTAAAGATCATGAGATATGGGAGACTGGGAGATTCTTTATCATTCCGTGACCCATCGCGCGAATGTGCGCGCCGCTTTATTTCAGGCGAGTCCTTCATCAATGAGAGGTTTGACCAAATACATTTAAAGGCACATTTTGCCTGTGGTAGGGAAGTGGAGTTTACAAGGAGAATCCCACATCCAAACATATTCGCGTATCTTGGCAGCCTAGCAGACCAGCAGGTTTGAGTTATGGATCACGTGTTGGACTTCACGTGAAAGCACAGAGATCCACAGAGAGACAAACAGAGACACAGAGATCCACAGAGAGACACAGCGATCCACAGAGAGACACAGAGATACAAACAGAGACACAGAGATCCACAGAGAGACACACAGAGACACCGAGATCCACAGAGAGACAGAGAGAGACACAGAGATCCACAGAGAGACACAGAGATCCACAGAGATACAAACAGAGACACACAGATCCACAGAGATACAAACAGAGACACATAGAGACACAGAGATCCACAGAGAGACAGAGATCCACATAGAGACAAACAGAGACACAGAGATCCACAGAGAGACAAACAGAGACACAGAGATCCACAGAGATACAAACAGAGACACAGAGATCCACAGAGAGACAAACATGAGGTGAAGGAAGATACCGGATGTGTGTATATCTCATTGTGTTTGTGTATGGGGTCCAGTGGAAAAGTAGTTAGCACGCTGTGCTACAAACTCGGCGACCCGAGTTCGAATCCCGCCCACGACCAATAATAGTTGAACATTTGAACCGGTCCCGAGTCTCCCCTAGGTTTACTCAGCCTTAAATTTGTACCTGGCGCGATGTGTAAACATCGCCACTGGGAAGACAAATACGGACGGGGGTGGTGCTGGCCACCCAACTCCCCTGTGTGCCGTGCCAGCCTTCATGAGTGCTCGCGAACAGCATTTGCCCCAAACAGTCTGTTAAGGCTATACGGGGGATCTTTGTCTTTGTGTGTCTCCACTAGACGTCAATAGCACAGCGCAGTTAAACTGACAGCCGCCCTGCTGCAAGCCACACACGAAACATCGACACTGCCCTGCACCTGGACTACATAACAGATATGTGCCTCGAAAAAGGGCAATTGCCTGAAAAGTCAACCATTATATATTGTTCCATTTGAGGCAGTGCTATGAACAAATGTGTTGAGTTGTTGTTACCTGTGTTTGTTGCACCGCTGCCAACGCAGTATCACCTAATAACCTATAACGACATGCACATTAAGTTTGGCCAAAATCATCTAACCGAGCTCAGTAAGAGGGAGCACGCTACATTTTCACACCACCACTGAATCTCAGATATGAACAAAGGTGGGGCGTGCAGTCTCCTGCTCTCAGAAGAACGGGAAGATGACACCAACGCTGAATTAAGGATAATTGTGCAGGTATAAAGTGGACTATGTATACATCTTGACTTAAAGCTTTCGTGACTGCAGGAATTGATATTCTTTGGGTCTTTCGGTAAAGTCACGTAGATGGGTTCAAAGAAAATAATCAAAAACTACGACGTTTCGATCGCAACACAAGCGGTCGTCATCAGGTAAAGGGGGTTAGCTTCTAAAGGCGAATTGTTGGGAAAGAACCATCTGAGGACCCAAACAAAACCATACATAGCAGGGGTCACCAATTTTTTTTCCAAAATCATGACCAAACACAAGATCCAGGTTCGATTTAACACTATGTAAAATTCGTGATCTGATCACATCTGTGAAGGATCTGATCCCTGACATGCAATATCCCGGCGTCTACAAACTAAGCTGTGTCTGCAGCAGTAGTTACATTGGGGAAACTAAGCGAAATGTCTCGGACCGTGTTCGTGAACATAAGGCAAATCTGAAACAAGGTCGGACCAATATCTCGGCCGTGGCTGATCATTGTTTTAATGCGGTGGGCTCACACGATATTGATTTCTCCAAGACGAAGGTACTCTGCAAACCTACTGGCTATCAACAAAGATTCGTTCATGAAGCCATCTATATATATAAAATCGTTCATGTCTGTCTGTCTGTGTGTGTGGACTTTGGCCCATACGCACTTTCATTGGACGGCGGTTGCCCCTGGCAACGGCTAGCCACGCCTTCGCCGCTTTCATTGGACCTGGCAACGGCTAGCCACGCCTTCGCCAAGGGCTGCAGTTTCATTGGACGGCGGTTGCCCCTGCCAACGGCTAGCCACGCCTTCGCCACTTTCATAAGCTCCGTATTTAATTAAATAATAGCCATTACACAGTATTGTTGGAGCGCTAGGGGGGGGGGAAGGAACGCCACCCGTACCCTGCCTCTTCCAAGCCGACAATTTTAGGCGAGGCCGCAGGCTTTGCACGCTACTAGGCCTCGACACCCACCACGCCACTCTGAGGTAAATTCATCAAAGTATTTCCTACTCTTCACTACACCCCCACCACAATGTGTGCTATTAATATTACTTTTAAACCCAACGCGCCAACAATCGATTACTTTAATGTTCACTGTACAAATACTCATTAAGCTGGGTGAGCGTACTGCCAGTCTATCATGTACACTGTAGCCTGCTTATTAAGCTCGGTGAGCGTACTGCCACTCTATCATGTACACTCTAGCCTGCTTATGAAGCTGAGTGCGTGTACTGGCAGTCTATAATGTGGACTCTTGCCTGGTTATTATAATCGATTCTTTATATGTTCTTTGTACAAACAGTCATTAAGCTGCTTCAGCGACCCCAGTTCGATTCCAACTCACGCCCACCACCGCTAACGATTATTTGAAACGGACCTGGCCCTCCCCTAGGTCCACTCAGCCTCAAAAGCGTAACTGCTGTCGTGTGTGAACATCGTCACTGGGGAGACAAAGGCGGCGGGGCATCGTGGATCCAAGTCCCGGGCGAAGCCGGGTCATGTGTATGTGTGTTTGTGTTTATGTGTATGTCTGTGTGTCTCTATGTATGTGTGTATGTATGTGTATGTATGTGTTTGTGTGTATGTGTGTGTGTATGTATGTGGGTTTTTTTTTATGTCTTTATGTGTATGTCTGCGTGTCTCTATGTATGTGTGTATGTACGTGTGTGCATGTGTTTGTGTGTATGTATGTGTGTGTCTATGTATGTGTGTGTCTACGCATCTATTTTGACCGCGTAGTTCGTGAAGCCTTCAATAGCTGTACCGGGGGAATTTCCGTTTGGTACAGATATAATGGGAGGCTGATCGACGCCCGGGTGCGATCAAGGGATGGCTCCCTATTGGTCAACCACGTTATGTATGCCGATGATTTGGTAATAGCTGCTCATTCAGAAGAGGAGTTGGAGGCGCTGCTGCTGGGACTGGAGCGTGCCACTAAGAGGTGGGGCCTTACCATCAGCCCCACCAAAACCAAGCACCTGCCTGGGTATTTTGTACCATCGGACACTCCACCCCCACAACTCCCAATTGGTGATGGGGCAGTTGTGGAGAGAGTGGAGAGTTTCCCATACCTGGGCAGTGTGCTTATGACCGGCTCCAGTCTATCAGCAGAGGTCTCACTCCGAATCAGTCGAGCGGCAATATCTTTTCATCGGTTGCGTAACGCTGTGTGGAAGCTACCTGGTCTGTCGCTCCGCACGAAGCTTCAGGTCTTCTCGGCCACGGTCATTCCCTCCCTTCTCTACGCTTGCGAGACGTGGACCCCCCTGGTGGAGCATCTTCGCCGGTTGGAAACATTTAGGCTGGCCTGCCTACGATCCATCCTGGGTTTAACCAGGCTGGATTGTGTGAGGAGCTCACAAATCCTTGAAAGATCTGGGCAAAGTCCCATCAGTGAGCTCCTCCGGCAGGCAAGGCTGCGTTGGCTGGGTCATGTAGCCCGCATGCCCAGCCACCGCATGCCTAAACAGCTTTTGTTCGGCCGGATCGAGGGGGCTAGACGGGCGCGGCACGGGCTGGAGAAGAGATGGAGTGATGTGGTACAGGAGGACGTGGAGCTGAGTGGACTTGCCGATGACTGGTACCAGCGGTGTCAAGATCGGCCTCAGTGGAGGAGGCTCGTGAAGGACGCTACTGGGCAGTTGGAGGCAGTCGCCCTCCAACAACAACGGAGGGCGGAGGAGCGACGCTCACAACAACGAGCGGAGCGCCGGGTGGCTAAAGCACAGCAAGTTGGCACAGTAGGGGGCACAGGTGGTGCATCAGCCAGTCATCTCGGTCATCTCGGTCAGTCGACCAGTGGCACCTGGGTCTGCCCCGTGACCTCCTGCCAGCGGGCTTTCGACACTTCACGTGGCCTCAAGGTGCACTTGGCCTGGCACAAGCATCGTGGTGACGTCACCGCCACTTAGTGGCGAATGGCGGTTGTTGTGTATGTGTGTGTATGTATGTGTGTTATGTGTCTGTCTGTGTCTGCATGTATGTGTGTGTGTATTGTGTATGTGTTTGTGTGCATGTATGTGTGTGTTTGTGTGTATGTGTATGTCTGTGTGTATGTGTTTGTGTGTATGTGTGTGTATTTATGTGTGTGTATGTGTTTGTATGTGTTTGTGTGTTTACGCTCGCATTACACAAATGTGTTGCTGGTCTAAGGCGTTCCTCGCACAGCATTGCCGCTTTATTATTTCAGTCGTTTACTGCCTTACGCACCCTGAAAGTCGTGTGTGTCTGCAGCAAGCGCGTGTATGTGTACCTATGGACGCGCGCGCGTGTGTTGTGTAGGGGGAACGGTAGTGTAGTGCTTAGCGTGCTGTCTGTGTCTGTGTGTGTGTGTGTCTGTCTGTGTCTGTCTGTGTGTGTCTGCGTGTGTCTGTGTGTGTGTCTGTGTGTGTGCGTGTGTGGTGTGTGGGGAGCGGTAGTGTAGTGCTTAGCGTGCTGTCTGTGTGTCTGTGTGTGTGTGTGTCTGTCTGTGTCTGTCTGTGTGTGTCTGCGTGTGTCTGTGCGTGTGTGGTGTGTGAGGAGCGGTGGGTGTAGTGCTTAACGCTACGCTGCGCTACCAACCCGGCGAACCCAGTTCCATTCCCGCTCACGGCCACCACCGGTGACGATTATTTGAACCTCCCCTAGGTCCACTCAGCCTCAAACGAGTAACTGGTGTGGCGTATTAACATCGGCACTTGGGAGACAAAGGCGGCTGGGCGTGGTAGATCCAAGTCCCGGGCGAAGCCGGGTCATGTGTATGTGTTTATGTGTATGTCTGTGTGTCTGTATGCATGTGTGTATGTATGTGTGTGTATGTGTTTGTGTGTATGTCTGTGTGTGTATGTATGTCGGTTTTGCCGCCGTGGTGGATCCAAGTCCCGGGCGAAGCCGGGTCATGTGTATGTGTTTATGTGTATGTCTGTGTGTCTGTATGCATGTGTGTATGTATGTGTGTGTTTGTGTGTCTGTGTGTGTATGTATGTCGGTTTTGCCGCCGTGGTGGATCCAAGTCCCGGGCGAAGCCGGGTCATGTGTATGTGTGTATGTGTTTATGTGTATGTCTGTGTGTCTGTATGCATGTGTGTATGTATGTGTGTGCATGTGTTTGTGTGTATGTATGTGTGTGTGTATGTATGTGGGTTTTTTTGTATGTGTTTATGTGTATGTCTGCGTGCCTGTATGTATGTGTGTATGTACGTCTGTGGATGTGTTTGTGTGTATGTATGTGTGTGTCTATGTATGTGTGTGTATGTGTTTCTGTGTTTGTATGTGTGTGTATGTATGTGTGTTATGTGTCTGTCTGTGTGTCTGCATGTATGTGTGTGTGTATTGTGTATGTGTTTGTGTGTGTTTGTGTGTTTACGCTCGCATTACACAAATGTATAATGCGGGTCTAAGGCGTTCCTTACACAGCATTGCCGCTTTATTATTTCAGTCGTTTACTGCCGTATGCACCCTGAAAGTCGTGTGTGTCTGCAGCAAGCGCGAGTATGTGTACCTATGGACGCGCGCGCGTGTGTTGTGTAGGGGGAACGGTAGTGTAGTGCTTAGCGTGCTGCCTGTGTCTGTGTGTGTGTGTCTGTGTGTGTGTGTCTGTGTGTGTGTCTGTGTGTGTGTCTGTGTGTGTGCGTGTGTGGTGTGTGGGGAGCGGTAGTGTAGTGGTTAGCGTGCTGTCTGTGTGTGTGTTTCTGTCTGTGTGTGTCTGCGTGTGTCTGTGTGTGTGTCTGTGTGTGTGTCTGTGCGTGTGTGGTGTGTGAGGAGCGGTGGGTGTAGTGCTTAACGCTACGCTGCGCTACCAACCCGGCAAACCCAGTTCGATTCCCGCTCACGGCCACCACCGGTGACGATTATTTGAACCTCCCCTAGGTCGACTCTGCCTCAAACGAGTAACTTAACTACTGTAGCGTATTAACATCGCCACTGGGGAGACAAAGGCGGCCGGCCGTGGTAGATACAAGTCCCGGGCGAAGCCGGGTAGTACAGCTAGTCCATATATATAGACACAGACACAATTTCAACCGAGTAGATGGTACAAACTGAGCAATCATTGGAAGGACGTTATTAACCAATTTAAGTCATAACTGGCTGTGATGGTCCCATCCTACCACCTTCCGATGTTAGTAGTTATTTTGGCTCTCTGATTTTACATTAACAGGTTAAATTTCTCACACTAACACAGCCACCTCGCACCCTGACCTCGAGGTAGCTGCTCTGCGATCCCTCATTAACATGCTAATCTCTCACATTAACATGCTAATCTCTCACATTAACATGCTAATCTCTCACATTAACACGCTAATCTTTCACATTAACACGCTAATCTCACATTAACACGCTAATCTCTCACATTAACATGCTAATCTCTCACATTAACATGCTAATCTCTCACATTAACATGCTAATCTCTCACATTAACATTGCCACCTTAGCACGCTCGCCGTGGAGACCGCTCAACGATCTTACATGAACATGATCATTTTTCTTCTTGGTTCTTTCGGTAAAGTCACGTAGAAGGGAAATAATAAAATAATAACAATGAAACATAATAAAATACAATTCTCACGACGTTTCGGCCACAACGCAAGCAGCCGTCACCTGAGGACGGCTGCTTGCGTTGTGGCCGAAACGTCGTGAGAATTGTATTTTATTATGTTTTATTTGTATTATTTTATTATTTCCCTTCTACGTGACTTTACCGAAAGAACCAAGAAGATGAATCCCTGCAGTCACGAAAGCTTTGATTGGTGTAAAACCCACCACCATCGCGGTCGCTGACTACCACTGACATTAACATTAGCTGCTGACATTTGGGCTATGCCCATTCAACCCTTTATAAACAGTTTACCTTTAGAAGCTAACTTCATTTTCCTGATGACGACCGCTTGTGTTGCGATTGAAACGTCGTAGTTTTTTTGTTATTTTCTTTGAATCTATCTACGTGACTTTACCGAAAGACCCAAAGGATATGGGCTAGGTATGCTAACTCAGCATTCAGGCGGCAGAGGTTTGCACGTCTGCATTACCATCTGAGACATTTCAGTTATTTATACTCAATTTCCTCTTTTGAACGATTGTGATGCGGTTTTTTTCCTTTGCTTACAATGTCCAAATCACACGGTAATCACAGACAGCAGTGTACTCACCTATCGAGTCAATGACAAAACACGCACGCGCTGAATCCTGAACACCGGCCCTGGGGCGCATGCAGGCAAAGTTCTGCTGCTGAGACGCACGGAGAGCTGCTTGCCCAGCACTGGCACCGTGCCCGCTGGAACCACCAAGACGCTTTCCCACTTCCGCCCAAGGACTGAGCCGGTTGATCCGGTGACTCAGTTTAGTTTCACCTCCTCCCTGATAAGCCACGGCCCCAAGAAACCAAAGGCCTTGCGGTGACTCCCGTGGGACAAGAACGCGTGCTTTGCGATAATACGGAATGCTGTGCAATGTTTGTATGTTGAACTGCTTTCGCACCGGACCGAGCCAACCGCGCTAATCGGAGGTGCGGTCGAAGGATAACAAACTAAACACAAAAATAAGTTCTAAAGAAACGATTTTTCAATCTAGATTTAAAAGTGCATAGCTCCGGAGGTCTTCCGAATACTGGAAGAAAGAGCGTTCCAGACGGCCAAAGAAGCGCATTTGAAAGTGCGCGATGCCGTGACCGTCTTTGTTCGATGGCCAGCCAAAAGCCGCTGCTGCGAGGATGACCGCAGTTCGCGTGATGGTTGATGCTCGAGAGCAACAATGTTTTGTGGTTCATTCACGGCAAACACTTTGTGTGACGAAGCCGCGCCAAGTGACAGAGGGCGCGATGTTGTGCAGGCCAAGCCGGCGCGACCGACCCGGTCCTAGCGCGACGGGGACTCCACAGCTACAAACAGGGTGACCGCGAAATCATTGTTCACGATACGACATCTAAGTTACATATATGACGATTATCCCGATACCAGTTTCCCATAACTGTGACATTCTATGAAAATATGTTTTCCCCTTTGATCTGGCAACAAAACAGGTGTTAAGTTGTTAAAACACAAAACTGAAACCTTTCACAAGGAATCTTGTCTGCATTAACCACATTTGTGTCGATGTTGTGCTTTGTTGTATCTGGTAGTGCGAATAAAGATGAGTTCAGAGTTCTGCAAGTGCAGTTGACGCACGCAGACCTGACACGCGCCTTCTCGGGGCTCCACGATCGATCGCGATTGGAGCGCACACGCAAGTCAGTGACGCGCGAGGCAAGACAATGGACTGCGGACAATGAGATCTCATGAGCAGGCCACGTGCTTTCCCACCTGATGATGGACGCTTGTGTTGTGCCCGAAACGTCGTGACATATTTTATTTTATACTTACGTGACTTTACCGAAAGAACCAAAGAGTAATGACATCTTATTTTCACCATGCCGGCAATTACATTTCATGGGAAACATCTATTTCTGTACAACGTTGATTTCAGGTATTTGTCGTAAAAATTACGTCAGGAAATACAATATGGTACAGTATTTAAAAGAATAAAAACAATTATATAATGTAAACAACAAAAACTTGTGTTAATGGAAGGTTATTTTGCTAAACGTATGATACTATTATCGCAGATATGCGGTGCGATATATAGCGCAGTCTCGCAGCACATCGCGTCTGTAGCTCTCCCCACGCCGCCGCACAGCCTCGTCGTGGCGCAGTGACGACGGTGGCCCTGGCAAGCCACGCGCCTCCAGCTGGTGCCTGTCCGCGCGTTCCTACACAGCCATCCCGGGTGGCTCAGCGGTGGAGCGGGCGACTCGCAATAGTAAAGCTGCGAGTTCAAATACTAATGTGGGGCTGACAGACCATCATCCCTTCGAAGTGGATAAAATAAGTACCGTTCCACTTTGTGGCTAAGTTAGTATTGGTTGTCCTATAGATAAACTCGCCCGTAATCGGAACGTGGAATGTCCACCACTGTGACTCTGTGGACGTAAACAGGATATGAACACGAGGCGTAGTGGGTTAGATCGCGTCAATGTGTTGTTAAACCCGCCACCACCCGACAGCAAAGCACGCCAATTAGTCACGACATTTATCATTTAATGAGTATCGCCTCAATGCTGGAAATCAGTTTGACGTCTTGACTTGGAGATCACACAACGTGGGGGAAGCAACGTGCCGACACGTGACAGCACAATTATACGGACAGACGTCGTCAGCTGTGTATGATGAGAGAGGGGCACTGCCAACGCGAGCTCTCTCAGCCATAACAAGCGCGTCATTTACGTTCTCACACTGCCATGGAGCAATCGAGTGCAGTGGTTATTGCACCGCGCTGTGAACTTGGCGACCTAAGTTTGATTCCCGGCCACGACTTGCATCAGTGCCGAGCGATATCTGTACTGGCCTAAATATACACACAGAAATAGACGATACCAAACTTAAAGTTACTGGAATGAACAGAATAACTACCGTATTGATTTACACTTAATGCCGATTACCGGAACACTACTGACAATGTGTATTGTTGTCAGAATGTAACATTTATTCATGCACGAGGTTTGACTGCATTACCAACGACTGGAATCCTTCGCATGACGCGCGCGACATTCGCCATGGATTTACAAAATACATATAAATGTAATACTTACTAACAATATTATCAATATTGCAAAAATACTTAACGAAGAGTTTAATAACAAATCATAATTAAGATGAACAATATTACTAACGTATAAAGATGACTTAGCAAGGAGTCACTTGAGGGCTTCTTGATCGGTCCCATGAGCAGCACCGCTGTCGTGGCGTGGTGACGCCAACAGAAATAGATTTCTTACTTCTACTTTTTAACTGGGAAACGCATCGCCAAAGTGTCAAATCGATCGCGCAACTGCGAGTCTCGTGGTAAAAATCAGTACGCGGTTAAAACATGTTCAATACGCTCAAATGAAATTGGTAAAACACAGTGTCCCAGTCTTTACTCTTTCAAAGTTAAACTAGCGGTCTTCTTACGTATAAACCATGACATAGATCGTTTATATATCGTCTATTTCTGTATATATATGTGTGTATTATTGTACAAATGTCATCGTACATGAGAAATTATACGATCTACGCCTTCACGTGTCGTTGTAGGTCAGAGTGCAGGTCACGAGGCTTCCTCGCTGAATCCGGCCTCATGGCGCAGCGGGTATCGCCGTGGATCCCATATTGTGAAAAATATTGGCAGAAAGCGACGCTTTAACGATCATCATCGTCATCATCGTGAGCCATGAGAAGACAAACACCTCCTGGCCGGGGTCGCCGCCGCCTCCCGCGGCCCTGCGACGCTGCTACGATCTCCCCAAGGCGCCTGCAACACGGAACGACCTCGTGGGCCCCGTCACCGCCACCCCCCCCCCCTTCTCTCGGCACACGCATTTTAGAAGTCAACATTATATATTTAACCTGCGTAGGTTCTGTAATCCTCTTGGGTAGCGTCTGTTTCTAACTCAGCAGATTCCCCCTCTTCGTCGCTCTGATTGTCCACCTCCAACATCTGTCCTGGGTCCACACACTCTGCCGAGTTCCCCCGCTGTGCCCCTGTTCAGCGAACCAGTTGTACACAGATTGTGTTTTGCTCAAAGTTAAACACTTTTACACGTGGCTCGACCCCGAATGTCAGCGAACTCAACAATTCATTGGTCTCCCGTGAGGCGGAATGCCAGAGCTGACAGAAATTGTCACGAACACTTCACCCTTGAAGTTAGCAGCTATATAGATAATAAATAGGCGTTTAGTTAAAGAGTTAATTGTCAAAATAGGGGTTTCCCCTTTTATCTGGCAACAAAACAGCTGTGCTAAGATGCAAACTGAAACCTTTTACAAGGAATCATGTCGACATTAACCACAATGCTTGCGGTCAGAATGCAAACAAAAAACATTCTCTGATAATAAATGCATTGTCCTCGAAACTAATTGGTCCACACCAGAGACAGCTTTCTTTTGAGCCTCGTCTCAAACGGTGTTAGACCAGAGGACGCCAAAGGCGCGCAGCCCGAAGAGGTCCCATGACGAGTGAGTTGTCGTCACCTCGTGCGCACGGCTTCCAGCAGCAGCAGGCGCGTCGTCTTCTCGGTGCCGACCCGGAGCGTGAAGTCGCGGCGGGGTCGCTGCTCAGTCCCCCGAGTTCACAGCTCTCCAGTGCGACCCCACCGACCCGCCGCCATGCAATCCACACCCAGCAGCACCCGAGAAGCTGTTTGCCAAGCGCTACGGACTCGACCCGCAGTGCCGGGATGGCTGTCGTGGTGACTCGGGCCGCTCGCTCCCTGCGAGGCTGTGGCTCCGCTGTGGGGGGGGGGGGAGCTGTGGTTTCGTGCTCTGCTGCCGGGCGGCGCTGTTGGCAGTTGGTATCTGAACCTCGTCGAGACATCCTCTCGGTCGGTGCAGCCGAAAAAAACGATCTGTTGAGCCGAGTTAAAGGTTACCACCGGTTGGCTCCGCTCGGTGCGAAATAAGTTAACATACATATCACTCCTCTCGTGTGCCATGTTGATAATGAGACGACCTGATGCTTGCTTCACTACATTTGTCCCAGCAGTCTAAACGCTTTGCACAGGGACCATTTTGCATGCGTGTAGAAATTGAACACGAGGAAATACAATATTTAATCCGTAGTTCAACAATCACCAAATCAAGCGTCTCGCTATTAAAACTTCTACGCAGTGGAATAGCCCTCACCGATGACTCGATATAACTCTGGGGTATTCGTGAGCTCTTGATTCACTTGTAATTAAGCAGACACCAATTTATTTATTCGCATTTCATTTTTTTTTTACACATCGCATCAGCCAGCCACACGGCCTTCTGGGAGTGCATAATTTCATTAACATTGGTTAAACACACAACATCAGACTGGTTATGACATTCAGTGTCTCGTCAGACAGATTAAAACAATTAAGCTGCTTATAAATAAGATTTATGATGTTAATGAGTTATGAAAATTTTCTAAGCCGTATTTTTAATAGTTATGGTCTTCTCTAAAATGCCACTCCAACGTGTTAGAGGTCATTAACAACATGGTCACCATATAGCTTTTCAAAACAACACAAATACCATATGATCCAGATCAGAGCTTTCATTCTCCTAAACCACGACGAGACTGAATTGCAGAATCCGCAACTGTTCTGCCAACCACTTCCCACAGCCTTATGGAGCGCAGGGTTTGAACCACCTGGCTCTCAGTTCGCTACGACTAGAACACATCGTTTGGTGATACTGCGTGTCGTGGTGCCCAAGCAACAAAAAACTCAACACGTTCATCAACAATGCTGCTTTAAAATAAAATAAATATGCGTATCTTTTTTTATTAAATACTTTTTATTATATAGGCAGTGTTGTTAATGGAATTGTACATTTTGCTGACAACAAAAGATTTCTTCCCAAACAAAATACTTTTGGACATTGAGATTTAATAACAGTGCACATTCCAGTTTATAATACACACTTCACATTAAATACAATCCACTAGAAAATTAACAATGTAAACACAATATTGTATGCACACGTAGAGCGTAATTGGGATACTGGTAATGCCACCGTGTAAATGGACGATACACGCGCTCTCCCTGCAAACGCTCAGAATTTCTTCACCATGCCCGCGGCCTTCAGGTGCAGACTTCTGATAATTGGCGGTTACCGATTGTGTTTAAGTGTTCTGCAGAATCGCGTACACATGCTCGTGTGTTTTAGCAGGCAAAAAATGGGGTCCCGAATTGCTTGTATGCACTCTGTAAAACAAAAAGTAATCATCATAAAAAATACACCTTATTGAATAACAATATATCTCATATATATTTGTACATATCTACATCTACATAATAACCAATTCAAATGTAAGCATAATCTAATACATGTACTGATCAAGTGAAAATGAACCATATTGTACATGTATGTGTATATGTGTATAAACAAACACACGTACGTGTATAAACAAACACATGTATGTATATACAGCAGTTAGTGGGCTGTGCTCCAACCTCAGCAGCCCAAGTATGATTTTCGCTCACAACCAATAACAGTGATGAATATTTGATCTGGTCCTGGGTCCCAACCAGGGTGGCTCAGCCTTAAATTGGTACCTCACGTGGCGTAGACATCAACATTGGGGAGACAAAGGTGGCCAGATATGGTGCTGCGTGGTGTCGGCCTTCAGCACTTGTCCCAAATGTATGTCAGGCTATAAGGGGGATCTTTGTCTTTGTTATACACTAAGTACATATGGGGTGAATACACTATAATTTATTATTCTAAGTATATTATTCCAAACTGGATGGACACTTTTGACGAAAACTAACATTTTCATCAACTATTAAGAACCCATCCTAAATTTAGAAATTTCAATTTTGTCGAGTGCATTTAACGCCCCTTTACAAAAGGCAATTTCGTCGGCTTACGCTGGGGGATCACCAACTAATCAGGGGAAAGGACATCTCCCCATTACTCGTGAGCCCACTCAAAGCGCCGCAACCGTTGTTCAGTATTCAAACTTCCTTATTTAGATGTTTTTTTTTTTCCCAACATAGTATTGGAGCGTGTGTTGTCTGCAATTGACACACGTGTGTGAATGTACATGTGCATTCTTACTGTAAACAGCCCAACTGGTCCTCCTGTATTTTGTTCGGTATAGCGTCTCACGGCTTCTCTCACATGGACAGGAGTTATAGGAGAGCCAATTTTCTGCATGTAAACATAACACAGAATTTAAAGCACAACAAAGTTACAATGAAGAATTATACCATGGCTAACATCAGAGGCGAGTGATATCTAAACTGGTCCTGGGCCTCCCTTTCACCAACCCATGATAACTAGTGTGGGAAAGTATAGTCAAACAAGCACAAACAAGCACATGAGTAGAGAAGCCTTCATCAAGCAACGTATTGAAAAAAGGCCGTGACATTTTGACTTTTTCATTCGCACCAATAATAATAAACAAATTATGTCTACATAAACGTATTTCTATGTATTTTTGCCAAATTTGAAAAAATGATCACATATTACTTAATTGGGACACAGCCATTTCCATGGCAGGACTCTCCTGAAAAAGATGAATATCAGCAAGGCCTTCCCGGGTAAACAAGCATCGCAATCTTGATTTGAAGCTTTCATGACTGCAGGAATCCATACTCTTTGGTTCTTTCGGTAAAGTCACGTAGGTAGAAAATAAATTAAAAATCGCAACGTTTCAGGTGCAACACAAGCGTCCGTCATCAGGTGGGAAAGCACGTGGCCTGCTGCTGATGCAGACTGTTGTAAAGGTTTGAAATGGGTGTAGCCCAAGGGTCATAAAGAAGTGGCCGAGGCTCGTGATGTTAATGTGAGAAATTAGTATGTAACTGTAAGATAGGAGAGCGGCCTCCTAGACGAGAGCTACTCCCATTTCAAACCTTTTACAACAGACTGCCTCAGCAGCAGGCCACGTGCTTTCCCACCTGATGACGGACGCTTGTGTTGCGCCCGAAACGTCGAGATTTATTTTATTTTATACCTATGTGACTTTACCGAAAAAAACAAAGAGTAAGCATAGTAACAATAATCATAATTACATACCTGTACACCCATTCTGCGTTGCGTTCCAAATCCCTCTTTCATTATGTGAAGCTCCATGTCTCTTTGCACCAGAAGGGACAATTCCACAATCTAATAACATTAAACGGCAGGACACGATACTGAAATTATAGGTATTAAACAAATCCAGCCACTCGACCGCTCAATGTACATGTAGCTATAGATAAGAGGAATGTAAAAGTAGTGTGGTGGGGTGTATGGTATGATCATCGACTCCCATGGGGACGACATAAGAGGGGGTGCGCTCCTGAATATGCTTCATGCCTATAGTTCCTGCACTGTGGAGGTGGTGAGGGTTTGTGGATCAATTTCATGAAACCTCCTCCCTTCCCTTGGACATCAAGATCGCCAACTCCTGGCTTGCCAAAGTATGGAATGCTTTCCCTCTGTATGCCATCTCTACAGATATTGCATCTTACCACCACTCACACACGTGTTTTCTCCGTATACTATGGTTTACTTCCACGTATAAAACTCAATGGATTTGGTGAAACATCCCAATATAGGGCAGCAGAGCCTGGGCAATTGTTTTCAAAGGTTCTGGCTCACTTGTCGTCTGTAATTTCCCATGCCTCTGAATCCTGTCACCATTTAATCGTGACTTAAACATATCTCTCAATAAAAATAATCGTAAGTAATTAAGCAACATGGTACTTCATTGTTTCAAGAAGGATGACTCGATATTGAGGAAAGTGGTGGGATACTGTCAACACAAACTGAAACTATTGAAAGAATCATAAGTTCTGAACATCAAGGAAAATAAAAAATTCGGGATTTCGAAAGGGCCTTTGGCATATTTATATTGTGTTATTATATATGACAAAAGGCAATACAAATGGCAAAATTAATTGTGGAAATTTTTTTCTGGCAGCTACAAGAACCGAACATTTTTACGTTGACGAAAGTGTTAAAAAATCAAATGACTAATGCTGAGGGAGTAAAACATTTTCAAGGCAGTCTCACGAGAGCCAAGCTGTATGAAACGCAGTAAAATGCACAGCTTGCCTGTCACCTACACACATGGAGATGTTGCATTTTCTCAGAAAGCATACTTATTTATAATTACACTTTGCTTATTTGACCTAAAACAACACAAGTGTGGACAACGGTGTTGTGCTAAACAAGTTATTTTCCTATGTGTGTGCATCGTTACCGTGGCGACTGTCTCTTGAGCCAAGTATGCCAGTGTTTCCATCGCCATGGCATTGGGCTTCACCTCGAGAGAGGACAAATCCAGCCAGTCGCGTAGTTTCCCGATCTTCCGGGCTGGAAAAAAAACAAAATAAACGCGTAAATGCACACATGATAAACACATTACATATTCTCACGCGTGTAGGAACCGCCAGGTGGTGTGGCATTAGAGCAAGTGGTCGGCTTTTGGAAGGTTGCAAAATTCAAACCACTTGGGGGTTGACTCAGCCCTCCATCCCTCAGGGTTAATCAAATGAGTACTACTTTGTGGGGAAGTAATCCAGCAGTGGCTATATCATGGATAATGATGGTTCCATCTATATAAATGTGAACATGGGCATAGATTTACCAAAGCTGGCCTGTCGACTGTCAAAAAACTCCGCGTATGTTGCTGAATCCATTTCTCTTGTTTGTCGCTCAGCACGCTGTTTTCGCACACGCACACAAACACACGTGAACACAGCGAGCTGGGCATATTTTATGTTTACTTGGGAGGTCCACATGGTGAAAGAAACATGAAATAGACTTCTCGTGGACAAACCCCTGAGTGTCAGGGACGTCTCTGTCAATGGCAAATTCAACACAGAAAGTGATCACAGGCCGAAGGTGTGATGCAAGTTACACTTAAATATTCGCAAAAAGAGGGCAAAACGAATTACAGGCAAATACACTTGATGTCACCACCATGTTTGGGTGCGTGCCAGCCAGGAATCCAGGCATTAATATTTATATAATATCCACAATCCGTCGTACCAGTACACAATGAGTTTAAGTTGCTGTTTTTGTGTTGGATGGGCCCACAGTTTTCATGGAAGGCTCTTTGCTATAACAATTAGCAGCCCAGCAGTATTTTCTTTAACAAGCCCGACTCCGCTATTGATGAGGTCATGGATGTTAAAACTTGTCCAGAGCTTGCCTGCTTAAATAAATGACACAAGACAACAGACAACAATCCCCCGTATAGCCTTAACAGACTGTTGGGGTAATTGCTGTTAGCGAGCACCTATGAAGGCTGGAACTGCACACGAGGGGGTGGGTGGGCTAGCACCATGCCCGGCCGCCTTTGTCTCCCGAGTGGCAATGTTTACACATGGCACCAGTTACTCATTTGAGGCTGAGTCAACCTTGGGGAGGCCCATGACCAGTTCAGATAATCGTCACTGGCGTTGGCCACGAGCGGGAATTGAACCCGGATTGCCGGGTTCGTAGCGCAGCGCGCTAACCGCTACACTACCGCTCCCCACAAATAAATGATACTGGAATTAATTTATTTAAAATGTCAATTGTACATGTAGACAGACTTCCTGTTAAGTATTCATGACTGTGTGTTGTGTGCATGTGATGTGCATCACATACAGCAATACGTTCTTGCTTTACACCCTCGGTCTCAGAGTCCATTTGCCATGATGACATCATTCCTGTCTGGTCCAGCACACTTAGTACATCTGCACATACTTTCTGCCGCTTGCTTGCCTCTACAAAACAAGCCATACATTTGTCAATAATTCAAAGCGTCAATTCTTCTTAAACGTATTAAATAATACAAAATCAAATCAATTTAGAAACATATAAACATTTCCCAACTGTGAAAACTTCGCAGGATCATCCTGAAAGAGGTGGGTCCTGCGTAAACATGTGTCAATAAATAATGAGGCTGAAATGGAGAATGCTGGTCACATTTTTTTTAAAGTTGTGGGACATGGCATACAGACAGAATAGCATTGTCTGCAGTGATGAAGGCTTCTCGTGAAATCCAACACTGTCGGCCTTATAATGCATCCTGGTTTTTACCAAGGTTGTTAAAATATCTTTTTTGCATTTATGGTCATTGCATGAAAAAAAATGCATTTAAAAATACTTACGATTTGGCCCATATATAGAAATGTCTAACAGTAGACATCACAGATGTATCTATCCAGCTGGAAAAGGGAGCTGCCGTGGTATAATGGCTCGCACACGTGCAGAGGTCGCCCTCTCCTGGCTTGTCAGGGTATTGCAGTAAAAAGTGCATTAATGTGACCTCTACGTTATCGTGTTCACCCCTCGCACGTCCGAGTTCTCTCTGGATACTCCGGTTTCCTCCCACAAATACCCATGATTGGAGTTGGACAGACATCCAAATAAAGCACTATAGAGCTTGGGCATTTGTTGGGGCCGGTTCTGGCTGCTCTCCTCTATGTCTTTCCCAAGCTTGAGTTTGGTCTCTATACATCTGCAGGAATTGATGTAATAGTATAATTTGTACTTCCATGCTTTATTCATATGTATTTTTAGTGACTTGCTTAACTTTCAGAGACCTTACTCTTGTATCCTTCATTGTATTTTGTTCATATAACTTGCTGACCCACCCCTACTGGAGTAGCAGCCCGCACCTCCAATTAGCACGGTTGGCTACATACAGTGTGAACGAAGTTCAACATAGGTACATGTAAAATAGAGCGTCATAATTCACAAGATTCATACAGTATAAATATGATTCTGTCTGCGGTTCATCATGCCTTCGTGTGAAATGTGTGCGTGTCATAAATACTACAGCGTTTTGAGAAGCAACTTGCATGAATGATGCGACGTAAAAAAATATAGAAAAAAAAAAAATCTAAATATATTAAGTCAACTTGGCCCAGCAGACATTTTTGTTTGTTTTGGTTTCTGTGGATGCTGTTTATTGCATGTGCTTATTGTAACGATATGCAATTAAATGGTGAGCATGCACCACACACGCACTCCACACCTGGCCCAAAGAAATCCTCATCTTCCTGCACACTTTGTAGCACGCGTGACTTGAGGTCCCGGAAGTTGAGGTGAGCTATCAGACGACGCATCTTCCCCTGACCAACACGGTCAACACACACAATGTTACCCATAATGAATGAACGATGCTTTGTTGGTCAGCACATTTCCAACACAAATAAAACAACATATACACATGCTGTTAAATAAAGCATTCCTTGTGTAAACATATACATACATTGCTATGACCGATATGTATTCACTCGGCATGTAACAATGATGGTGGGGGTGCATTCTTAAAATCTGAATATTTATGCATGCTTAAATTCACAACACTGCTTAAACAGCACATTGAGCAAGTGTAACAACTATTCAATAAAAGCTGAAATTTATGAGAGGAAGTTGAAGGTCAAGCTGAGCTTGCTTAGGAAGTTATTTATAACCATAACATATTAATTTGCAAGAGTGATCAGGGTCACCAAAATGACCAAAGTTATGATAAACAAGTACAACAACGAACCAAACAGAGATCAGCGCAAACACAAAGAACTATACATTTCAGCAAAAAGAACCGCATTACAGATTAAATTACAAAAATAGTACACAAACAAAGCATTAAAATAGATTTTTAGTCACATAAATTGCCTCAGACAAATTACTTTTAAAAAGTTTCACTGTAAAATTAAGTGACAGAAACATCAAATTGGATTTCGATCGCAACACAAGCGGTCGTCATCAGGAAAGGGAAGTTTGCTTCTCAAGGCAAACTGTTTATAAAGGTTTGAAATGGGTAAAGCCCAAATGTCAGCAGCTAATGTTAATGTCAGTGGTGGGCAGTGACCACGACGGTGGTTGGTTTTCCACCAATCAAAGGGCTGCCAGGTGAAAATTAGCATGTTCATATAAGATAACCTGATTTCCAAGTTCAACCTCCTTTCCAAGAAGAAGCCAGATCCACACGTTAAAAAGTTAGACGTTGACAAGATTGTTATCAGAGTCTAATTCCCGACAGCCTAAAATCGGTTCTAGCTAACGGGTTGAATTTCGCAGCCACCCCTTAAAGGTTTAGGACACATTACTGCAGATGTGGCAAGATCGAAGACACCTATTACTCTTCGGTTCTTTCGGTAAAGTCACGTAGCTTCAAATCAAGATTAAGACACCTATTAGCAACATTAGTAAGGATGAGCGCTTTGAGGTTTCTCAATTAAAAAAGAGAAATGACATCGTCATCCTCTCAGTCGACAAGCGCAATGCCACAGTCATCATGGACAAAACCACATACAATAACAAAATTCAGGACCTACTTAATGATGGTAGCTATACAACATTTTTAAGAGATCCCACCGACAGCCTCGTTACAAAAAGCAACAATATCATCACCGATTCGACATCTTTAAATCGAACCAACCAAGCGGTTTTCCTTAAAACCCTCTGCTGCAAGACCACCCAGATTGTATGGTTTACCAAAAATCCATAAAGAAGGTACACACCTTCATCCTATCGTCTCCACTATTGACTCACCCACCTACAAACTGGCCCGTTTTCTGTCTGAGACCTTACAACCACTCACTGGAAAGACCACCTCAGCTATACTTAACTCAGCTCACTTGGTATCATTAATTAAGGACATCTCATGATCTCCAGGTGATTTGCTCGTTAGTTTCGATGTAGTCTCTTTGTTTACCAAAGTTCCTGTGCCTGACACCATTGCAATCATTGAAGATTTGGTCCAACAAGGAGTGAATGCTGATGTACCAGCCCTGGTGAGACACTGCCTCACCAACACTTACTTCACCTGGAATGGAACATTCTACAAACAAGTTGAAGGTACCCCAATGAGTTCTCCCTTATCTCCAGTTGTAGCCAATGTTTTCATGGAAGAATTTGAGACAGATGCCATCCAGGCATCCGCTCTACGTCCGTCCTTGTGGAAGAGGTACATTGATGACACGTTCGTCATCTGGCCACATGGCCGACCAGCTCTAATTCACCATGGAGGTGGAAAAAGATAGCAAGCTACCATTCTTGCATATTTTAATCGAAAAGAGGCCAGATGGCTCAATGGGACACTGTTTATCAGGAAAGCCACCCATACGGATGCCTACCTAAAACTTGACTCCCACCACCATCCATCCCAGAAGAAATCCCTCATCAAAACTCTACACCATAGAGATTGATGCATTTCCGACCATCATCACCTAGCCAGTGAGCTGGAACACGTACACCAAGCTCTCAAGATGAATTTGATATTCAGACTGCACAATCCGTAAAGTTATCACCCCAACCGTTGAGTTGTTACCTGTGTTTGTTGCACCGCTGCCAACACAGTATCACCTAATAACCTATAACGACATGCACATTAAGTTTGGCCAAAATCATCTAACCAAGCTCAGTAAGAGGGAGCACGCTACATTTTCACACCACCACTGAATCTCAGATATGAAAAATCCATGAGAAAAGGTGAGAAAGACAGTCGAGTGCGCGAGATGCTGGGGGGAATCTGATGCTGTGAACAAAGAATCGATAGCTTAGCATCACATTCTGATTCCAAAGAGTAACCTCAGGCAAATTTGAAGCAAGACAAATTGAGTCTGAAGACGGTCGCTTGCGTTGCGATCGAAACGTCGTTATCTATTATTTTGTCTACCTACGTGACTTTACCGCAAGAACCAAAGAGTAAAGACAAATTGAGGTTAGAAGAAATTTGCAGAGAACCGCCTCAAGTCAATGGAAGTAAATAAAATCGCCAAAATAGAAGAGCGTGTATATGCAGTGTCGATTACTTACCTTATCCTTTCTCATGAGGAAAAGTATGTCTTCCAGACCAATGTGCTTACCCCCTCGCATGGCGCACACATCGTGCAGGTGTGACAGCTGCACGCATTTGCACACACAAGCGGTCAATTGTTAACCTTCCGTCATTGATAGATGCATCAGATAAAAACTTACATTGGTCATGCACATCTTTCCAGAACTCCATTTGCCTAATTTAGTCAATTTTCCATTCAAAATGTAGATGGCATGTCCTGCATATGTAAATGTGTAAGTGCAATTCACCGTCATACTTTGCCTTATTCACATATTTACTAACTTATTAAGGTTAGCCTGGATTTGTAAAATGCCACTCACCATTAGCGCGAGTTGTGTGTGAGTAACATCCTCAATGAGTGCAGCCGACTCCTGCAAAGGACGGCGAACATCCCCCATTGCAAACCTGCAGGTGGAAGTGCACAGCTTGTTATAGTTATTGACAGACACACCTATTGCTCAAAATGCCCCCCCCCCCCAATATATTGCTATCAACAAGAATTACTATGCTATGTAAATAAAAACAACAATTTGATAAACTTTGGCCACAATATCTGGACTTGTCTTCATATAAATCAGTGCATAGATTTCTGTTTATATGATTGTGGTTATGGTTGTACTTTATTAATCCCTAATCTCTGCAATTACATACAATGAAACAATGGTAAAAAAAAGTATAAACAGAGCAATGTAATACAATACACTATTTGACATTATTGTAAACAAATAAATAAAAAGTCCATCCCATGTGTTCGTGAATTTTTTAATATTTTAGGCAGGAAATTAGTTTTCAAATGTATATTTTTCTGGGTTGGGACCCCCAGACCCCCTGGGAGATTTGGTCCCCCCCAATGTTGACTCCATGGCGAGGTGTGAGCTGACATCTCAGTGCGAGGGGTGAGCTCACATCATGCTTTGTATGTCGGAGACCAGCGAAGGGCGCGAACTCTGCTGCGCCCCCAGTCCAGACACCGGGGCAGGGCTGCCAGCGGAGCCCTGCAGATAAACATCGCCACGCCAGTGGGCAGCAGCAGCAGCAACAGGCGTGTCTTTACTGCCACTGAGAGACATGTGTTGATGTTTCAGCACCCTAGCCCTATTCAGGAAATATAATTCACGTACTTATTTACCCAGAAAAATCAGTCTGAAGGATCTTCTTTCTACCAATGCCACTGCCCGCGTTTAGCTGTGGCAGGAAACCGGAGACCCCGGAGGAAACTCGTGCAGACCGTGGGGACAGAGAGAGGGAACACGCAATCTGTGTGTGTGGCCGGGCGTGGTGCTGGTCACCAAGCCCTTCACTTGCCCCCACAGTCTGTGTGGGCTGCACGGGGGATCTTTGTCTGTGTGTATACGTGCGGTACAGTCATGTTACACACTGTGTACAGTCACGTTACACACACACACACGGCGCTGTGATCGCGATGATGTACGCGCCACCAGACACCCTGGACGCCCTTGCAAACGAGATGCTCCGTAGCAACGAGATGTGTTCATCTCAAGGGGGTTCAGGCGAACTACTTAAATGAAAAAACTAAAAATATAAAACTTTAAAGTATAAAAGTAAAATTGTGCCTGGAGGGCGCCTGGCCCTGGTGAGGCCCCGGGCCCCCCGGGCCCCCCGGGCCCCGCGCTCACCTTGCAGTCTGCGGAGCTCTCGGGCTCCTTCACCCGCTCCGTCTTCCTCTTGCTGCTCTTGGGCTTCGTCATGGCGCCTCGCGGCTGCTGCTGCTCCCCTCGTCGTCCTCCTCGTCGTCGTCCTCGTCGTCCCCTCTTCACGCGGCCGCGTCCTGGGGGAATCGATTCGCGCGTCAACTCTCAGAATCGATTCGCGAGGTTCGCTTCTTCTCGCATCAACGTCGCGCCCGGAGATGATAATCACGGCGATGATGAGAGATGCGCGACTCAGATTTGCTGTCTCTCTCTGGTTTGCGGATTCTGCAGCTTGCGTAGACTCCAGAGTCACCGTACGAGACGCGGTCATCGCCGATCCAATCAGCGAATCATTAGCGGATCGACGCGGCGGAGTCGGAGAATCTCAGTCGATGTCACCGCGAGGTTGAGACTCGGAGCAGAGGACAACTCCAGTCGTCACCGCAGCCTCACACCACCACAGTCAGCCTCACACCACCACAGTCAGCCTCACTCAGCCTCACACCACCACAGTCAGCCTCACACCACCACAGTCAGCCTCACACCACCACAGTCAGCCTCACTCAGCCTCACACTCAGCCTCACACCACCACAGTCAGCCTCACTCAGCCTCACACCACCACAGTCAGCCTCACACCACCACAGTCAGCCTCACACCACCACAGTCAGCCTCACTCAGCCTCACACTCAGCCTCACACCACCACAGTCAGCCTCACTCAGCCTCACACCACCACAGTCAGCCTCACTCAGCCTCACACTCAGCCTCACACCACCACAGTCAGCCTCACTCAGCCTCACACCACCACAGTCAGCCTCACTCAGCCTCACACTCAGCCTCACACCACCACAGTCAGCCTCACTCAGCCTCACACCACCACAGTCAGCCTCACTCAGCCTCACACTCAGCCTCACACCACCACAGTCAGCCTCACTCAGCCTCACACCACCACAGTCAGCCTCACTCAGCCTCACACTCAGCCTCACACCACCACAGTCAGCCTCACTCAGCCTCACACCACCACAGTCAGCCTCACTCAGCCTCACACCACCACAGTCAGCCTCACAGTCAGCCTCACTAAGTCTCACAGCCTCACAGCCAGCCTCACTCAGCCTCACACCACCACAGTCAGCCTCAGCCTCACACCACCACAGTCAGCCTCACAGTCAGCCTCACTAAGTCTCACACCACCACAGTCAGCCTCAGCCTCACACCACAGTAAGCCTCAGCCTCTCACCACCACAACCCTCAGCCTCTCACCACCACAACCCTCAGCCTCACAGCCTCAGTCATCCTCTAACCACCCTCAGCCTCACAGCACCACACTCAGCCTCACACCACAGCCTCACACCTCACTCAGCCTCACCACCACCCTCAGCCTCTCACCACCCTCAGCCTCACAGCCTCACACAGTACCACCCTCAGCCTCACAGCCTCACACAGCACCACCCTCAGCCTCACAGCCTCACACAGCACCACCCTCAGCCTCACAGCCTCACACAGCACCACCCTCAGCCTCACACAGCACCACCCTCAGCCTCACAGCCTCACACAGCACCACCCTCAGCCTTACACAGCACCACCCTCAGCCTCACAGCCTCACACAGCACCACCCTCAGCCTCACAGCCTCATACAGCACCACCCTCAGCCTCACAGCCTCACACAGCACCACCCTCAGCCTCACACAGCACCACCCTCAGCCTCACAGCACCACACAGCACCACCCTCAGCCTCACAGCCTCACACAGCACCCCCCTCAGCCTCACAGCCTCAAACAGCACCACCCTCAGCCTCACAGCCTCACACAGCACCACCCTCAGCCTCACAGCACCACACAGCACCTCCCTCAGCCTCTCAGCCTCACACAGCACCTCCCTCAGCCTCTCAGCACCACATAGCACCACCCTCAGCCTCACAACACCACACAGTACCACCCTCAGCCTCACACAGCACCACCCTCAGCCTCACACAGCACCACCCTCAGCCTCACAGCCTCACAGCACCACCCTCAGCCTCACACAGCACCACCCTCAGCCTCACAGCCTCACAGCACCACCCTCAGCCTCACAGCCTCACACAGCACCACCCTCAGCCTCACAGCCTCAGCCTCACACAGCACCACCCTCAGCCTCACAGCCTCACAGCACCACCCTCAGCCTCACAGCCTCACACAGCACCACCCTCAGCCTCTCAGCCTCACACAGCACCACCCTCAGCCTCACAGCCTCACACAGCACCACCCTCAGCCTCACAGCCTCACACAGCACCACCCTCAGCCTCACACAGCACCACCCTCAGCCTCACAGCACCACACAGCACCACCCTCAGCCTCACAGCACCACACAGCACCACCCTCAGCCTCACACAGCACCACCCTCAGCCTCACAGCCTCACACAGCACCACCCTCAGCCTCACAGCCTCACACAGCACCACCCTCAGCCTCACAGCCTCACACAGCACCACCCTCAGCCTCACACAGCACCACCCTCAGCCTCACAGCCTCACACAGCACCACCCTCAGCCTCACAGCCTCACACAGCACCACCCTCAGCCTCACAGCACCACACAGCACCACCCTCAGCCTCACAGTACCACACAGCACCACCCTCAGCCTCACAGCCTCACATAGCACCACCCTCAGCCTCACAGCCTCACACAGCACCACCCTCAGCCTCACAGCCTCACAGCCTCACACAGCACCACCCTCAGCCTCACAGCCTCACACAGCACCACCCTCAGCCTCACACAGCACCACCCTCAGCCTCACAGCCTCACACAGCACCACCCTCAGCCTCACAGCCTCACACAGCACCACCCTCAGCCTCACACAGCACCACCCTCAGCCTCACACAGCACCACCCTCAGCCTCACAGCCTCACACAGCACCACCCTCAGCCTCACAGCCTCACACAGCACCACCCTCAGCCTCACAGCCTCACACAGCACCACCCTCAGCCTCACAGCCTCACACAGCACCACCCTCAGCCTCACAGCCTCACACAGCACCACCCTCAGCCTCACAGCCTCACACAGCACCACCCTCAGCCTCACAGCCTCACACAGCACCACCCTCAGCCTCACAGCCTCACACAGCACCACCCTCAGCCTCTCAGCCTCACACAGCACCACCCTCAGCCTCTCAGCCTCACACAGCACCACCCTCAGCCTCTCAGCCTCACACAGCACCACCCTCAGCCTCTCAGCCTCACACAGCACCACCCTCAGCCTCACAGCACCACACAGCACCACCCTCAGCCTCACAGCTTCACAGCCTCACACAGCACCACCCTCAGCCTCACAGCCTCACACAGCACCACACAGCACCACCCTCAGCCTCTCAGCACCCCGCGTCGTCACGAGTCCTCGCTGCCCGTGCGCTCTGGGCCGCCCTCGCCATGAAGTGGGGCAGCTACAAGTACCGATTCGTGCCTTGGATGTGGCTCAATATTCTCAAAAACCAGAGGCGAGTGCCGCAAGCACACAGCGCCATGGCTGCCTCCCTGCCACGTGCGAGGCTGTCACCCTGCCACGTGCGAGGCTGTCACCCTGCCACGTGCGAGGCTGTCACCCTGCCACGTGCGAGGCTGTCACCCTGCCACGTGCGAGGCTGTCACCCTGCCACGTGCGAGGCTGTCACCCTGCCACGTGCGAGGCTGTCACCCTGCCACGTGCGAGGCTGTCACCCTGCCACGTGCGAGGCTGTCACCCTGCCACGTGCGAGGCTGTCACCCTGCCACGTGCGAGGCTGTCACCCTGCCACGTGCGAGGCTGTCACCCTGCCACGTGCGAGGCTGTCTCCCTGCCACGTGCGAGGCTGTCACCCTGCCACGTGCGAGGCTGTCACCCTGCCACGTGCGAGGCTGCAACACGACTGGACTTGCGGCTAACGCGGCCGTAGGTCGCCTCCTCCTCCTCCTCATCGTGACCGCGAGCCAAGTCGTCGTCAGCTGCGGGATTCAGGATTTGCACCGTGACGTCACGTTTAAAATACATCGTCCCGAGTTTATTAATAACTCCTCTTCAACGTCACGGACTCGTAATGTATCTCTTTATTGGGTGTCTCCGTCCAAGTTAATAGAGACCCCATTCCAAGCGATATCTTATTCCCCAGGCGATGCAGTGTGTGCTGTGGCATCACCATCACCACCATCATCACCGTGTCGAGATCACCAGTCCGCGCCATCGCCTTCTGGGCCACTGGCACGGCTCTCATTGCCCCTTGACCCGCACCTGAGCACCCCCATGGGTCTCGTGCTCGCAGTGCACCTTCATCACCTTCATCACCTTCATCATCTTCATCACCTTCATCACCTTCATCATCTTCATCATCGTCATCATCTTCATCATCTTCATCACCTTCATCATCTTCAGGCAACTCGGAACGCGCCGCCTCCGCTCACTCGCGCCGGGAGGGGCCATAGACGAGCAGACAGGCGACATGCGGCGGCGGTGGTGGAGCCTGTGCCGACGTGTGGCCGGGCTCTGCGGGCATCACCATATCAAGGTTGTGTAGCCAATTAAAGAGTGTTAAGATGTGGGAGGAAACCCCACACGTGAGAGGGGGGCAACACCGGGTCCCATGCAGACCGAATAGGTGTCCAGCTCTGTCCACATTGTGGCTGTATGCCACCTCGTGGCGAGTCAGGAGTGATGGCTCCTTTGACGGCCACGGGAAGGGCGCTTGACAACATCTGAGTGCGATCCAGCAACCCTCGCTGCTGCTGCTGCTGCTGCCTCCTCGGTGCTGGACTACAGGCCACGTCAGGCCGACAGAGCCACCACCCCCACGTCCTCCACGACGCGGGTTTGACCCGACGTGTTCCCACCGCTTGTGAACAAGCGCCGCATCCGGGATCACGTTTGGCTCCTGGTCCCAGCGCCGTCGACTGCAGAGGTCCCAACCTCCCTGGCGGGCCCCGTCAGCCCCAGAAGCGTGTTCGCGGACCTCAGTGCACTGACGAGAAAGTGAATTTAAACTCTCAAGTTGCAGGATCTGCCCGAGTTCCGCGTCTACCGGTGGCCCACACAGCGCAAGCGGGGGACGCGCGTGTTCATTCACAGCGCTTGTTGCAAATAGACATACTACAGATACATGCACATATGATACGCTTCCTTATATTTGTGTGTTTTACACATCTCATCATCCACACGGCCTTCTGGGAGTGCATATTGTCAGAATCATTTGTGTAATACAAGCAACACTTCATTTTCATGGGGAGAGACAAATAATGGGGAGGCATATTGTCCATTCCTTAATTGTTACTTTTATTCTCCACAACGACGCATCATACTTAGTTCATGCTAAAACGGAATCCTAAATGTAACACGTAGGCTTTCGCGGCCGATATCAATCATAATTGATCATCGATGCTGCCTGTAACTACCAGCGAAATGTCGCGACCAGTTGTCAGGTGCGTGCGGACCGCTCCACACACCGGCCGTGCTGCTGGAGCAGTCGCACACTGGGCACGTTCGACTCACGTGACAACTTTATCTAGTGACTGGGTCGGCTGGAGGAGGGTTTACGACACATTTTACTGATACGATCTTACCCAAATTGTAATTACAAATCGACAATGCACCCTTGCTCTTTAGTGAACACGTGTGTGTGTGTGTGAGAGAGAACAGGACGCTGCGTGTGGTGTGTGCACGAGGTGACGGGGAGCAGCTGGGCCATGGCGAGGTGGCAGCACAGCTGCTATCACTTCTCCAGGCCCTGAATAGTACGTGCATAGCTCGGAATATTCCTTTACTAGCTTGTTTGCCCGTCCTCGGACGGAAGCTGTAATATTTACGAAAACATTGTCCGGAGTATAATTGTATATTGTATACATTTAATGGCAGTGAATCTTGCACGAAAGTGTGTCATCAAACACTTCACCGCATTTCGTTGTCGCAATGTATTAATGGCAGTGATTCTTGCCCAAAACTGTCATAAAAGCACTAGATATACTTCAATTTGTTCAAATTCACTGTTTTGATACTTTATTCTTTTCTGCTTTCGGTCGCTGGGGTTGAAATAAATTGGATTGCAATACAATATCTGGAAAATCACCGAGAAATGTCTGTTTTACCATAATGTAGAAGCATAAATTAGACTTACCTTTTGTCTCAAGTGCTGAAGAAATAAATAAAGACACCAAATCCATGTTGTTGCTGCGTAGAATTATTTATTAGATTCACTTTCAATAAAGAAACGTCAAACTTAAAGCGAATTTGCGAAAAAAATTCCGATCGACCTGCACGAGTGTAAAAATGCACCCGCTCGTGAATATTAATGACGGGGGGGGGGAGGGGCATGTGGAGTGACGTCACGCGCGTTACACACAGACATTTCTTGTCTCATTATAGTCGTAATTTACGGTACTCAGTTTCATACAATTGTCGTAATCATACCCCTTGTTTGCGCGAGTTGCTGGAGAGAGAGCCTCCGTGGTAAAGTATTGTCAAGCAACGCCCATGACCGAAACGTGTGTAGGAGGCTTTCATAAAGCAGTGGATTGACTAAGGGGTTTACTTTGACTTTTAGTTATTCGCACTACAGTGAATATTGCTATCGGATTGAGATCCAAACGAGGGAAAAAAGATGGAGTGTTTTTGGGACAAATATAATACCCAAATGCAGCGCCCCATGCTTCTTGGCTTACGTTTCAGTTTTTATTCAATTTATTTGGAATTGTCGTGAATGATGTTGAGCACTGCGTGCCGTGAGGAGAGAGTAAAGTGGCGTGGGCACTCTGTGTCGTCAGGGGAAGCGGGGCGGCCCGTGGACGTGATGCGCGCCTCTCTGGGCTTTGCCGTGGAGCGCGCTGCGAGCTCCGTTCCCGGAGCGGGTGCCGGAGTGTTCGTCACGAGAGGCGCCGTCCCCGCCCACGCGCTCGTCTGCCTCTACCCAGGTGCAAGGGCATTGACGCAACAACTTTTACATTTCACTATAATCTTTACGTTTTTTGTCCGAGCCAGCTTTCGTTGCTGAAATTGTTTAAATAAATGTTTTGTTTGCGTGCTGTTTTAAATGTATTCTGCAATGTGGGTGCATTTGCTCTACTTTCTACTTGGTTGTTTTTGTATTAATTTGTTGCTTCATTGATGTGCGTTGTCTAATTTTGAGTTCTGAGATGGTTACACGAAAATAAACGTAACTTACCACATTCAATGAATAAAAATTTTCATAATAATTTAACAACTTTGAATATTCATCATTACACTTCCCATGTTATGTATGTCACTTGACCACTTCTTCAGTGGGATTTCAAAACCATTTCGACCTGTTCACTTCCATATTCGCTAACAACTTAAGGTAGGATATATATCCCAAATGAATAGCTACAAAAGTAATTTATAATTATGTTTGTTTATCAGTATAATTTCATTTGGTTGAAAAATCCCATATTATTGCGGCCAAATGATGTGAAAATTGTCCCTGTGCATGACAGGCACAGTGTATCAGAAGTTTGAGCCGGTGCTGTTCCAATCGCTGGGCAACCCATTTATGTTCTGCTGCCTGGACGGCGTGCTGGTGGATGGCCGTGACCGCGGCCTCTCCCGGATCGTCTACAGGTGTCCAGCTGGCCCGTGCACCAGCGCGTGGCTAATCCTGGGATTAAGTTCCATGGCGCCAATTCACAGTGCTACACGGGCCTACAAAGTGCCACCCTCTCACGAGGGGTGGTGCACTTACCACTATTAAATACGGGTCATGTGAAGCTCACCATAACCAACAATATATTATACTCTTTGGTTCTTTCGGTAAAGTCATGTAGAGAGAAAATAAATAATAGATCACGACGTTTCGATCGCAACACATGCAATCGTCTTCAAGTGAAAAAATACAGCAGGGGGACTGCTGAGGCAGGAAGAAATGTAGCGAGAGAGCTGCTGCAGTCAAAGGTTTTACTGTATACGTTTGAGGTGGGTACAACCCAAGAGTAATTGGGCGGGGCTAGAGATGGAATTTGCAAGTAAATGTAAAATCGCAGAGCGAGGCAAACCTCAGCTAATCAGAGGGGGGAGAGAGGGGAGGGGCTGTCGTAACCGGCGATAGGGTGGGGGGTGACATTCAAAGAAGAACAGGGCGAGAGAAAAAAAACCAGATCAAACTTAGCAAACTTAGAAATGTAATGCAACTCAGAGAGTCGCCAACACAACAGTTAACACTTTACCTGGTTGATCAACGTCTTTCCAAAGATTGATAAATTTGCATCCATCTTCTCGGTTGAAGTCACGTCTGAGTTGTGTGGAAAACCTCCACGTAGAGGCGGATCAATCTTGACTTGAAGCTTCCGTGACTCAGGAATTCATACTCTTTGGTTCTTTCGTTAAAGTCACGTAGATAGAAAAATAAATAATAGATCACGACGTTTCGATCGCAACACAAGCACTCGTCTTCAGGCCGACTCTCCGAGTTGCGTGACATTTTTAAGTGTGAACTTTTTTTTCTCCTCTCTCACCTTGTTCCCTCTGAATTTCACCCCCAACCCCCTCCCCCCTCTGCTTAGCCGAGGTATGCCTCGCTCTGCGATCTTACATTTACTCGCAAATTCCATCTCTAGCCCCGCCCACTTACCCTTGGGTTGTACCCATCTCAAACGTAAAACACATTCCTGCAGAGGGAGCTGGTAGGAACGTTGGGTTGTTCGGTCAATGGCCAGGGTCAACGGCGGCGCAGTGTATTCTGCAAATATGCCCGACTGTGAGGGCGGGCACAAGCCGGCGTGAGTAGGTTAAACGTTGAGTTTTATAAGGGCACCATGGGGTGACCAGCACCACCCTCCCCACCCAGCCCCTCCCCACCCTCCCCTCTCCACCCAGCCCCACCCCTCCCATTTTTGGATGGACGACGGACGGACACAATAATCCCGTGGGCTGGCGTAACCAGGAGGTTCCTACCAGTATAACCTTTGTCTGCAGCAGCTCTCTCGCTACATTTCTTCTTGTCTCAGCAGTCCGCCTGCGGTATTTTTAAATCCTTTATATTAAGTTCACTTGCTTGCGCACTTACGACCGTGCAAATCTTTCGGTCGTTTTTTAACCCACTTCCCGTGATCCAATCGAGCTGACATTTTGCACACAGACTCGTTGTGCGTGACAATTTATTTTCGTGAAAAATGTTTCCATAACTTTACACTTTTTAGGAGAAAAAAAATTATATTTAATTACCAATTGCTTAATGGTGGCAGGCAATCATCTGACCCATAGGGGCAGCCATCTCAAGCCAGATGACGAGAGGACTCTAGCCGCGCATATAAAGGATTTATAGTGAAAAACTTTGTTTTTACGGGTTATTTTTTTCACCTGAAGACGATCGCTTGTATTGCGATCTAAACGTCGTGATCTACTATTTATTTTTCTATCTACATGACTTCACCGAAAGAACAGTCACGAAAGCTTCAAATCAAGATTCAACAATATATTGGTTTCATAAATTATCATTGGGTACTGTTGTGTCTGTGGCCGTGTGGTGCTGTGTAACGAGAAGTGGAGCGGTGAGCGCACATGGTTACAAACCTGGCGACCTGAGTTCAATTGCTGCTCACTGCCAACACCAGTGACGATAAGCTGAACCAATCCTGGACCTCTCCGAGGTCGACAGGTGTGGTGCTGGCCATACTTGTCCCAACTATGCCGTGCTGGCCTTCTTTCATAACTGCTCACGAACACAAATTGCCCCAACAGTAATTCAGGTTATAGGGGGATCATTGTGTAATGCTGGGACCTCGCTAACAGCACTTCCCCTAACGACATGTGTAGACTATATGGGGGATCTTTGTACGTGTCTTTGCAATGCTGGGTGTGTGTGTGTGGTGCTGTGTGTGTAGGTCTTGTAGTGGGCGGGACAGGCTGGGGCCACACGCCCTGAGTGATGTCACGTGGCTCACTCCCCAGCCCATAAATCCACTCAGCATTGGCCAGTACATCAACAACTGCTCAAATGGTATCTATTGCAAGTGCCCCCATACAGTTCACCAACCACGTACTGTACTTGGTTTTATTTAGAACAGCAATTTAGCAAGTAAACTATACGTCTTGCCTCTACATGATGGGGAGGCAAGGCCACATCCACTCAGACCTCTTGCACTGCCAGTCTTATATGTGCTGCCTGTCTTATCTGTGCTGTCACACCTCTCCCATTGTGTCACTGGACTTTAATTTTAAAAGCAGATTTGTGGGTGTTTTTGTTCACATCTGGCAGAAAAGGAAGCGAATGTGTGCTACCAGGAGTTTGATGTGCCTCCAGCATTTCCCTTGAACCTGCGCCGGTTCCTTCCCAACGTGCCCTACAGCCACGACATCGAGAGGTAAATGCCTAATGACCACACGTGCCAGTGAGTGAGTACACGTCGCTAATTGCTGGGCAACACGTGCATGACGATTAACAAGTGTACGGCTGCTGTCTATTGGACCTTTACACCCGTATTGCGAGCCATCAAGGCCGGTAACTCGTGTGTGTAGTTTGCAAACTCTTACATGTGCTTGTCCTGTTGTTTTTTTAACAGGCCTCTGCGTTGTGTAGTATTGGTGTCCCTACGAAAGATCCTTTCCGGAGAAGAACTTTTCTCCAACTACTACACCCTAGTTCAGTGAATACCCACAGTGATGCTCAGGTCGTTTATCTCACAACTTCCCACATCAGCGTCCTCCAAGGCTTAATCTTGGAAAGTGGTAAGGGAAGGGGAGCCACATTTCCTTCAGGGCTGCGGGTATTAAACTACCCTTAAAAAGACGAGTAAATGAATAACTGCGGCTCAACACTTGACTGCACCAGCGGAAGAGAAGACAATGGGACAAAGATACGAGTGGGCTGTAAGATTAGAATCCAGATGCTTTCTCTTGCTCCACCATTGCTGGCCATGGACTGTTCCTGCATCAACACAAACGCTCTCTCGCGAGCTAAAGAGCACGAGTCCCTGAAATATATTTGTTCAAAACAGCCATAAAATTGTGCATGTTAATTTGTGTTGCCATACTTAAAAGTTCAAGGAACCTCATGAACTACATTAATTTAAACTCATTTTTAAGGGACAATGTACCCCTGAAACATGCATGTCGCCAAGTTTGAAAGTCCATGGCATTTGCAATACAATTTTTACTTTTCTGATGTAAACTTGTGTTTTGAATTACTTCACACGAGCCACTGAAGCCTACACATTTTGTTAGGAAATGCCACATATCCACCCTGATTTGGGGGATGCAATCCCATACATTTAAAATTATTACACATGCGTGTTGCACACGTAGAAGGGTATAATAAGAGTTCGTCCATAATGTATCCATTTAAGTTTGCATCCACGAGGATTTGTAAGCCTGGTAAGCTTGGGTGGTGAAATGGCCCAGTGGTACTGTAAACATACGAGCAGCCTGCTTCAGTTGGCGTTGAAGATCCTTGGAGGTCATTCACAAGAATAGGCCATTGTGTACGAGCATCATTGTCCATATTCAACAATGTGAAAAATGACACGCAAACTACTTGGTTGGAAATATACATAGCAATCATTGCCTCTGCTGTGAACACTTGTCAGGACCCTCATGAAGGAGTCATGAGACTCGGGGTTTCCTGGGTAAAAATCACAACAATAACCTGCATCGTGTAATTTAAGTGGTCTTGGAAAAAGATCAGCATCACTTTTGAATTAACAATTATGGTAGCCTGCATCTGTTATACAGCAGGTAGGCTGTCCTGTACAATTAGCATCCTGCATCCACTCCCCTGACCATATTGCAGTCATTCCAAGTTGTGCACTTTGTATGTGGCCCAATGGCATGCATGCCATATGATGTTTCTTGAATGTTTGGCTGCTAGAACAGCGCCAATTTCCTTTGCTGTCCAGCCCCTCGTGTGTGCAGAAACCCAACTGCAGACCATTAATTAGCCCATAAGCTAAGAGTTGGAGCAGCGCAGACAGAGGCCACTCCCAGAGGTCGGCGCATGGGCACTACAGTTATGCAGCCATGGGAAATCCACAGCACAAGCAGTCGCAAACTATTTATACCAACAGCGGAGCAGTCGACCAGGTAGCAGACAACCAGCAGGGACGCAACATTGCCAGAGAATACCAGGATGAAGGATACATCCAGTAAGTTGCAGAAATGGCAGAAAGTATACATCAACAGTAAATAATGGAACAGCCAACAAATACGAATATAAGATGTATTGGGTAGAAGTTTGCAAGTGGGTTACACTCCGGAAATTAAATAAAATCTAGTTGTGAAGAGACGTGCAATGTCCGTCCCTCAACATTTCACTTGTATGTATGCTGAACTTCTTTCGCACTGTACATAGCCAACAACAATAATCGGTGCGGGACTTGTTGTAACCTTTATGCATGGAAAAATCGGGAATTTAATTGTAGTTTTTCTTTACCACTCTTGTCTTGCATTTGAAACCAGAAGTAGGCCTCACAGGCTGTATATTGCACGTTCTACAAACTGATGCATGCACAAGACGGTGGGTGATCCATCAGTCACCGAGAAGATGTCATTACATACAATATACACTTTAAATGAGATGCACTCAGATGTGCTTCACTGTTCCGAAGCGGTTGGCGAGAAACTGAGAGAAATGCGACACCAAATGTTCATGGTTTTGAGCAATGATCGTCTCGTGACTACCCCCATTCTACTTATGGAACGAAGTGTGGGGAAGGGTAAATGGAGTGGGGGGGGGGGCAGATGTGGGGGGGGTGCAGAGGTGGAGCTGTGCGAGGAGCAAACCTGCCCGGATCATGGCACGGGAGAGTGTACACGAGTGTCTTCACACAGGGACAGAGAAGTGATGAAGGCAAACAAACATATAGACACACACACAGAGGCACAGAGGGCAGGCAGATAGACAGATACACAGCCATAGGTACACACACGGGTAAAGGGATGGACATAGAGACGGAGAGAATACATACATAGAACGCATAGAGACATCAGGCAACTGAAGGGGAAGGGGCAGGGTGATTTGGTTGATTGGCAGGGTGTGTGGTGAGGAGTGGTCGTGTGGCGATTGTAGCAGGGTGTGGTGGAAGATATGTGCTGGAGGTGTGGGCTGGATTGGTCAGTTCATGAAGTAAATTCACATTACAATTCGACTTTGATTTTTGGATCTGGCAAATGAGCTAATTGAGGCATTTGCCAGGATATTCCAAAAGTAATATTCGATGCCTACCAGTGTATCTTCTAGCTACTGGCACAGTAGAAAAGTATTTCCCACAGTACCATTACAAATCAGCCAGAGCCATACACCTCTGCTGCTGCTGCTGCTGCCACATCTGCCTTTGCCATTTGGCCACCCATCTGCAGGGAGTTGGGATCAACTGGGAGGAACTCCCACTTGTTGTGACCGTTTCCTACATCGCCCGAGTGAAGAGAAAATCGAATGTACACACATTGAGCCCAGTCACCACAGGCAACTTTAAAAAAACCGATGCCATCACTTCATGGCAAACGAATAAACTAGACCTTTAAAATACACAACACATCTTAAATCCTGCACCACTGCCACTTTATAGTGTTCATTTTATGTTTTTTATTTGTTTTCTAGTTTTAAATCAAATAATTCCACTACATATATATGCTTATATATTTAGCATTCTGATCACAAAATCAAATGCTGGTATACAAAAAAACATTAAGAAAAGCTAGGTCTGTTGGTACATAACCACACAAACACATCTATTTGCTGGAGAACCGAGGACGAGGTGTAGGACGGTCAGGGAGGGGCCCCGGGCCATGGACAGCAGCTGCGGAGCCCTCAGTGTGGGGGGAGTCTCTCTCACACATTCCCCATGCCAGACACCTCGGACGTTAGCCTGCAACAATAATTCAGAGCAGACACTTCAGGCAACACACTTGACACAATTCATAGTCTTGGTTCTTTCGGTAAAGTCACGTAGATAGAAAACCAAAAATGTAAAAAAGCAAAAAACCCACGACGTTTCGATCACAACACAAGCGGTCTTCTTCAGGTGGAAAGAAAAGGAACCAACAATATTAATTCTTGCAGTCACGAAAGTTAAGTCTAAACTTGACACAATGTCCAAGCTGGAAAAAGTGATTATACAGTTCTTCAAAACATAAGTGCATTGCAGGCTAGGATGGTTTTAGTTGTTTTAATGTATCCTGTTTCATCAAGTAAGAACTCAAGAGACCATTTGCATATGACAAGGGTCACCAAAATTATGTAATAAACAAAAGTACAACAATGACAAATATATATCAGAGCCAAACATCCGGAAATTAGAGCAGAGCAACAAAAATAATCAAGGTCAAAAACATTTCCTATTAAACACCAAAGTAAAAGTGAGCTAGAGAAACATGAACATAGACTGAAGGCGAATATTGTGCTATTATATAAACAGCTCTATCACCAATGACTACAAAAACGTAACCATGCTTTTCAAATGGTCAGTTTGAACGTGTTTGGAAATCCGTCATCTGCAGATTGTGATCAGGTTATTAAGCAAAGTTGTACTTCCCTTTACAAAATTTGTATTGCCCTGGTGTCAAACATGTCCAGAAATCAAATAGCTGTGTGCATGAAGCACCTCTAGTATAATTGACAGAAAAATCGGAGTTGCATTTATATCAGAATTTTCCAAATCTGTCATTTTGTTACTGCAGGGTATTACAATGAAGATGAATATTGGACGAAATGTGCACATTTTAATAAAGTGATTTCTTATTTAAAATCAGTGTACAGTTTTCAGTCATGACAATTGTTACCTGATGTAAATGCGTACATTGCACTGTTGAGTCATTTTACTATTTTGCTCAAATGTACGCGTAATTTGTGAGTTGTTTATGCAAAAACGTACATTTGAAATATCAATTATATTTATTTGCTGATTTATTTTTAGTAAAAAAAACGTCATGTTGGTTCATATTCACATAATTGATGTCCCAATATCTCATGAAAAAAAATCCAAATTCTTAAGTCAATGCTCATGAGTGATTTTAATCTTAATCTCAGCACTCCCTCTATTGCTTCCATCCCCTTTCTCTTTGTCACTCCTTCCACGACTCATTCCTCTGGTAATATTCTTGGCCTCATTTTCACCTCCGTTTTTAAGCATCCCCCCCCTGATCCCCCCTTCCTTTCCCTCACCAACTCTCTCCACCCCTATCCCCCTGCCCATCCAATCCTCCGTCAATCTCCACTCTACCTCTCAACAAGTTATTTAATCTCCAGCATTTCCTCTCTCCTACCTGCTATATCTGATTTCAGCTTCCTTCATCCTAATTCAGCATCCACTACCCTCTCTAATGCACTCCTTCCTCAACTCCCTGGCTCCCCCCCTTCGCGTTCGGTCCCCTTCACGCAAGCCTCAACTCTGGATCAATCCCCTCCTCCAGTCAAAACGAATCCCTCTTGCACAAAGCTGAAAAGGTTTCACAAATCGTCTCCCTCAACCAACAACCTGACTTCATGTCATTCCACTTCTTATCCGACTTGGACAAAGCAAAGATTATTTTCTGGCCCTCATCTCCTCTGTTGCCCCTCATCCCCGTCAACTCTTTTCAACTCCCAACAATCTCCTCCACAACTCTCCTCCAGTTATCTCTATCTTGTCCCTTCTACCAAAGATTTTGCTAACTTTTTGACATCTAAAATAGACTCCATCTGTACCTCCTTTCCTTCTCCATTTCTCACGGTCAATCTTTTTCCACACATGCACCTCAATCCGACTTTACTTTCTCATCCTTTACTTCAACATCTCCACCCTACTTCCTATCCACTTGACCTTCTTATCTCCTCCTTCATACCCCATCTCCTCCCTCTGATTCTCCCCTACCTTGTTTGCCTATTCAATTCCTCCCTTATCTTCTCCCTTTCTTCTTTAACTACTTGAACGCCTGATCCGCTCATGCCTCAATCAGTACATTTTCTCTCACTCTTTATTACCCACAATTCCAATCCGGGTTCCGTCCCTTCAATTCCACTGAAACAGCCCTACTCGCAGTACAGAAATATTTGTCGAACTCTGTGCACGCCGGTCTTTCTTCGTTTTCATTCGAATCGACCTTACTGCAACCTTAAATGCAGTTGACCATCCTACTCGACCCTTTCCTCTCTCGGAATCTCAGGTATCCCTCTTTCCTGGTTTCAGTCTTATCGCTCCTCAAGCACCTCAGCAGTCTCATCCAACCACGTCACTTCTCCCCCATCCCCTGTCACTGTCCCCAAGGTTGTCACCTACTTCTTTCTCTCGACATCTCTCCTCTCGAATCCCTCATCTCATTGTTCAACCTTCCTCATCATTTCTTTGCCGACGACACTCAAATGTTCTTCTTCTTCTTCTCCTCTTTCATGGCTGACCTTGCTTCTCACATTTCCAGCTGCCTGATCGCCATCCAATCTTGGATGTCCCAGGACTTTCTTCCTATCAATCCTTCCAAAACCCAAATTATTTTCTTCCCTGCTTCACATTCCCCTCCTCTCTGCCCTATATTTCTCCCCTTTCTATTTTACCCTCGGCTCATCTGCCCATAATCTTGGCATCATCTTTGACTCCTCTCTCTCTCTCTGACCACATATCTGCCACGACCCATTCCTGTCACTTTCACCTCTTCAACATTTTTAAAGTCGGCCCCCTCTGATCAACAAAAAGTACTCCCTCATCTTCACTCAACTCGATTACTGCAACTCTCTCATGCTCAGTCTTTGCAAATGCAAACTGCCGCTGCCTGGATCATCTTCAATCTCCCCTACCACTCTCACACCTCACTTCTCATCCAGCAACAATGGCTTCCAATCCATTATCGGTGCCTTTCAAATTCCTCACCCTAGTTTACAAATCTGGCTATGATCTCGCCCCAACGTAACTTGCTTCCCTCATCTCATTCTACGCTCCTTCTCGCCCTCTGCCTGATGTTCACAATCCCACCTGTCTCTGCATGTTCCCCTTCCTCTTTGTGCCCAATCACCATTCCGTTTTCTCTGACTTCTGGCCTCCTTACACTGGAAAAAGTTGCCCTACACGCCAAACAATCCGCTTCACTCTCCACTTTTCATTCTTCCCACCTCCTTTTCCCCATCACTGACTCCATCCCTCTTCCCAACTTCCTTACCCATTCACACTCGCTCATCAGTAACCACTCATCGTCACTTTCATCATTGCTTATTTCACACATCATTGTCCACCATGTACTACCATCCTTCTCATCAACTCATCTCATCACACTATTCTGCTGTACAAATAGCAAATTCTTTGTTCAGCGCATTGATCAAGGCACTATATAAATTAAACTAAGATGTTTTGTTGAAAAGAATGCAACACATTAATTAATAACATCGTGGTCTTGAATATAAACATAAATGGGCAATGGCACTTCATAGCATATACATTTTTTTAAATTTGTTATGAAATAGTAATTTCTTGGTTTTATAATCCAGATAACTGACGCCATGGAAAAAGCATGAATGTAAATTCGCAAAGTTTCAAATATCAGTCAGGAGTCACACTTCTTTAACAGTTCAGATTTGTGGCTCTCAGTCGTTGTCACAACATAATTGAAAAAAATTCTCAACCTATTCAAATAAAAAGACCAGTTGTTCACACTTGGTAACTGACAGGGTAGTGTAGGAATCTTGGTTCTGAGGATGATTGTCAGTCATATTACAGATGTCTCAACATAAACTCTGAATACTTTAGAAAATTTCAAGAGTTAATAAGATTTGAACATTTAAATCTGAAGCCTGTCTTTAATAACAGGCCACAAGCATGTATAGTCTTTGATTGTTCACATGAAAGCAAGGTCAATTTGAGCCCATGCCAGTCCTGGGGATTATAGTATCCCATACTTATAGTATCTTTTATCAGTTTGTTGGCATTCTGTTAGTCTGGAAAACCCAAATGAGTCACAATATTACACTGCCAAGTGCAACAGCTATTGTTTTCTGGTGGGTTTCCAAGAGGGATATTCTCATGAGGACCTACAAAGGGTTATTCTGACATGAAAGCATAACCCACAGCACTTCCTGTCCAGGACTACACTGCTGTCGTGTTTCAGCGGAGTAGCTTATCCGTGGTGACAACATTGTTGAACGCCTTGGCAGGAATATGTAATGTTTTATCCAAGTAAGCAAACAGACTGTTATCAACTGTGAGTCTCATCAGCAGGCTGTATCCTGTTAAGTGCTGTTGAATTGCTTTCCACAAACACAATTGTCTATTATTGAAGTGCAACAATAATTTTGAAAACTTGATACGTTGGGTAAGACGATAGTCAAAAGACAATGGTGAAAAATGCATGCTTAATCATCCTAAAACGTTGCATGAATTAATATTATTTACGGGAGTACAAATTATGTTAATCCTAAAGTACTGAATGAACCATTTGTGAATTTACACAGACATGGTACATGAAATTACAGATTAATTAAACTTTGCATACTGGTTCATGTTAAGACAACAGAATACTAGAACAGTGGTCTTACATTTTTAATCTTCTCATTATACAACAACCAAAGAAAATGCAGCTGCCAATTCCCATATGGGTGGCCATGCAAAAAAGCACAACAGAGTTTAGTTGTGCTTTAAATTACTGAGATGCAGTACCGGTAAGATTATGTACGAGACGTAAGTAATAAATGTACGTTTAAGCATATCACCAACACCCAAAGGAAAGTCTTGGTTTAAGGTTACAATGAAACATGCAACACACATGCCACTACCATACAGTATTTTCCTTAAGACGTAAAGCAACTCCAGCACATTAAAATAATTAATGACCTTTTTTTCAAAAATAATCAGAATATTTATTTATACTGGAAGAATCCGATAAACTATAAAGCTCTTTTTCACAGATGTCCAGATTAACTATGGGTGAGAATATGCTCTGCCCATTGCTAACATGTTAGATTTTATAAAGACCTGATTGTTGGTGGTGCTGTTTTAGCCGACACAAGATTGAGCGGATGATACTTTTCAATTGGCCACCACATAGTGCAAGATACTTTAAAATATGACTTGTATGATCTCAAACAAACTACCTAATATTAAAGATTGCTTATACATTATTTCCACAATAATGGTGACAATTTTTGTTTCCAAATACATCAAACGTGTTCTACTTGCCAACAAAGCACCATGTAATTTAACGTAAAAATATGCAAGATGAGTGATTGTACAGCTTTTCTTTTCACATTCCTATAATCACAACATTATAATAGTGGAAGCAAAGCATCTGCAGCATCATTAAATATAAAATGATTTTATTTAAATGTTATATTTAAATGTTAAACTTCCACATTTGTATCCACTGTTGATATATTCAAACATCCGGGAAAAAGGGAATTTACCTACAGTATCAAAAATACAAAAGGCTCGATTCGAGTCTGCTACGAACACATGTAGTTTACAATGCACATGTCCTTGTCGAGGAATAATTCCTTGTATCAAATAAACAACTCTTATATCCCAATTAATGCTCATCACTGTCAAATGAGGGTTGTGCAGTCGTTAATAAGGCTTATAGCGGTGTTCACTTTTTATGTTCATGTTAGCAGGGAACTTATTTGATTGACCTTCCCCACTTGCATTGGAGGCGTGATCGCTTCCTGCCTGGCAGGGCTGAATCGTTGGGAGTGAAAGTGTGTCTACAAGGCCTGCTACAGGCAGCAACAGCGGGGAGCTGGGAGTAGCAGCAGCAGAGAGAGGGGTGGAGGGTGGGATGGAGGTGACAGCAAGGAGAGACTCCACTGGGCTGGGGGTAGGAAGGGCGCTGTTCAGTTGGCTGGACACAGGGGCGGTGGCAATGGGAGGAGGAGGAATAGCCAATTCCAGGCTGCAGGAAAAACAAGACATGATATCGAGTAAATAACACGGGACCACGTGTGTCACAGTACTCCATTATCACAAAGGTAGCAAACACGCAAGTACAGTTTGCCTTGCCAAAACGTATCAGCAGAAGCACAAAAGCACTTGCAAAATGCTCAAATCACAAGACTAATACTGCTGCACTTAGGTTTATATGTATTACAACATAAGACATATCCAGTATAAGCGGGCAAAATAAAAATAGAATGTCAAGTACATAATTTATTATCAATATAAAATAAACCCTAAATACCGCAAATAATAAGTACAAATTATTAAGTAGTCATATACATCTCAAATTGGAAATAGACGTATTACATTGTTTTTCTCTTGTTGGTAACTGAAAAGAATCCACATCCACTGAGAGATAAAAATAACACATCTAGATGGAGGATTTTTTATGTACATACTGCTTGCTTAAATGCCTCAGCAACACTCAACACGACCCTACACCACATCTCATCTTAACAATGTCAATGCCCTGCTGCAGTCGAGTCAAAAGACCCCCCCCTCCCACCAGGCAGCGGTTCCTGTGTGGCGCGAGGTCGACACAGCCCCAGCCTGAACATTGACATCTCAGTTTGCCAGTAGGGGGTGATGGCACGATGTGGTATTCACTTTCAAGTAATTTGCCAGTAATTTATCAGATTTGGCCGACTAAATATTAAGTTATACACATGAGGTAATATTGCCTAGTGTTCCTATTCATACATTTGGTATATAAGTATGAAGACAAGGTGTAATTATCCAACTCTTTGGGCATACAATTGACTGGTTCAGTAGCTATCTTTCTGAGAAAAAGCACGTTGTTTTAGTTGAAAACATGCTCTCTGAAAACAAATAAATCACGATGGGAGTTCCTCTGTTAATGTATTCACGCTTTGTATTTTTTACATTTTCGACCGGTTTCCGATATTCCTGTAACGTGTCAAACATATACCGACACTGGCTTGTTGTATCGTGACCTATGTAACTTTGATTGTAACTAAGATCTTGTACTGTACAATATCTGTACCGTTGCAGGATGGCCATAAATAAAATACAATATCAAATACAATCGAAAAATATAGATTAAACTCTTGCCGATACCTACAGTAGCGTGGCAAAGGCTTGAGAGGAAATGTTCAACAAGCATCCCACCATCAATGATGTAGAAGCTTCAACGAGTGGTCAGATGATTGTTATTAAATACGTGCATTTTACATCCATGTATCTAATTCAGCTCAAGCCTCCCATAAATCACGTGACTTAAGTGTGGCCACGCCCATTCTGAGCCCCTCCTCTCCCCACCCGCTGTGAGAACAGGGGCTGCTCCATCCAACTCACTTCCACTTGATCCTTCCCCCTCACCCTCCCATCCCTGGCATTGGCTTCGTCATTCCTCCTCCCCCTCTGCTCATCCTGAGCCGTGCACTCTTTGTCCGTCTTGGGGACTTCCATCCCAGCATTTCCTCCCTTTCCCATTACTTTCCCTTATTCCACGACATCCTTGACTCTACTCCCTCTGCCATGGTGTACCACGGGTAACAACAAGATGTATTCATCACCATCCTAACCTACCCTACTAAAATGGATGCGGTCTCATCAAAATTGGCAATTTCAAAACTGCATTATTTAAATTGACAACTTGCATTAAAATGAGTAAGAACTGGAAGGACTGTAAATATACAAGAGACTATGGAGGGACATGTACCATAGAGAGTTGTGCTAGTTAACAGGCAAATTATGAGGTGAGAATAAATGAAGCAGCAGCAGAAAGAATGGTACAAGTGCAGAGCAAATGGAGCATGATTACTACATAAAAAATGTTCAAGGTAGTAAGGGGCATGAAAACAACAATCTTGAACTGGAAGATAATCCTCAAATGTACTGCAGCTCGTCCATTGGGAGGTTTGAAAATTAGGGTAACAAAACACTCCGACGTTTCACTTGAGGAGCTTAACAGCAGCCTTCTGGATGATCTTAAAATCTTTAGCTAAGAATGAACAAGAGGGTGTGTGATGGAAGGGGGCAGCAACAGGCCTCCTAGCCACAGGCCTGCTCACCAAATCAAACTAACAGCTATTATTAAGAGGCTTGTGGGAAAATGCAGGAGGGGCCGTGGGTTAGGGTGATGTGAAAAAACAAGCAAGAGCATCAGTGGCACCAAGATGGTGCTCAACGTGCCAAATGGTTGCACTCTGGTCAGTGGTATGACACTCAGTGGTATGACGCATGGCAGTATGCCAACTGGTGGTATGACGTTAGGCGGTATGCCGCTCAGTGGTATGGCATTCTGTGCTGAAATCCAGCAGCATAAAGTGGGCGACTAAAAAAAAGAAAAATGTACATGGGAACAAGCAGAATTTAGGAAAGGTTTCTCTACCATCGACCACATAGGTACTATTAACAAGGTTTGGGAAAAGACTAAGTAGAAAAATATGCAGTTATCCAAGTTTTCAGAAACCAAGGCCTCAAACAATATTTAAAGTAACTACATTAAGGTCATTACAAAGACCCACGAAGACGACATCAAGTACCAACAAACACGTTAAAAGGGGATTCCGACAAGAGGACACGATCTCGCCAATCAGTTACAGCAACATCAGAAGATAGTTTGTGAAAACTGGATTGTGTAAGTGTGGTGCAAGTATTTAGCTTTAGAATTTCTCGAACACAAATGCTCATCAATTGCATTTCATGGTCAGGAATATCGTCTTGAACTTCATAATGCTTTTAAGTGCAAATAAAACTTAATACACAACGTTGGCACAGATTTTCAATATGTCCTACTGTACATAACTTAATTTGCGATTTTACCCATGGTTTGGTGAATGTTTTTATTTCGTCATTGAAATGTATATTGATTTCAGCAGCCTTTCTGTATTGGCCCAAAGTCTGGCTTACCCAAGTCTGGCTTCAGGTTGCACTGCACAATACAATGTACAGTACAATATGGATTTACATAACATAAAACTTGCAGGCTTATCTCAAGCTGCTGAATGAGAAGTGGGGCGTGCACATCACAGGGAACCATCAAACAACAGGGGACATCTCTACATGTGATACTAGGAAGATAACAGGACGATTGTGGATTAAATCAGGCAAGTTAAATTTTGCAATTATAGTGAAGAATTTCCATTCAATTACACTCCTTCATATTGGTTAAGAACACATACTTCAAAGGGATTATTAATCAACTACATTCAATGTTAATTTGTAAAACAATGATACAAACTTACCTTGCATTAATGAGGTACTGAGCCAGACTTATGTTGGCTGAGGATCCCGTAATGATGACCTGCCGATCAGTAGATCCCTCAATGGCATTGGCTATCTTAATCTGAGCACCAGACATTTGACGAATCTCATTGATCTTTGAGCCTTGTTTCCAATGATGCATCCAATTAACTGCAACAGAAGTAATTCATAATTAAGAACAAGCCATTGAGCCAGTTCATACAGGAAGTCTCCACTCCGAGCAGGAAATCTACTTGACTTACACATATTTAATGTAAATTACTGCACATACTCTTTGGTTCTTTCGGTAAAGTCACGTAGATAGAGAAATAAATAATAGATCTGCCTACGTGACTTTACCGAAAGAACCAAAGAGTAAAGCTTCAAATCAATATTTAATTACTGCACAATTTTACAAAACATGTAACTAAAAATATAACGGCATTTAAAATGATCGTCTTCCCACAGGATGAGGGATATAAATGCTATCTGCCCTGGTGTTAGTGGTCAATCTGGGCCAAAGCGTTGGTTGGTCAGGGGCATTGGCAGGGCCAAGGAGTCACAATACTGAGATGGAACAGGGGGAGACAAATATAATTAGTTAAAGTAGAATAGATAACATTTTACTTACATCATTTGGAATGCTGATTTCGTGTGTGCTGATTTGGCTATTCGAGTCAACACCTGCATGATAAAAACAGGTCAAATGTCAAAATGTTATTCAGCACACTTTATGCGAAACGCGAGAATGTAACGAGGAGCGTAGCAAAAGCGGGACGTCACGTACCCTCAGCAGTCGGGGAGAAGCCCGTTGGGGTTTGCTGAGTCATAGGAGTGTATGGAGTGTGCTGCATAGCCAACTGGTGCAGCTTTGTCAGCTGTAACAGACACATCCAGTATAATTACTTTACAGAGTAACAGCACATGTATGCATTCTCTAAAACTTACAAAGGTGCAATGGTGTCACTAGACCAGACATTTGCTTTTAAACTTGACTTACATCTGGATTGGGGATAGCATACTGTCCTTGAACTGTGTAGGCCTGTAAAGAAGATACCAAAAACATATGATGAATTCCAAGAAATACTATTTCAGAAACACTTGATTTGGCACAACTTGCTGGTTAAAATGTCGACATATTCCAAACATGACACCATGGGCCAAGTAAAAAGTCATTGTCTTCAAGCTCAACTAAACATTGGGAGTATAGTATTCTCTGTTGTTCACCCAAAGACAGTCGGACATGTACAGTTGTGGAAAGTCAAGGGGCCAGTATGACATATGGATGAATTAGTAGCAGTCATTAATTAAATAGATATAGAAAACCTGCAAAGTGTGCAAAAAAGCATAAAGAGTTGCATGATTGGAATTACATGCAGAAACAGAATGAAACACATGTGGATTAGAGAAGATAGCAGGTTAATAACATCATCCAAACTACAAAGCAGCTGGGCCAGACTCTGTCTCTCCAGCGACCCTCAAGCACTACGCTGACCAGCTGTCTCCGGTGTTCATCAACATCTTCAACACCTCACTGGAGACATGCCATGTACCAGCCTGTCTCAAGTCCTCCACCATCATCCCTGTGCCCAAAAAGCTAAGTCCAGGACTTAATGATTACAGACCCGTCGCCCTAACCTCTGTGGTAATGAAGTCTTTTGAGCGCCTGGTGCTGGCACATCTCAAAGCGATCACAGACCCTCTCCTGGACCCCCTGCAGTTTGCCTACAGAGCCAACAGGTCTGTGGACGACACAGTTAACATGGCCCTCCACTTCACCCTACAGCACCTGGACTCCCCAGCAACCTACGCCAGGATCCTGTTTGTGGACTTCAGCTCTGCTTTCAACACCATCATCCCTGCCCTACTTCAGGACAAGCTCTCCCAGCTGAACGTGCCCGACTCCACCTGACAGGAAGCAGTGCGTTAGGCTGGGAACACGAGTCTCTGACTCCCGGTCCATCAGCACCGGATCTCCTCAGGGCTGCATCCTTTCCCCTCTGCTCTTCTCCCTGTACACCAACAGCTGCACCTCCAGTCACCCGTCCGTCAAACTCTTGAAGTTTGCGGACGACACCACCATCATTGGGCTCATCTCTGGTGGGCATGAGTCTGACTATAGGTGGGAAACTGACAAACTGGTGACCTGGTGTAGCCAGAACAACTTAGAGCTTAATGCTTTTAAGACAGTAGAGATGGTTGTGAACTTCAGGAAGAATACAGCCCCACTCACCCCCATCACCCTGTACGACTCCCCAGTCAACACTGTGGAGTCCTTCCGCTTCCTGGGCACTATCCCCTCCCAGGACCTCAAGTGGGAACTGAACATCAGCTCCCTCATAAAGAGAAAAACAACAGAGGATGTACTTCCTACGGCAGCTGAAGAAATTCGACCTGCCAAAGACAATGATGGTGGACTTCTACACAACCATCATTGAGTCCATCCTCACCTCCTCCATCACCATCTGGTACGCTGCTACCACTGCAAAGGACAAGAGCAAACTGCAGCGTATCATTCGCACTGCTGAGAAGGTGATTGGCTGCAATCTGCCTACCCTCGAGGACCTGTACACCTCGAGGACCCTGAGGCGAGCGAGGAAGATTGTGGCCGACTCCTCCCACCCTGGTCACTCTGTTCCAGCTACTCCCCTCCGGCAGAAGGTTGTGGTCCATCAGGACCAAAACCTCACGCCACAAACACAGTTTCTTCCCATCCGCTGCTGTCCTCTTCAACAAGGCCAGGGGCTCAAACTGACTTTAACGCTCAAACTGAGTTTAACACAATATCTGCACAATGACACCCTGCCATATTTGCACTATGTTACCTTATTTGCATTTTTGTGATTTTATATTGTATACTATAGCTATTGTATATTTTAGATTATATTTTATTCAATTTTTACATACTTTAGCTCCTTAGTATTAGTTAGACTTGTACCTTTAGTATAGTTAGACTTGTAAACCACTTATTTAAGATTTAAGATTCCTATACGTAGAATGTATGCACCTTCCGGCCAAAGTAAAATCCTTGTCTGTGCGAACTTTCATGGCGAATAAAACCCTTTCTGATTCTGATTAAGTGAAAGTAATTTGGCAGAGAGATGTCGCCAGAAATGATGATTGGCAATAGACACCAATAACAGTAGCAGCCAAGGAATCAGTATCTTTATTTACACTGGAGGAATCCGATGAGCTATGAAGGATAAAATGGATCCAAGAGGACATGCTTGAGGAGAAGATAGAGCGATGAAGTTAGTTCATGTGTAGAGGTGTTACGGGAGGGCGAACAAACACACCAGGGGTGGTTATGCCCGCACGCGGAAGGGTGCTTACATCCACGTCCGCACCGTTTAACCTGGGGGGCTAAAACGGCGCTGTGATCCCCCACGGCCCCACCCCTCGGTGGGGGAGTTGCTATATAAGGCAGGTGAGCCGGTGGGCTGGGGGTTCAGTGTTTAGCTTAAACCAGCAAAGAAGGAAGACCGGCTAGATAGCCCCTGGGACTCCCCTGGATCGCCGTCCTTCTAAGGACCGACCAGGGCAAGCCAGTGGCGTGGCCCCGAGAGCCCAGAGCCGATGTTCTTGTAAGAGCCGGTCTGGGGACTCAGGGTGCCGTAATCCCAGCTTGGCCAGAGCTGGGTCCGCTAGCCTCCCCTAGCTCTGTAGTGGAGGACCTGGGAATAGGCTAGCCGGGATAGAGATTGTGGGGTCTCCCTGTTAGACGGGTGAAGGGGCCGTACCCCTTCGAGTGTTGTATACCTTGGCCTGTATATAGTGGAACGTTTAATAAATAAGTGTGCCTCCGACTACTACACATGTACAGGTCAGACATTTATGATTGCACTGCAGGATCGTGAGAGGTGGCGAAAGCTTGGGGAGAGGCCTTCATTCAGCCGTGAATTGACTATGGCTTGTGATGTTGATGACAGGGGCCACTGTCCTAACGCACAACTACTGCCAACTTCCCACAAAATGACGCTCATTTACAATGGGAATTGAACATGGCTTCCTCAAACTGTGATTCGACTGACAAATCACAATCCGAACTGGCTGGATAACACAGGTATTACAAAAGCAATGAAAAATATATGCCTAAGGAGGAAAGTTTTCAATCAATTAATATTACCTGCTTTGACAGACTAATATGACGCATGCATGGAGAGAGACATGTCAATTGTAAAAAAAATTAAGTGAGCTTTGGTCGGACACATTGCCAGAAGGTGTGATGGCCGACGGATGAGACTGGTGACAAGTGACAACCAGGGGAGCAATGGGATTAGCTCATGTGCAGAATCGAGATGGATTGTGGGATCACAGGAGCATAGGGAGTGCTGATGATGTGCAGAGGCCTTCATCCAGCAGTGGGTAGAGCAGGTCGAAAATATGCACTTATGCGAGCATTATAAGATTAAGCTATTAAAAATATGAAGCTTACAAAACTTGAATAGTAACAATTATTAAAGTAAAGAATGTATTGATTGCATACATACATTTCCACATTGCAATGGTCATCTTAAGAATACCTGATGCAACTCAAGGTCTGTGAAGATGGGGGACGCAAATGCTGAACGCATTCATGCATCACGGAAAAAAATGGCTGAGAGCCACGTCATATTTATGAGAGTTTTTTTAAGTCAAACCTACAATTGCTATCCACCATGATAACGGATTTAAAATGAGCATCTCACAGTTGTGTGGTAAACAAAAAAAGCCAGCATGTGGGAATGCGTGTACGCAGAGTGTGCCAACACTGCATAATTCCAGGATTTAATCAGAGCAATCAACTGCAATTAAATTAGCTTCTCAAATTCTAGTGTCTACACATGCACATGTACTGGTGTTGTCTTGCACTTAAATGAATGTGCATCACTTACCTGGCCTCCAGCAAAAATAACCGGATTGTTGGTGGTGGATGTTTTGGGGCGGTAAGGGATCGTGGCACCCTTCGGAGGAGACTGAAAGATGAGCACAGCAAAGTGCATCATCAGTAGCTGACCATGACATGAACTTGCATGTGAAAAGAGCATCACAAACGAATATGAATACAATACCAAACAAGCAAAACATAATGCAATACAATCAAAAAAGGAAATGATGCGTCCTTAGAAATACTTTCCAAACTACCTTTGGTTCAACAACATAACAGACTAATATGGAAACACAGACAGCATATTATAATTATTTTACTGCCCTTATTTACCATTGAAAAATATATAATTTAAACAAACCTTCAGCATTTGCCAAATTACGCAAATAATCATATCAAGCACACACTGTAGTAGCGATGTAAAAACTGACCTCCAGCATAACAAGGCAGATCTGCCTCATGCACTGCACGATGGCATCTGGTGTGCCAGAGATGGTCACGGCCCGCTCGGTAGAATTTGGCAGCAAATCTCCAGCCACCTGCACTTGGGCACCTGTTGACTGTAGAGAAATTCCAGACGACCACCATTTAATAAGGGGCACAAAACAACATTTACGATCGAATCATCGGGAATACTAAGCAGGGTTGAGAATATACAGTGCTCGGCCCAGCATGCACGCCAGGCTGCCATAGGCGGTAGCAGGACACCACGGTGGTCAGTAGAGGGCAGTGCAGCAAAATCCGCTTTTGTTCTGTGCGTCTACACTGTGGTAAAGTATGGTCAAATAATCCCCACAACCCACACAGTGCGATGAGGCCTAATCAGCAGTGGCTTCAACAGAGGGCGATACAAGAAACACACTTGGATATTGTAAAGGCCATTCATATTGTTATTATCTGACCAATTACTAATCATAGAATATATAATGGCATTCTAGACTGATTTTTTTTACATTTGCAAATAAACTGTTTTCATTCATGCTCTAGAAATGTGACAGGAGCAGCACTGGCATAAAGAGGTGTATGGAGTGACATTGGAGTGAAATTACTCGCGCATCAAAGACGCAGTACAAGACTTGTTTTACGTACATTTTGAAAATGGTTTTAGCCCAATTACTACTATAATAGGCCAAAAATGTGTGTAACGAGCGTGACGTTACTCCACATACCCCCCCCCCCCCCGTCATTAATAATAAAATAATCATGAACGGGTGGATTTTTACACTGACGCAAAGTCGCTTCAAATATGAGGTTTCTTTACAGAAAGTCAAAAATAAATCTACGCAGCAGTGCTATATCTGTACGTGACGTCACTGCAAAACTGCAAAAGAGACCCCCCCCCCATTAATAATCATGAGCGAGTGGATTTTTACTCCCGCAGGTCGATTAGAAAGACATTTTTTTACGCAAATTCGCTTTAAATTTGACGTTTCTTTATTGAAATGTAATCAAATCAATATTTCTACGTGGCAACAAAGTGTATTTGGTGTCTTTATTTATTTCTTCAGCACCTGAAACAAAAGGCAAGTCTAATTTTTGCTTCTAAATTATGATAAAAGTAGCCTATAGCCCATTCAAGGACGGGTGTATGGCAGTTAATCTGAAATATTTAATCGAAAATAATGACCCGCTCATGATTATTAATGAAGGGGTGAGGCCGGGGATCCACACGCGTGACATCATCATACCATGATTATTCATGAGGGGGGGAGCTCCACGTCGAGTGACATCATCCGCTCATGATTATTAACGAGGGAGTTTGTCCCGCGCGTGACGTCACTCCACATGCCGCACCCCCGTCATTAAGGTCGAGCGGAAATAAATTTTTTATTCGCAAATTCGCTTTAAGTTTCACGTTTCTTTATTGAAAGTGAATCTAATAAATAATTCTACGCAGCAACAAAGTGGATTTGGGGTTTTTATTTTTTTCTTCATTACTTGAGACAAAAGGCAAGTCTAATTTAGACTTCTACATTTTGGTTAAAAAGACATTTCTCGGTGATTTTCCAGATATTGTATTGCCATCCAATTTATTTGAACCCCAGCGACCGAAAGCAGAAGAGAATAAAGTATCAGAGCAGTGAATTTGAACAAATTGAAGGTCGGTTATATACAGTGCTACAGTGAAATGCCGTGAAGTGTTTTATGACATACTTTCATGCAAGATTCACTGCCATTCAATTTACACAAGATACAATTATACTCTGCTCATTTTTTTCGTAAATATTACAGATCCGTCCTAGGACGGGCAAAGAAGCTAGTAAATAACATAATAACAAACCCATATCTACACGATAAATGCTTAGCCTACTTGGTGGCATCTAGGTAGAGATTTCCATTTCAGATTAGTCAGCATTGTGATTGTAAATAATCATCAATACAAGTGAAAATACAATGGAAGACATACGTCCCTTGATATTAGGAATGGATGCATTCCTGTAAAGTTGTCCGTAATGCAGAATGCTGTATATCGAACAGTATTTTACCAATCACTTCCATTATATTTCGATTTAAAGCTTTCGTGACTGCAGGGATTCATCTTCTTGGTTCTTTCGGTAAAGTCACGTAGAAGGGAAGTAATAAAATAATAAAAATAAAACATAATAAAATAAAATAATTCTCATAATTCTCACGACGTTTCGGCTACAACGCAAGCAGCCGTCTTCACCTGAAGACGGCTGCTTGCGTTGTAGCCGAAACGTCGTGAGAATTATTTTATTTTATTATGTTTTATTTTTATTATTTTATTACTTCCCTTCTACGTGACTTTACCGAAAGAACCAAGAAGACACTTCCATTATGTAGAGTATTGTGAGTAACCAATGAGAAGGGGAACAGAAGGAGGTGCGAGTGGGTTGACAGTCAAGCCACTCGCAACGTCACGGGTTGTGTAAGGGGCTTCGGAGAGCACCCTTCGGGAACAAAGGCGGGGCCGAGCTGGGGGCAGGAGCCGCCCAAGGAGTTCTTAAGGGGTACCCCGTGACGAAGGTGGGGTTGTCATGGGGAGCCAGGGTAAGGATCGGATGAAGAGGGTCTCTCTCTCCTTGTCGCGGAGCGGTGTTGGCTGATCCCCCGCTCCGGGCAGACCAGTGGGAGAGCCCAAAGGGTAGCCGAGGGTAGGACCCAAATACTATTCAGTGTCCGGGGTAAAGGACCGAGACAGAGTGCACCTACACTGGTGTGAGCGTAGGATGTCGAGTGTGAGAGTGTTTTAATAAACGGCAAAGCCCTTATAGTATTCCTCGTCTCCGCGTGAGTCTACTGCACAGCAATTATATCAGTGGAGATGCATTCATAAGGAATAAATTTCGGCTCCAAGACGTAATAAAATCATTCATAATAATGCAGAAGACCTTTTTAAAGCATATTTAATGGTAAATGTTGGAACAAAAATCTATTCTCAAAATAAGTCGAAAAATTAAACCTGTACATTACTTACCAGAAACTATGGTGAAATGTGCTCTAAGACAAATGACAGACGATGCATTGTTAGATTCCCCCCCCCCAAAAATGCAGCAAACACAATGATGTTTGTATTTCCACATTGCATACACGAGGGAACCCTCCTCACCTCTCGCAGCTCCTTGATCTTGTTCCCGCTCTTGCCAATGAGAGAGCCGCACTGGCTGGCCGGCACCACGAGGCGCAAGGTGACCGGTGGGCGGTTCATCACCACGCTGTTTGCCATCGTGCTGATCATGTCCTGCTCCATGTACACATACGCACCAAGCGCACGTTGTTATTATTGTCGTAATTATTGCGAGTGTTTACCCAGAAAAGCCTCACCAAGTCTCAACTATTTTCAGGAGGGTCCTGCAAAATTTTTCGCAGTCGGAGGCAACAATTGCTATTTCCCAATAAAGTAATTATCTGGAAAGATATAAAACGTGGCATATTTTACAAATATTTCATGTAAATAACATTTTCATGCTAATAAAGCAACTTATTGAAGGCCCTAAGAGTCGTGGGAGAGGTTTCAAGCTGCCCTACCCAGGTTCCTCATTACCATGTCATGGCTGACTGTAGCCACTCTGTTTCAGGAATTAGGCCCACATAAAACATCTATTTTGATCAACAATTTAACGTTAAAACTTTGGTCATTTTAAGGGTTTGTAAAAATACATTCTTGATTATATGTCAAACCCACAAAGGGAATTAATGCTCTTTAATACAAATATTTACGCTTAAGCTGCAACTTTCCTAAATGTGTGAATTCAGAAGCTTACTTTCATGTGTTAAACATTGTCATATCACGGCCTTAAAACAGATCAACAGAAAGTATTTCTGTAGCGGTCATACCTCCTCCAGCTTGTGGGTCATCATTGTGAAAGCACGGAAAATAGCCTCGGTGGGACCAGTGACCGTGACAATGCGCTCAGGACAGTTCCCATCCGAGATGTTAATACGAGACCCGCTCTGCAAGTAGAAACACACTGCAAATCAGCCCCCACCCTACAGGATCGCACACTTCTGCTGCATCGATACACACTTTGTGTTGGTATGAACAGAGAAACATTACCTCATCACGGATTCTCTTCACAAAATCCCCTTTCTGTGAAGTGAATGAACAAGAGTTCACATAATCAGGTACATGTGCAGGTTATAGTGAATAACTAATTTAATCTGTAACCATATTAAACATTAATTATATTGGTGAGGACCAGAAACACAATAATTGCTGTTATCCATGAATGTACAAAGAGATGTAAATATGACCGCCACACAACAAGACAGCTGCTCAAGGCAACTTGGGAGGATACCCTTGGGATACCAAATTAATCCTAATCCTTGGTGCTTCTTTGACTTGGTACATGCTTTGTACTCACATCACCTGCTATATGCAACATATCTAAACCTTGTAATTGTAACTGTATGCAGTGCAATTAAGAGAGCTGTACATGTTATGTTCTAAGATATATCCAAGCTAGATAATGATGAACTGAAGGTATGTGAAAACATCTTAAAAGCAATGTGAAACCCACCTTGCCTATGATGCTTCCCACTTCCTGTAAATAAAAGAAAAATATATAAATCAGTTCAGAGGCATATAAAAGTAGTGCTGTTACTGTAGACAACACTGATACAAATTACAACTAAGAATCTCGTGAGTGGGCATGTATGCTGAACTTCTTTCACACTGTATGCAGCCAACCGTGCTAATCGTAGGTTCAGGACAAATGCACAACTGTATGTATTCATGAAATAAAGACTGTATTTTACACAATAAATGAGCAGAGAATATATCTCCTTAAAATATGTTCCTCCACATGAAAAAGATTACACTTCCATTCAACTACAAAGCCTTATTCGAGTGCATAATTTCAGAAGCCTCTAACATCGGGAAGTTAATCAGCACTGGTGCAAGCAAGCCGGAATGCTGATGAGGCAATGTGTGACAAAACCAGTCCAGAGTTTCTTGCATTGACCCAATGCTGCTGAAATGATGCACTCCCAGAAAGCCTTGTGGTTGACAGGAAATGTAAACATTTATTTTATTCCTTTATATGGATGGACAGGTGTGTGGAGGGAGAGTCCTGTGAACAACGTCCCACGGCCTTGCGGGCCGCCTGCTAGAAACAATTTAAATTGGATGCCAAGTCAATTTGTGAGGTGATGCCTGATGCTTTCTTTACCTTGCTGTGCATGAGAAGACGAATTGTAAGCGTCACATTAAGTCCACCCTCGGCTTGGCCACCGAGATGACTCATCTTGTTTCACCACACTCTGCAGGGTTACACCTGGTGGAACAAGCACAGTAAATATTATTTGGGTCTTTCGGTAAAGTCACGTCGATAGGTTCAAAGAAAATAACAAAAAACTATGACGTTTCGATCGCAACACACAAGCGGTCGTCATCAGTCAAGATTTAAACAGTAAATTTCAGCTTGGAATTCACTGTTACCAGAAGGTTAAAGATTTCAACTTGTTTTTGTGCCTGGAATTATTATAATGCATCATTCACTAACTGCTATGTCATATGAATCGGAAACATGAACATTAACGAAGACAATAGAAGGCGTACAAAGTGGATAAGTGTTCAAAGACGCACAGAGGTGTACACTTGGAATTTGAGAGATATAAAGAGGAACAAATGGATCAGTCGACAAACACAAAGAGATCGTGTTCATCTTTATCCAGCACTGGATAGACCATAGCTGATAATAATGATTAATGACTTGGGCATATCCCAGTCTCACCCAGATTCCATTACCAAGAAAGGTGCGGACAACTAAACAGCGAAGGGGAGGCAAGCATGGGCTTGGGGGATCAGTGGGGCTCAAATGCCCTTTGTTAACCTTGTGTAGGAAATTATAGATGTGCTTATATCAGAATTGAATATCAGAATTGGAGTGATGTAGGGCGGCAGAGTGGGTCAGTGGTACACTTATGCCGCACAATATTGTGCTGGGTTCGATTCCACTCAGATGCATATCTGTGTGGAGTTGGTATGTTCTCCCCCTGTTCTGCATGGGTTTCCTCTGGTTTCCTCTAGCTAAAAAAGTACAATGCAACTGGTACTGCCCAAACATCCCAAATCTTAAACATGATCTGCAAGTTACTGAATTGGGATCAGACCCAGCAGTATCGCCCCGCCACTGTGAGAACTTGACAGCAGGACCCTCCGAAAGAAAGTATCTAAGTGGTCTAATTTACAAGTCGAGTTTTGGGTGCGGAATTTCAGGAGGCAGTAAAGAGTTGCACGAAGCAAGATGAAACGTAACAAAGGCATAGATTTGCAGCATACTCATCGCAGAAGGGTTGAGCCTTATCAGAGGTACAGTAATACAAATTTGGAAATGTGATGTTGAAGTCTTAAAAATCAATCTACATTGTTTGGTCTTCTTCTCTGAATTTTTCACAGCACTGTAGTTATACAGCACTGTACACGGTACTTTCTAACAAAGCAGTCTTCATTGTTCGTGCTGCACTTACAGCACCGCTGCGACAAAGCACTTTGTAGTCACACAGCACTGTATGTCTATATCACTGTAGTTACAGTACTGTGGCTACACAGCACTGTAGTCACACAGCACTGTATGTCTATATCACTGTAGTTACAGTACTGTGGCTACACAGCACTGTAGTCACACAGCACTGTATGTATATATCACTGTAGCTACACAGCACAGGACTCACACTGTGCTTACGAAAAACGCCGCAGCACCGCACAGTAGACTGTAGTGAAACGGCACTGTCCGGTTCACACAGATGAACGCAATAGGCAACGTGTGTGACAATGGCCATTCTCCGTCGCCCCCGTAGAGGAGCTGTTGCAGTGCTGTGCAGCAGGAGTCACACGAAACCGGCCCCCAGCGCCGCGCCTGTCGACCCCCCGCGTCGGCCACGTCTCTCCGGCCGCGCCGCGCGCACTCGCGAGCCCCCCACCCCATCTACTCGCGTGCCCCCCACCCCATCTACTCGCGAGCCCCCCACCCCATCTACTCGCGAGCCCCCCACCCCATCCGAGCCCCCCACCCCATCTACTCGCGTGCCCCCCCATCTACTCGCGTGCCCCCCACCCCATCTACTCGCGAGCCCCCACCCCATCTACTCGCGTGCCCCCCACCCCATCTACTCGCGTGCCCCCCATCTACTCGCGAGCCCCCCACCCCATCTACTCGCGTGCCCCCCACCCCATCTACTCGCGAGCCCCCCACCCCATCTACTCGCGTGCCCCCCATCTACTCGCGTGCCCCCCACCCCATCTACTCGCGAGCCCCCACCCCATCTACTCGCGTGCCCCCCACCCCATCTACTCGCGAGCCCCCCACCCCATCTACTCGCGTGCCCCCATCTACTCGCGTGCCCCCCACCCCATCTACTCGCGAGCCCCCCACCCCATCTACTCGCGTGCCCCCCACCCCATCTACTCGCGAGCCCCCCACCCCATCTACTCGCGTGCCCCCCACCCCATCTACTCGCGAGCCCCCCACCCCATCTACTCGCGAGCCCCCCACCCCATCTACTCGCGAGCCCCCCACCCCATCTACTCGCGAGCCCCCCACCCCATCTACTCGCGAGCAGCAGCAGCAGCGGCGGCGGCAGCAGCCGCAGGATGCGGAGCGGGAGGAGGAGGGGGAGGCCCGGGCCCTGAGGGTCCGCCGCGCAGGCCGCGATCGCCGCCGCCCCGCGAGTAGATGGGGTGGGGGGCCCGCGAGCCGGGTACCGGGTGGGGGGCCAGAGCGGGGTCTGCCGGGGGGGGGGGCTCACCTGGCGGGCGGGGGCCGCGGGGGGTTGAGGGAAAGGGGGGGGCCCACGAACCTCGCGCCGCGCTCCGCACGTTCGTAACGCACGGTCGTGACGTCACGACAAGGCTCCTCTTCATTGGCTCGTGGTTATCACGTGACACCGGCATTCGCCCACGATTGGACAGCGACCAGTGGCCGTGTTTCGACGGCGGCACGAGCGGACCACGTGACGGCGGCGCGCGAGGGCGGGGGTCACGTGGGCCTTCTCCCCGCAGCGCGCGCGTTCAGCGCCTCGGCCACGCCTCTCGGCACACCACGTGACCGACGAAGGGCTCCCCTAGTGTGACGTAATCGCCACGTGATGTGTAAATGTTTCGGAATGACCTCTCCACTTGTCCGGCATAATGCAAATCTTACCTATGAACGTCATTCTTTGTCTGTCTCTCTGTCTGTTTGTGGACGAAACTTGCGAAGGATTTGGCTCGCGAACCGTGGGGTTTAAAAAAAGTACCCGGGTACCACGCGATAAGCCCCGTGGTGAGCCAACGCTATTCCATTTTCGCATCCGTCAACTAGTAGTTAAATGAACAATTTTGTGCTACTATTTGTTATATTACGCCGCTCAGCGCGCGCCAAAGCACGCATCTGCGCATGCACGACAAAGTCGTGCTTGCACATCGCAACGCGCACGTGCGTTCGGTGGAGGGGGTTCTCATTCGTGTTAGAAATGCAAAAAATACACAAAACGCTGAGGTAGATTCTTCAGTGTGATGTCCCCCCCCCCACCCCAATGTGTGCACTTACTCCTATCGAGTCGCTACTATAGGCCGTAGATACTACTGTAGAGCGGGCGGGGGATCGTGGGTGGAGGGGCGGTGCGGGGTAGCAGCCCAGCCTGCCAAGGTGCCACCTCGGCCGTCTGGGCAATCTAGGCGAGGCTGGGGGCTCTGCACGGGACTAGGCCTCACCACTACACTCTGTGAATTTAGTTCTATATTCTTTGGTTCTTTGGGTTAAAGCCACGTAGAAAAAAAAAGTTATTAAAAATAAATATAATAAAAAACACTAATGTTGACTCTAGACTGGTTCTTAATTGGAGTTAGTGTACTGGCAAGCTATAATCTAGACTATAGCTTGGTTATTAAGTTTGATGAGTGTACTGACAGTCTATAATGTAGACTGTAGCCTGGTTATTTAGCTGGGTGAGTGTACTGGCAGTCTATAATGCAGACTTATTCTTGGTGCTTAATAACTATTGCTACAGTCTACATTATAGACTGCCAGTACACTCATTCCGATTAAGAACCAGGCTGCAGCTACATGAGTGTTTTTTGTTTATTATTAATTTTATTTTTAGTCACTTTATTTTTATTCGTTATTTGCTAAGTTACTTCAGACAGTATCAGCACTCTACTTTCTTCACCCTTCGCTATCAAGCGTCCATCGGTGAAGATACATTTGTCAGTTTACAGCTTCAGGTGATTTGAAAACAGTGCTAAAGTGAAGTTACGGGGTTTTTTTAATTAGACACCCACAGAGATTGTTCTCCTTTACTAATTGTGTAAGATTCCGAAGAGTCCCTGGTCAGTGTGCCTCTATGCTAGATAGAGTTGGCCCCTCTGCAGATCACACTTCCCCTACACAGTGTCGAAAAAGCGTGAGGCAACCTATTTCGCAGTGTTACAGCTGCTGGAGCACGTTAAGTGTTGTAAGATCTAAATACGTCAGCACAGGATTGCCAAACATCATGGAGGACGAAGATACTGCAGCTAAGAAACGCCGTTTGCAAAGAGAAAGACCGCAGAGATGGAGAGCTCGCCAGAGCCAAGACGCTTTTGACAGAATTCTTACAGAGAATGCTGAAAGGCAAGCACATCGCCGCAAGCGAGAAACGCCACATCAGACACGAGCTCGCCTCGTCTCGCAGCACAAGAACGTCGTAGTCGAGCTATTCGTGCTGCGGCAAATGACTTTGTGGAAGAGGAAGTGATTGAACACAACTGGCAGTGCATTGAATGTAGTTTTCTGAGGAGCGGCTATCAGATAAACAGTTCACAAGTTGCTGTCGGAAAGGCAAAGTGAACCTGGAAAAGCCTATCGACTCCAATATCTTCATTTTCTGCGTGAGCTTCTATAAAATCCTGAGCATCCCGACTACAGACATTTCCGTGCTAATGTTCGTTCATACAACAGCACATTGTCGTTTGCTTCGATGGGAGGTAAGACTTTCATGGAGGCAGTCCTTACGTCCTCAAGGTGCATGGGAACATTTACCACAAGACAAGCCATCTTGAACCCACTAACAGTCAAGCAAGACAATACGCTCAACTTTACGCTGTCGACAGCACACACGCAACATAAATTCAAACAAATCATCCTGCCAAACTTCAGTGCTATCCACGGCTTCTCGATCTAATCGACCGCTGCTATCCAATCCACAACCGACTTGCCAACACATACGCCATGCTTTGCGAAGTACAACATCGAGCTGAACAGGAAGCTTCTGTTGCCAGCGAGGCGACGCCGGTTGTGTATTTGGTGTTTGGGCGAGATCGTCATTCGGATCGGCGTAGCTACATTGCACCAACTGCCGACGAGATCGCTTTGGTGTTTGTGAACAATGATGATGATCGACCTTTAGAACATGTTCGTGTGTATCCAAAGAATCCGGACAACTCCCAACAGCCTTTCATTGATCTCAACATTCTGAGCCCAAATTTGGAGGCAATGTCCTCTCCGCTGTTGTATCCGTTTGGTGAAGCTGGATGGCAACCAAATTGGCAATGTGAGGCTTATGCTGGAGCTCAAGTCAACGCAACGAGAGTGAATGTCACCACATTACAGTATGTTGCAGCGCAAACGGCGTTCAGAGGCACATTCAACCCACGAATCAGTGCTGGAAACCTCACGCAACAGTGGATTGTCGATTCGTACCTGCAGGTTGAAGCTAATAATTGAATTACATTCGCCAACATCAGCAGAAATTACGAGTTGAGCTTTATCAAGGACTTGCCAATCACATGGAGAATGCCTCTCAAACGGCTGCAGGACGAGCCGGAGTTCCCGTCATTCTGCCTTCATCTTTCGAAGGTTCACCGCGGAACATGAAAGAGTGAAGCGCGGACACCACGTCAATTTTCGCAAAGCAAGGTGCTCCTGATCTCTTTATCACCTTCACTGCAAATCCAAGGTGGCAAGAAATCAACAATTTGGAACAAGGTGAACAAGCATCTGATCGACCTGACTTAGTGGCACGTGTTTTCAAGTTGAAACTTAAATCGTTGATGCAGGATCTCACTGTCCACGGCGTTCTGGGAATCTCAACGACTTTCGTCGACACCATCGAGTTCCAGAAACGTGGGCTGCCTCACGCACACATCCTGATGGTAAATTCCGAAGCTCTGAGCGCATCGATCAGGTTGTGTCTGCTGAAATTCCCGTTGCGGCTGAAAATCCGCGGTTGCACGAAATTGTCCCGCAGCCTGCATGCAAGATGGAAAGTGCTCAAAGGCGTTCCCGAAGGAATTTGCTACCATGACAGCGCACAATGTTAACGGATATCCTCTGTATCGTCGGCGACAAGGAATTTCAGTCTAGATTTGAAGTTTTTTATTTAATTTATTTTGTTTTATATCTACGTGACTTTACCGAAAGAACCAAAGAATACGGAATTTCAGCTGAAGTTTGTGGATCGTCAATAGATAACAGATATGTGGTGCTGTACAATCCATATCTGCTGCTGAGGTACAATGCCGGCTGCCATCTCCCCACACTGGAAGAACTACACAGTTCACGTTGCATCAAAAAAGCACAGAACATTATAAAGGACTCTTCTCACCCTGGACACTCACTGTTTGAGCTGTTGCCATCAGGCAGACGATTCAGATCAGTCAAAACAAGGACAAACAGATTCAAACAGAGCTTTTATCCTACAGCGATCACCACACTCAATAATGCTAATTAATTATTAAGTAATAGTGTTTACAATTGATTGTGAAATAGAGATGTGCAATGACAAAATGTAACCTTATGTGGGTATGTGGGTATACTTGGGCTGTTTTTATATATAGTATAAATTGATTATCTTTCATTTAATTTAATTTTTATTTTCTTGTTTTATTTAATTTAAATTTATGAATGATGCCCTGACTGGTGAGCATTTTAAATTTCGTTGTACTGGTGACAATGACAATAAACGATCTATCTATCTATCTATGCTCACATTAACGTCGAGGTCTGCATGCCACTTAGCAGTGTGAAACATATTTATAAATATATTTACAAAGGATTCGACTGCGCCAATATGACGACCACTGCCGGCGAGATTCCTCTACTTGCACACGACGAGCTGTCAAATTTCATAAACGCAAGATTCGTCAGTGCGCCAGAAGCTATGTGGCGTTTGCTCGAGTCGCCAATGCACGATCGCTCGCATGCCGTGATCAGACTGCCCGTGCGTTTGCCACATCAGCAGTGCGTTGTGTTCCAAGAGGATCGAGAAGAAGAGGCGTTGGAAGCCGCACGAACAGGTCGCACGAAGCTCGAAGCTTGGCTTCAGCTAAACGTCAGAGATCCACACACCCAAGAATTTCTCTACAGTGACATTCCCTACAAGTATGTGTATGTCAACAACTGGAAGCAGCGACAAAGATGAGGCACTAAGATCGTTGCGAGGTTGTACACTGTTGGGATCAAAGATGAGGAGCGCTTCTATCTGAGGATGCTCTTGCTGCACGTCAAAGGCGCTACCAGTTTTGAATTCCTCAGAACCGTCGATGGCGTCGTTTACAACACATTCATCGTCATTTGCTGGATTCAGACAAAGAATGGACTCGATGCATGCAGGAGTCCGCGACATAGCAAATGCCGAATCAAATGCGACAGACGTGTTCTTACATTTGCTGCTTCTGTATGCCAACAAACACTCGCGAGTTGTGGAACAACCATTCACTTGACATGTCGCTGGATTATCTACGGCGTCATGACGAAATGTTGCATTGAACATGGCTCTGCACGACATCAACGCTATTCTTAAACAACATGGATTGTATTGCGCATCAATTGGTATTCCGCAACCGATAGGCCATCCAATCGAAGCTCAGCTATACGACGCAGTGCATGAAGAACGAGAAGCGGAAACGAGAATTTGCTCCCTGAATGGGCAACAGTTTGAAGCTTTCACAGCAATAACGAGAGCTGCCGACGATGAGCATGCCCAGAACAGACTTTTTTTACTGAGATGGTCCTGCCGGCCCTGGAAAGACTTTCCTGTACCCCACGCTGCTCTCATTTGTTCATGGTAAAGGTCACATCGCTCTTCCGTTTGCCACCACTGGAATCGCAGCTACTTTACTGAAAGGCGGACAAACTGTGCCAAGCGGATTCAAGCTTCCAGTTCCCCTCCTCGACACGTCTTCTTCGTCGATGCGACTTAATTCGCCAGAAGGCGAAACGATACTACGAGCTTCGCTCATCATCATTCATGACATTACGATGCTGACAAAGCATGGCCTTCGATGCATCGATCAGCTGCTGCGCGGCATCATGCAGATTCAACGCCCATTTGGTGCAAAAGTTGTCATTATCGGGGGTCGACTTCAGACAGACTTTGCCAGTTGTCGAGTGCTGTATAAAATCCAGCATATTATGGCAGCATTTTTGCAAGTTTACTCTCACGGCAAACCTTCAGAGTGATGGTCAAAATGAGCATGACAATTGGCTCCTGAACGTTGGATTGGGAAGTTTTCCGGCGTTATCTGGAGTGCCGTTAGGTTCCATTGAAATTCCACCGCAAATGATGACTGTTGATGATCTAGTCACCGCAATTTACGGAAAAAACTTGCAACACATTCCTGCCGAAGAGCTTGCGAAAAGAGCGATTCTGGCACCTACCAACAAGGACAACTCTAGATATGAACAGAATCATCATCACACAGCTGTCCTGAGATATCCAAAATTATTATAGCTCTGACTCGATCGTGTCGGAAGATCTTGCGGACGCATTTTATTACCCTCCAGAATTTCTTCACGCTCAAACGCCTCCAGGAATGCCGCCACACACATTGGCACTGAAGACAGGCGTTATCATCATGCTGCTGCGAAATCTTAACCCGAATAATGGCCATTGCAATAGAACGCGTTTGATGGTCAAATCAGTACAAAATAACTTCATCACCGCAGAGATTGTATCGGAATGCAACCGAGGCGAAATCGTTTTCATTCCGACAATCGACCTCGCTCCAAGTGATGTCACTTCCTGTCGTACAGAAACGACGACAAATTCCGAGAATTCCTGCGTATGCGATGACGATCAACAAGTCGCAGGGTCAGACTTTAGAAAATTTGGGTATTTATCTCAATTAACCCGTATTTTCCCATGGCCGGTTGTACGTGGCTTTGTCTAGATCTAAATATCCTCAGCGGATCAAAGTGTTCATCAAGGATAGCCAACTGCAGGGAAACCTTTTGAACAGTGAAAATAGATTCACACAAAATATCGTATACCGAGAAATCTTTCAAAGTCCTTAATTTCATTGAATAAGTGAAGAAAAAAATATTTACGCGCTACATTTCCTAATACAATTAACAATCACACAATAAAACGTTAATTTAGATCTTTAATATTACAGCTTCCGTCCTAGCATAGGCTAACAAGCTAGTAATTGAATAATAGCTACATCAACACTTGTTAATTAACATCACACGAGATTAAATAACACTTTCATTAGCACAGAATAACTGAATAACAATAACAAAAATACATTACAATTTCACATTTGCAATCGCAAACTATAAATTACCACTTTACCGCACTGTAAACTGAGTCCCCATGAAGCAGAGGTGACAGGCTAATGATCACTTAGGGATTCAGATATTTATGGACGTAATTAAAGTAATATTGCTGTGTAATGGCGAAACGAAGGTATCTCGATGATCGTATCGCCCGTGTTGGAATGTATCGTTAAATCATAATTATTGTGGCTCGTAACATTTTTGTCAATATTTAATTTCCTGACCAAATACGGATGAGATAATAATTCAAGTGTAGGACAATAAAAGGTTAAACATATATTTCTGCCAGCATCAAAAGGTCCCATGATGTAGCTGTTACAGCCCGAGCTAGAAATGATCTGATACGTGAATTGTCTTGGTGCTGTTTGCCTTTTGGCGTTCTCTGGTCTGACACTGGTGAGACTGGGCCCTAAAAGAGGCTGTCTCTGGTGTAGGCCAATCAGTTTCAAAGACAATGCAGAGATTATCATAGCATGTTTGTTTGTTAAGATGTTTGAACACCTGTTTTATTGGCAGAAAGGGTCAAACCTATTCTTATTTTTCATTTTTTGTCAGACGTATGGTACTGCATACGTCCACCAGAGGGCACCACGCTGGCCTGTATTCTAGTACTAGTGGTACTGCATGTATCCACCAGAGGGCACCACGCTGGCATGCATTCTATTACCAGTGGTACTGCTTACGTCCACCAGAGAGCACCACGCTGGCATGTATTCTAGTACTAGTGGTACTGCATGTATCCACCAGAGGGCACCACTTAACCTATCCCAGGAGTCAGCAACCAAAATCACACAAAAAGAGCCTTTTTTCGAATTCGGTAAAAAAAAACCTCAATTCAAAAGCCGCAATCCGTGTGAATACGGAACTGTCCTTCATAAATGACGTCTCGAAGCAGTCCTTAAAGAGCCGCAGGTTGCAGACCGCTATTCACTAAACCTTAACCCATAACCATAAACATTATCACAAACACCGTCATGAAAAGTAAATTCCGCCATTGTGTTAAGTCAAAGTATGTGGTGATTCTGCGTTGGCAACGGTGCACAAATAAAAACATTGAATACATTCGTCAAAAGACCGTGGTCTTAAAATAAAAATGTTTTAATTGGAGATATTGCTTCATTGTGTTTAGGCTTAGTATGCTATAATTTGATTTGACATAGCATAATTCGTACGATTGCATCTCAAAACACTGCACCATAATTACACGATTACAAATTAAAAGGCGATAAACTCCATTGAAAGAACTCGTGAACAAGATTAAGTGCAAATTCAACTAAATGAAAACATAAACGGCAGGGAATATATAAATAAATGAACAGGCAAATTGGTGAATAAATATATAGACAGGTCTAACTTTCAGCTCCTCACACTAGCCAAAAGCATACATTCACTGACGAATATGCAATGGCAGTGCATTCAATACTGTGGGAGATACAAATATAAAATTACACTACTAATCTGCTGTACTGAATTCAAGAATCCATTCGCCTGGCGCAACATGCTCTATGTGCTCTCTCGTGTTGTAGCGTTATACTTTAACATTTATTTTACTAAGCACTGTCATGATTGCTTTGCATTATTAAATTGTATATATGTAACAGTAAACACCATATCATTTATATCAATGTGTTAAATAAATGCATTAGTTAATTCAAATGGAACGCATTATTTTTTTAATTACAAAAAGCCAAATATCCTTATTCCGGCTTGAAGACATCACAGCAGATTGTGAAGTTATAATCATTGGAGACACTCGTGGCAGGTTTGAATGAACTGCAATTTAATGACTTTTAAACAATCTTATTTATATGTATGTACATCATAGAAAACCGACGATACACGTGTGAAAAACATTGTGATAATCGCCATATCGTGAAATTTAATATCGTAGCAATTTCAGATCAAACTTTCTCGTTCAGAACTTGTATTGGTGTGTAGAATGATTTGAAGAGGTCGTAAATGAGGTCAATTGTGGGGCTGGAGTGAGTGGAGCGATGCCGGCGGGCACCCAGCGGATCACGTGGCGATGATTACGTTGCGTGAAAGGGGACTGAATGGGGACACGGCAGCACCCAGTGCCGGGGCAGCACCACGGGATGAGCGAGCTGTGTGCACAGAGCAACGCTTCACGTTGGCTTTCTTTAGAGGTCGGTGGCGTGGTAATTTCGGACTAATTTATTCCAGGTTCGATAACGGCAGGACCACTCTGTGGGACGTCAACAGTGGCACCGGGATGAATGTGCAGGGCGTGGAAGTATACCACCTTGTCAGACCACGTCCTGTGGAAGTTGGCATCATACAACTCCAACACTGAACTCCGATAACCTCGCTACTCACACTCGAGGCGCTGCGCTTTAGCCATGGCTCTGTTTGGCTTTGTTGTGAGGCGTCGGCGTGAGCGGTGCGGTGGGGGTGGGTGGCACGGCACTGCTCACGGTTGTTGAAAATTCCGCCTCGGTCCACGACATTTGATAACCATTGCTCTCTCAAACTTTAGTGACAACAGACAACACGCCGCCCCACCACAATTTAATCTCCACATGCATTAAAAAAACCCAATAACTGATTACACGGCTCAGCCACGTAGCCTTCTGGGGAGTGCACACTCTTAAGCAACATTGGTTCAACACAAACATCGGACAATGTCTCATCAGCAAACTATTGTACAGGTTTCAAACCTTCGGTGTCTCATCCGTAGAGTAAGCCCTGCCTAAGCCAATGCTGGTAAACTTCCATTGTGGATACATATTTGCCAAGACCCTCGCCATAGACAGCGCTGTAAAGCACCATCCAGTGTCCGCAAGGCTCAGCCCTCGCCCGGGGTGACCTCTCGCCAGCGAGGGTCACCCCCGTGACCCCAGACAACGCGGCGCGTCTCAGCCAGACCGCACATCCACACGCTGCACGGGGAACATGGAAAAAACAACAGAAACTACAAAGCTACCGCAAGCTTCACATTGTAGGCGTTGCGAAACAGCAACAACGAGGAGGAGGTTGCCGTCTGCGTGGGGGGGGGGGTGTTGGCCGGAGAGGCCCCCGGACCCCCCCTCCCCCCCACCCCGTGCGGGGCGCCTCCCCCCCCCGCCCCCCTCCCACTCCCCCTCCCCCCCCACCCTCCCGCCCCCCCTCCCCCCCACCCCCCTCCCCCCCACCCCGTGCGGGGCGCCTCCCCCCCCCACCGCGGCAGAGAGCGCCGGGAGCCCCCCCGAGTCGCGAGTCGAGCCATGGCGCCTGCTGCTGCGGCTGCTGCGTGGAGCGAGCTGCGCGTGAAGCTGCGAGTGGCGCTCAGCGCCGTGGGCGCCCTCGTGGGCGCCTCCGTGTTCGCCGTGTGGAGCCTCCACTACGGGCAGCCCTACACGGGGGCCTGCGGAGGCCTCTCCGGTGGGAGCCTGCCCCTGCACCGCCCCACCACACGCACACACACCACGCACACACCACGCACTCACCACACACATACACTACACACATACACTACACGCACACACCACGCACACCACGCACTCACCACACACACACCACGCACACACACCACACGCACACACCACGCACACACACACATCACGCACACATCACGCACTCACCACACACACCACACACACATCACACCACGCACACACACACCACGCACACACACACACCACGCACACACCACGCACACACACACCACGCACTACACACACACCACGCACACACACACCACGCCACACACACCACGCACACACACACCACGCACACACACACCACGCACACACACACACCACGCACGCACACCACACCACCACGCACTACACACACCACGCACTACACACACACCACGCACACACACACCACGCACACACACCACGCACACACACACCACGCACACACACACCACGCACACACACACCACGCACACACCACGCACGCACACACCACGCACACACACACCACGCACTACACACACACCACGCACACACACACCACGCACACACACACCACGCACACACACACCACGCACACACACACCACGCACTACACACACACCACGCACGCACACACCACGCACACACCACACACACCACACTCCACACACTCCACACACTCCACACTCACAAACAAAGCACGTCTCAGACTCCTCTCAAGCACAGCACACGCAGTGTCACACTCTCTTGCACACACCCACATACTTCTCTCTTTTATCACACATGCACCTTGACAAACGCCACTCTTACATCGATACAAAGGCAAATGTCGCTCTTACAGCCGTAACCTACATTGGGGCAAGTTCTGTCCACGAGCCGATGTAAAGGCCGAAACGACATCCCTAGGAGCGATGTTTAAAAATAGCACTATGTAATCATTTGAGGCGGAGTCGACATAGGGTAAGCCCAGGACCGGCCCAGATAAAGATAAACTCTGGTCGCCACTCAATCTCACGCAGACACTCCCCGACTCCTGACAGTCCGTCTGGCCTCACAGCAGAAACGATCCCGCCGTGACTTGGGGCAACAGCGCCGCAGCATTCTGCTGAGTGCAGCTCCCCAATGTCACGTGCAGGGTTGTATGGGACAATGTGCAGGGTTGTATGGGACAATGTGCAGGGTTGTATGGGACAATGTGCAGGGTTGTATGGGACAATGTGCAGGGTTGTATGGGACAATGTGCAGGGTTGTATGGGACAATGTGCAGGGTTGTATGGGACAATGTGCAGGGTTGTATGGGACAATGTGCAGGGTTGTATGGGACAATGTGCAGGGTTGTATGGGACAATGAGCAGGGTTGTATGGGACAATGTGCAGGGTTGTATGGGACAATGTCCAGGGTTGTATGGGACAATGTGCAGGGTTGTATGGGACAATGTCCAGGGTTGTATGGGACAATGTGCAGGGTTGTATGGGACAATGTCCAGGGTTGTATGGGACAATGTCCAGGGTTGTATGGGACAATGTCCAGGGTTGTATGGGACAATGTGCAGGGTTGTATGGGACAATGTCCAGGGTTGTATGGGACAATGTGCAGGGTTGTATGGGACAATGTCCAGGGTTGTATGGGACAATGTGCAGGGTTGTATGGGACAATGTGCAGGGTTGTATGGGACAATGTGCAGGGTTGTATGGGACAATGTGCAGGGTTGTATGGGACAATGTGCAGGGTTGTATGGGACAATGTGCAGGGTTGTATGGGACAATGAGCAGGGTTGTATGGGACAATGTGCAGGGTTGTATGGGACAATGTCCAGGGTTGTATGGGACAATGTGCAGGGTTGTATGGGACAATGTCCAGGGTTGTATGGGACAATGTGCAGGGTTGTATGGGACAATGTCCAGGGTTGTATGGGACAATGTCCAGGGTTGTATGGGACAATGTCCAGGGTTGTATGGGACAATGTGCAGGGTTGTATGGGACAATGTCCAGGGTTGTATGGGACAATGTGCAGGGTTGTATGGGACAATGTCCAGGGTTGTATGGGACAATGTGCAGGGTTGTATGGGACAATGTGCAGGGTTGTATGGGACAATGTGCAGGGTTGTATGGGACAATGTGCAGGGTTGTATGGGACAATGTGCAGGGTTGTAAGGGACAATGTCCAGGGTTGTATGGGACAATTTCCAGGGGTTGGCTCCACGTGCAGGGCGCATCTTCAGGAACTGAAGTAATATTTCTTCCATGGGTTTTGGGGGCATCTTCAGAAACTCGAACATTTCGCTGTCATATCACCCCCATTTGACGTATCCGTGTGGAATATCCACCAAATCCTTGGTTACGTTCTTCAAAATAGCAGCAATCGATAAAACCACGATCCGTAAACTCAAAGGAAAATAAAAAACTAGGATTTGGTTCACGGTTCGTAATACAAAAACCTCCTTTTGTTTTTGTGTTGCCCTACATCAACCCAAATACGAAACAAGAAGTTTTTTTTAACTTAAAATATGATTAATATTTTCTAGAGTGTTAAATATAACTTGTACAGTCAATGTATAGAATTTAAATAATGTACATGGTGTTCATCCGATTAGCATAAGTGTATAAAGTATCCACTCATGTACACTACGAAAGTCGCGGGCGGCTGTCTGTCTGTTGCACTTCTTTCGCACCGCACGGTGCAGACCTCACCGCCTTCTCACTTGCAGCTGGGACCACCGCGTGGCGTGGGACCCGTGATGGCGGCCAGGAGTTCACTGCCTCGCCTCGTAGACAAGGAGGTCGCGGGGTCGATCCCAACCTTGACGCCTTTATATTTGGAATTTGCATGTTCTCCCTGCAGTCGCGTGGATTTGACTTCAGGTCCTCCGGGTTTTCCCTCCACATTTAGAAACATACGTTTAGAGTATTTGGCTGCTATGAATTTCTACGTGATGAGCCACTTCGTTGAGCTATTATTTGTGGTCAGATCGCTTTTGAAAAAGAGCGATAAAGCTCAGTAGGCCTTACATACGATTCGCATGGTTGGCTACGTACGGTGCGAAAGAACTTCAACATATATTACCTTGCAAAATAAAAAAAAATAGTTTAGTGTGTTCTTCTGTGGCAGCATCAACGCAAGCAGTACAGCTACGATGCATACTGGAATCCCGCGGTCAACTGCGAATGGTCGAGCCAAAGGGGCGCGATCGGCGAACTGCACCTCAATACATTTGGCGCGAATGGTTAAATCTGCGATGGGCAAGGTTTTGGTGTATTCAGTTATATTGCTCTTTTGGAAGATTCAGCTCAGTGCTTGCCCACCTGTTGAACCTCGGAAGAGCAGGCACCACGGCCTTGAGGTGTGATTCTCTCGAGGGTCAAGTTTGCAGCGATGAGGCTGCTCAGCTTCACGCATGAGCTGCTGCTGGCTGTGTGGCTCACGGCATCGTGGCTTCTGAGCACCTGCATTGGCAATTGCTTCATAAGCGAGGGAGACACACGACGTCGTGAGTCTCTAGATACACCCATGCAAAATGCTCACTAAAGAGTGTTCTGGATAATGATACAGTAATTATTTTTTTAATCTTTACTCTTATCAAAATTTTTACAAAAAATCTGTTTACACTTCATTTACTAAATGCAGGTTGTGAAGTACTTTGATGTGGTGTCCCACTGCATATGAACAAACGTATGAAAACGTATTATTGAGATTTAATTTAGTCATACAATTATTCAAATCGGGCATAGCATCCTTCATCTGATGTGGCGGGCCGTGATTCTGGTTTTGCATCCGTGGTAAAGGCCTTGGTTCCATTTCACGCGAGGTGCGTGCGACGGCAAACGTCTCGTTTCCTCGAGCCCTGGACCTGAGCTTTGCCAGCGCGGGAGCGCCCAGGGCCCTCAAGCCCCACGCCACCCATGCCAATAGGGCACGGGAGACTTGGCCTGTCCCACTCAGTCTATCCCGTCTTCTCGAGGCATCCCTCAGTCGAGTTAAAAGCGAGTAACATTTAGCAAAGGGGCGCGATGACTGGAAAGGGCCTTGAGGATTATTTGAGGGCTTCTGGCTCTTGCTATGCAGGTCCGGCACGGTGCCAGCCTGGTTCGTAGTGCTGGCAACTGTGGAGGTGCAAGAGAAGCAGCGATTTACCCAGTTGCATGCAACGGCAGATCTGGGTTTGTGTTTCGTGATGGGGGGCAATTGCAGGGAGAAGCGAGCAATTGAAACGCGTGACTAGGTTACGCAACCCGGACTTACGCACGAGTCAAACAGGTTTGCATGACTTGTATAATTAGCAAGACCCATGTTGTCTATGTTTTATGTGAGCGCATTGTCACGAGTAATCACAGCCAACTCCATTTATACTGCACTACTGCACGTGGCACCAAGGTTCCACCGGGAAGGCCGCGTTGCTGAATGCATGCGGAGTCCTTGTGTCAGTCCACTGCTGGATGAGGGCCTCCACACCCTTGTGTGGGTCTCGAGGGTTATTGGACCATTATTCATCACGTTGAGTCATTGCGGATTGGTGAAGGCGAGGAGCATAGACATGGAAGCAATTAAGTTTAGTACAACAATGGCTGTTTATGCTATAAAGCGCCACAAATCCTGTTTGTGCTTGGTGGTTACCCATCCAGGCACCATTCAGGCTCAGGCCGGCTAGAGCTGAGAGCTGACGGGATTCCGTGTGATGTTGCGGCACCACGTGGAGATGGTGCCGGCTGATACACCGACTGTAGCTGCACGTGTGCATTGTACTCATGTTTAACTGCAGTGATTAGCGCTGCGCTACGAACCCGGCGATTCCCGCTCGCGGTGACGATTATTGAACTGGTCCAAGGCCTCCCCTAGGTATACTCAGCCTCAAATGAGTAGTTGGTGACTAAACATCACCACTGGAGAGACAAGGGCGGGAGCATGACTGGCTGAGTGAGGGAGGGTGACTGGCTGAGTGAGGGAGGGTGACTGGCTGAGTGAGGGAGGGTGACTGGCTGAGTGGTAGAGAGTGACTGGCTGAGTGAGGGAGGGTGACTGGCTGAGTGGTAGAGGGTGACTGGCTGAGTGAGGGAGGGTGACTGGCTGAGTGAGGGAGGGTGACTGGCTGAGTGAGGGAGGGTGACTGGCTGAGTGAGGGAGGGTGACTGGCTGAGTGAGGGAGGGTGACTGGCTGAGTGGTAGAGGGTGACTGGCTGAGTGAGGGATGGTGACTGGCTGAGTGAGGGAGGGTGACTGGCTGAGTGAGGGAGGGTGACTGGCTGAGTGAGGGAGGGTGACTGGCTGAGTGGTAGAGGACTTTTGAGGGAGGGTGACTGGCTGAGTGGAAGAGGGTGGCTTTCTGAGAGAAACAGTGGCTTGCTGAGTCAGCGAGAGACACGGGTCAGCTGCTTGCAGCGTCACGCATTGAGCTCACTTTCATCAACAAGACACCCCCTGCCGAGTGCTGTCTCATCGTCATGAGGTTTTTTTATTTGCTGAATAAACAGCTTGTCTTTTTAATCTCCAAATCTTTTTACAGATTGCCATGTTTTCCGATTCATTGTTTCAGAATTGATTGTAATCCGAAGATAACATTTGCTCAGTGAGCAATGTATGGACACATAAAGCCATAGTCACGTTTGTATCCCAATAGAATTGCCCATTAAAGCGAAGAGGGGATGGCTTTTAAAAGGTTCTCAGATGTCACTGGGAACAATACAAATGATCACATCGGTTTATCTTCAACTTTTAATGTCATAATAAAAAATTGTGTCTTATTTGGAAGGCAATTTCAAGAGCTGTACAATTACTTATCACTGCACACAGAAACGCACAAATACACACGTAGAAACACGTGCATACACCCAGACATGTATCATTTCACGTTTCAATTGTATTTTATTTAACCAGTGGTGGAGAACTCCACAAAGACCGGGATGGGCTCATTTGCAAGGGTAAACCTGGGTCACCAAAATAACAACAGCAGGAACATTAAACTAAGGACTGTACAGCAATAAAGCAAATCGAAATCATAGCAAATTCCAAAATAAATAAGATTGTTTAAATAGCAAATACGTGTCATGACTACCCATGACACGTGTTATCCACTTTCGCTTGTAACGTGTATTTTATTAATATATTAAGTCCTTCACCTGAAAAATCCCTTGAGATTGAAATCCCATGGGTGTCCAGGCATGTGCAGTGCACCATGTTTGGTTGTGCTCACCTAACAACGTGTGTTGTCTTTTGTGATAGGTGTGCTGGCCATATGGACGCTGGTGACCCATGTGATGTACATCAAGGATTACTGGCGGACCTGGATACAGGGCCTGAGGTTCTTCTTTACTGTGGGCGTGAGCTTCCAAGTGATTGCCCTGGTGGGCTTCATCACCTTCTTGGCATTGGCCATCTCCGCACATCAGGGTGAGCCATTAGCCATTACTTCACTCTCGTTCGCGCGTGCCTTCGGGACTAATTGCATATATGTGCACAATAATTAACGACGTGTCAACGTTGAGTAAATAGGTCTGATGATTTTATTCCAATAACTGGTCCCGCTTCTTGAATGATGGCTACAGTTTTATCATCTAGTCCATCCTGTGAAGAGCACAAAGTTGACTTCTTCAAGTGTGACATCTGTAATTTCCGCATCTTCATCTGATAAACAATTAGATGTCTAGTATATGTTTACTTCAGAGATCTTGATTGTGAGTTATAGTTCTATTTTTCTACCTCAGGACTATCAGTTGTGAATTTCCAATCGCATGCTTCCTCTTTGTGATCTTCAGTCATGTTTTATTGTCTATATCTGTCTGTCTTCTTAATCTGCACGTTCTTACAACTGCGTGTGCAATGTTGCAAGAATGCAAATGCTGTCTGTGTGAGATTGACAAGGAAGTTGTCTCGTGTTGGGTACCCGTGCAGTGAAATTACAGCTCTGATGTTGAATTTGTTTGTTTGTTTCAGCCCTGACAGACCCCACAAGCCTATACATTACTTGTATTTGGTGCCTAATGACTTTGAAGTGGGCATTCTTTCTCTCATACTATGCTCACCACTACCACGAGGAATGTGCTGATGTTAATACCCTCGATGATATCTAAGGCCATGCTACACGCGCAACATTTTCAAGGGCATCAGCATCGAGAGTGGTAAACGGTGGTGAATAAAGATGCATTTTTGCAACATGCTGTTTTCTGCTAGCACAGTTTTCTAGACTTTAAACTGCATATCTACATTTTATTAGACATATATGTGCGAGGAAGGAGGGTTCTTGCCCAGAACGTCACCTATTGTTTTTTTGTTCTTAAGGCCACATAGAGGCTATTGACAAAAAGTATTTTTTTTTGCGTTTGTGCACCACTGCCAACGCAGTTCACCAAATACTTTGTTCAACTGATTGAGATCAGATTTTGATTGTTGCTTCAATATCCAGTGATGCAATACTGTACTGTATAACTTAAATTGTTACAAATAAAGTAAAAACTGTAATTATTTGTAAAATATATGTTAATTTACTTCTCTTGAAAATGTGCTGTACTTATCTGCTGACAAGCTATTGTCTCTATGTGTAATTATAAATCAAACAATGGATTTAGTGATGCTGCGTGCAGTGGTGACACGACCACAATGACCAAGAGCCCAACATATTAATTTATAATACGCCTGCCTTTAAAGTAAACATTCTATAATAAGTGACCTTTCGGACCATTACCTTCGTCTGAAATGTGTAATTGAGGAATGTGTTGAAATGTTGTAATTAAAAGCAGCCTCTGACCTATGGTTGCCTTTTCCCAAAATCGGATTCTAAAATGTAATGGTTTTTATTGGAATATTTTGAGTACACATATGTTAAGATTGAACATTTGGAATTCACCTCCGCGTAACCCCGTTTTTTGTTTGTGGACCCTGCAATTTCTCACCTCTGCAACCCCGTGATACAGAGAATAAAATTGCGCCCTTTGCCTCGTGCCCCGAGCTCTGCTTGTAAACGTTTAGCTGTTGCCATATGGCCTTGAGCCGGATTGCTCATGAGTAAACCCCACTTTATGCAGCCCAAGATGAGCACATGATTCGCTGTTACCCTCCCTCACGTGTTGAAGCACCCCGCATATGGGGAAGGGAGAGAGTAATTTTGGTCTTGACAGGAACAATGTCATACTTCCCCTGGAACACTCAGTGGAGGGGATACACATTAACATGCATCTTGGGGGATGATGTGGGTAATGTGAATGTCACTTTATTAATAATACGAGGAATATGAGTATCAAAAACATATTAAAGATAATACTAACAATGATATTCATATTAACAATACTACAGGAATACCCTGTTATACCTAATGGACATGTCCCTTTAAATCCTACTTAATTCAATTACTTAAAGCGAACTCTAATTTCCTAGAGCCATTATATAAAAATTGGCAGTTGCGTTCCTAGCTGACATTTCTGGGAAAAAATGCATGGCTAAATGTTATGAAGTGTACAAAAATGCATATTTTTCATACGTTAATATACATTGCAACTCATAATAAATACGAATAATGAGATGCAAATTTCGATTTAAAGCTTTCATGGCTGCAGGGATTCATATTCTTGGTTCTTTCGGTAAAGTCACGTAGAATGGAAATAATAAAATAATAAAATTTTACATAAAAATAAAACAATAAAATTCTCACGAGGTTTCGATTGCAACACAAGCAATCATCATCAGGTGTGAAAACCACATTTTCTTGCTGTGGTTTTCACATCTGATGATGATTGCTTGTGTTGCAATCGAAATGTCGTGAGAATTTAATTGTTTGATTTTTATTATTTTATTATTTCCCTTCTACGTGGCTTTACCGAAAGAATTAAGAAAAATATTTACACCTTATGTAGATTTTGAAATTCAGTCACCTTTACATACTATATGAATACAAATTGTGGTTTTTTTTCAAAAGTGTTGTAAATGTGTGATTGTGAGGAACAGTAGTGTCATGATAAGTGCAATACTCTTAAAGTAAGTATTGCTGTCCTGGGTTACGTTTGTATACCATGGACATCGGTGGCACATTATATGTCAGCCATACCAGGGACACAGAAGCAGTTGAGTACCTAGTTATTTTTACCCACTGTTGGCAATATTTTCGGTACTTACATGATTGCACGTTGTAATTGGTTGTGTTTTTTTCCATTCCAGCAATAAGGATTTGGGTTCAATCTTTATTATTATTAAATAGCTCAGCTGAAATTTGGATTTGATTCGATTTGGTTCTGATGGATTCATCCCATTTCTTCGAATAAAAAACAAATATGGCATAGCTAAGTAATTTTCGTTACATTTTCAGTGGATGTTTTAGAGTGAGTGCTTGTGGATGTTGTCCTAAGTTTTAACACCGATGGAAAGTGATTCCAATATGTGATTATGATAGTTAAAATGATGTGTATGTATGAAAAATTCGGTAATACAGAGTCTGAGTCATCAAAGAAAAATAAAGTGTATTTACAATCTATACACAAGTCTTGGATTTCAGTTTAAACCCGCGGTCTTAATGTAAGAGCAATGTACGCTACACTACTTCACACTTGGCACTACAGCAGCATGACCACAATCGTTCCGCCTCCCTCGGGCTCAATCTGAGCTTGCTTATACGTCGTATTTGCCCACCAGAGCCTACATTGCTTGAATGTATGTATTCATTTGGCCCTTCTTAAATTTACGATGAAATTGCAACATTGCATTTGAATTTCCACCTATGAAACTTGGTGGTTCTGCCCCTGGCTTCTGATTCGACAGTGAGCATGCAAAATTGCAGTCATATCTTGTTCTGTCACTTTACGTAATGGTGTCATAATATATACAAAACAATGATGCCCTCATCAGTGTTATAGCTGCCATTGCATATACTACATCTACAATCTACTATTTCATCAAGTGATGCTCTGATGCACGTTGACTCAAGCAAATGTCGAAAAAAAAATCAAGATTACCACACAGCGAACACAGCAAAGAGAGATGTCTCCACTCTCGTGCTCCAGAATAGAATTGCCACCTGACTGCCAATTTCTGGACTGGATCTGACTTGGGGCCAAGCAGGGCCGGGAGCAGGACTTGTGCAGCACTTTATTGCACGGGCAGTCCAGGCACTGGTAACTGTGCTTGAGTGGTATAAATAGATTTGTACCGAGATCTGGTATTGTGTTGAATGTGATCACAGTATACTCCACAGCGCTGATAGTCCTGGGCTGACTGAAAATGTCTGAGCTTGGTCTGTGGAAAAAGTGGCAACCCTAGCCTGGTTGGTGCTTGAGTGGCCACATTTGCCCATCGTCGCCACTCGAACTCTTCACGTAGCCGTCCTTGAGCTACATCAAGAGAACGAAAGCCACCCGTGGCTATGGTTTTAATATTTAAAAGAGGGAGGGGGAGATGGAGGGGTTGAGGGGCGGGGTGGAGGGGGGGAAATGGAGGGGTTGAGGGGCGGGGTGGAGGGGGGGAGATGGAGGGGTTGAGGGGCGGGGTGGAGGGGGGGAGATGGAGGGGTTGAGGGGCGGGGTGGAGGGGGGGAGATGGAGGGGTTGAGGGGCGGGGTGGAGGGGGGGGGTTGAGGGGCGGGGTGGAGGGGGGGAGATGGAGGGGTTGAGGGGCGGGGTGGAGGGGGGGAGATGGAGGGGTTGAGGGGCGGGGTGGAGGGGGGGAGATGGAGGGGTTGAGGGGCGGGGTGGAGGGGGGGAGATGGAGGGGTTGAGGGGCGGGGTGGAGGGGGGAGATGGAGGGGTTGAGGGGCGGGGTGGAGGGGGGGGAGATGGAGGGGTTGAGGGGCGGGGTGGAGGGGGGGAGATGGAGGGGTTGAGGGGCGGGGTGGAGGGGGGGAGATGGAGGGGTTGAGGGGCGGGGTGGAGGGGGGGAGATGGAGGGGTTGAGGGGCGGGGTGGAGGGGGGGAGATGGAGGGTTGAGGGGCGGGGTGGAGGGGGGGGATTGAGGGCGGGGTGGAGGGGGGGAGATGGAGGGTGAGGGGGGGTGGAGGGGGGGGTTGAGGGGCGGGGTGGAGGGGGGGAGATGGAGGGGTTGAGGGGCGGGGTGGAGGGGGGGAGATGGAGGGGTTGAGGGGCGGGGTGGAGAGGGGGAGATGGAGGGGTTGAGGGGCGGGGTGGAGGGGGGGAGATGGAGGGATTGAGGGGCGGGGTGGAGGGGGGGAAATGGAGGGGTTGAGGGGCGGGGTGGAGGGGGGGGTTGAGGGGCGGGGTGGAGGGGGGGAGATGGAGGGGTTGAGGGGCGGGGTGGAGGGGGGGGATGGAGGGGTTGAGGGGCGGGGTGGAGGGGGGGGGGTTGAGGGGCGGGGTGGAGGGGGGGGATGGAGGGGTTGAGGGGCGGGGTGGAGGGGGGGGATGGAGGGGTTGAGGGGCGGGGTGGAGGGGGGGAAATGGAGGGGTTGAGGGGCGGGGTGGAGGGGGGGGTTGAGGGGCGGGGTGGAGGGGGGGAGATGGAGGGGTTGAGGGGCGGGGTGGAGGGGGGGGATGGAGGGGTTGAGGGGCGGGGTGGAGGGGGGGGGTTGAGGGGCGGGGTGGAGGGGGGGGATGGAGGGGTTGAGGGGCGGGGTGGAGGGGGGGGATGGAGGGGTTGAGGGGCGGGGTGGAGGGGGGGAAATGGAGGGGTTGAGGGGCGGGGTGGAGGGGGGGAGATGGAGGGGTTGAGGGGCGGGGTGGAGGGGGGGAGATGGAGGGGTTGAGGGGCGGGGTGGAGGGGGGGAGATGGAGGGGTTGAGGGGCGGGGTGGAGGGGGGGGATGGAGGGGTTGAGGGGCGGGGATGGAGGGGTTGAGGGGCGGGGTGGAGGGGGGGGATGTCCTCCCGGCCCCGGGCGGAGCGGAAGTGGCGCGTGGAGGAGGAGTCACGTGGGGCGGTGCGCGAGGTCACGAGGTCACGAGGCCGTGCCGGGTTCTCACTGTATGCACTGTACGCGGACCGGCTGAGAGAGAGAGGAGGAGACCCCCAGGTGAGCGAGTCTCGTGTTGTCGATGTCGATGTCGAGCAACAGCTGTGGTTTTACATTGAGGTAGTAGAGCCAGATCATTGCGTGAGCTGTAGCGGAGTGGTGTACAGTCGTGGCAATGCCTGCTTTGTACAGTAGCCAATCGGGCATTGAGTCGTTTTCTGTTTCATGGTCTGTTTCGGGTGACCTCAGTCGCCCAGAAAGTGGTAGGATACAGCAGATACTGTTCCAGGTGAGGGAGTGGTGAGTGGGAGAGACTCCTGTAGGCCAATGGCGAGGGCAGAGAGGGGAAGACGCTTCAGGTGAGTGGTTAGCGAGGCCCTTTTCATCCCTTTTCCACATCCGAGCCAGCACGGGGTCTTCACGCTGTTAGCCGTGTTGAGGGGGGCTCACAACACGTCCGAGTCTGGCTGGGGGCCATGCAGGGCCAGGGTAGTGATGTGTTTATTGCGCGTGCCGTTAGTTGGGTTCCCACCTGTCCAGGTATGACCCGGACAGTCCTGGAACTGGCATCTGTGTTTGGGTGGCAGGAATTTATATGTACCGAGATATGGTACAGTACCGGAATTGTGTTGAACGTGATGCCAGTTTACTGATTGGTTTTAACAGCGCGAGGCTGACTGAGAGATAAGTCTGCGGGAAAGGTGGCAACCCTCGACGTGGGCACTCTCACGGCGCGACTTCTGCAGTCGACAAACCCCCAATCTGGTGCCCCCTGCCCCGCGCCGGCGGGTCGGCTGTGCTTGTTCAGTCGAAAGCTCAGTTTTACTTGCTTTGCTCAGCCTATTCAACAGTCTCCCTGTAAACCATTTGCTATATATATACTATCATTAATATAACGGGAAAGAATATCAAACAACTTGTCTAACTTTTCTAAACCATAAAAAAGCCATTTGACTGAGTTTTAGCACTAAATAAGTAATACGCAGGAATTTGTCAAATATTAATTAGTAGCTCTTTGCCAAACTCATTAAAATTGGCCACATTTTCAAATGTAGATCGGCCCTCTTGAAAAAGTCTTGAGACTCAATGAGGCTTCAGGTAAAATGTATGATTCTTATTGGATGATTGCCTCTGCATACCGTGTTGGTGGTGGCGGTTGTTTGGCCATACTTCACCATGCTGGTCAGTGTGGGTTAGTAAAAACCTTTCTTTTTAAATCCTATATATTAAGTTCGCTTGCTTGCTTGCGTGCTTGCTTGCGTGCTTGCGTGCTTGCTTACGACCGTGCAAACCTTTCGGTCGTTTTTTAACCCACTTCCCGTGATCCAATCGAGCTGACATTTTGCACACAGACTCGTTGTGCGAGACAATTAATGTTCGTGAAAAAAAATTCCAAAATTTTACACTGTTTAGGGAAAACAAATTAAATATTTAATTACCAATTGTTTAATACTGCAGACAATCATCTGACCCATAGGTGGCAGCCATCTCAAGCCAGAGGACAAGAGGACTCTAGCCGCCACGCATATAAAGGATTTAGAGTGAAAAACTTTGTTTTTACGGGTTATACTTATTTTAACCCCACCCCACTGGAAATGTGATGAATTATACCATGAATAAACATAACATTTGTATAAAACTCGTAACTGTAATTCTTGCCTCACAGAATGAAGCAACTGTCTGTAGGGAGGAAGGTTGGGACAACCCTCTGGCTTCTGTCGGCGCTTCCTCATCAAATGAGCAAGACGAAACTCAAGCCTCAATTGCCCAGGTCCTATTGGATTATTGACTATAAATACACAATTACAATGTACCATGGTGATTGCATTGACAGGTTTGTGTGTAAGGTGATGTATCCTGTATAGCTATGAAAGTAAATAATTGTGGATAGTTGTGCTATTTACATTACAATACAATGCTAAATTAACAATGCACGAGGTAAGAAATTGATGTGGATGGATGCTGTAATGCTTTCTCATTTGTTTTTGTCCTTAGAAGTATTAAATTAGCAATAATAACAATGACACGTTCCAAGCCGCAGAACAAGATGACAGTGTGGCATTGTGAGATGACCTTGCCTTGGCTATATTTTTTCACCTGAGGACGATTGTGTAGCGAACGAAACGTCGTGATTTTTTGTTATTTCTCTATCTACATGACTTTACCGAAAAACCCAAAGAGTATGAATTCCTGCAGTCACGAAAGCTTTAAGTCAAGATGTAAGGCTTATTGTTTTAGGGATAGTTTTTATCGCCAATGCTTGAGCAACATCTTAATTAATTTGGACCCTTGTCCCAAAGTCTGTTGTTAAAGCGTAAAAACGACCTACTATTGTTGCTGTGCTCACGCACCACACATCGCCCTTGCAAAATGGCCAGGGAACTGACCAAACGGTATCATTCGTGTAACAGCTTACTCAAATTGGGGCTTACCTGAGTCGGGCTTCATCGGGTATCGTTGTACTTGACTGATTCTGATTATACACGCTGCTGTTGCTGCAGGTATTGCAGCAATTGTGGAGTCACAAAACTCACATCACCTAAAACAGATCACCTGGAGCGCACGAGCAATAACTTCCGTCAGGAGGTAATTTTCTTCACGGTTTGAATTGAGATCATGAGCTTAAATATTGTGAATGCATCACACCTAACCATCACTTCCTTCTGTTAAGTTTGGCAGCTGGTGCAGGCCAAAGGCTGCAACATGTACAGCAGTTCGATTTGAGGAGCTCAGTTTTCTTTTATGTCCCAAGGCCTCCTTCAACAATTATTACTCTGATACAGAGGATACCAAAATAATTTTTACATATCTGTCAGACAAACAGCCTTTTGGACCAGATTTTTTAGTTGAACCAATACTATAAAAAAATTTTAACTTCGAGAAAGCCATGTAAGTGATGGAATGTGTAAAGAATACTTTTATTTTTTTTCATAGAGGGACAGATATGGGGAGGTGGTATATTGTGAGCTTATATATTTTGTTTCTTGTAATGTCCACAATTATGCTCAAAATTATATGTGGGTGCCGCTTAATTTGTGGTCTTATATGATGTCTGCAGATGCTCTCAGCGGCCACAGTTCTGGAAATCCTGGATGCCTCTCCAAGTGTCAAGCGGCTCGCACTTCATGTCCACAAGCCACATTTCAACTTCAAAGCCGGCCAATGGTGCGCTGTGTCTGGAAGCTGGAGAAGACATCTCTTCTCTTGAACATATGTTATATTTAACTGTGATGCAACTCTTTGGAAGAATATGGAGTCACAGTGGGATTGTGGGAAGATGTATTAAAGAGCTTGATGGTAATGCAATTGAATTTAGATGTTTATAGTGTCTGTAACCTGATAGTAACGACAATATATGCAAGAAGGGATATGCAGGGAGTGGATGGGGCAAGGAAGTAATGGCTGGTCATAGTGTCACTAAATCCACAAACTGCCAGCTGAGGTTTTAGACTGCATAGCGACAGGTAGGGCTTCTACCTGCCCATCCAGGTCCAACCCGGACTATCTGGGAATTTACATCTGTGTTTGGTTAGCAGGAATTTATTTGTACTGAGATATGGTGGTATTTTGTTGAACTGCATTACAATATACTACACGGTTTTGGTAGACCTAGGCTGACTAAGAAATATCTCTGGGTTTTGGTCTACAGTGTGAAAGGTGGCAACCCTAGCGACCAGACAGCCAAATTATGTGTGGCGGACAGCTGGCCCATGTTAGACAAGCAGCAATAGATCACAGTGTAGGTGGGTGGGTTACATCAGAGGTGAGTAGGACAAGAGCCAGTGCTTGGTTCAGTGAGGTAACAATGCAAGTGTATGCTAAGGTGGAGTGTAGGAAAAAAGTAATCACAGATATCTTGTTAATAGTCAAGGAAAGTAAGTGTGCTTGGGAAAAACACTTCACTAGTCGGGTTGTTACCGATGGACAAGACTGGAGAAAGACTGTGGCAGCCAAGGGAGAGAATACTTCTGAAAGGACGACAGTCGTTTGGAGGAGTGAAATGGAATATGGATGATAATGATGAATAATCCAACATTTTTCGTTTATAACATGGTTTAGTTTACAATTGTATAAATCATGACACAGTTTTGTTAAAATATTACTCAAATATTCTAGCTATTTTTTGATTTAAAGCTTTCGTGACTGCAGGGATTCATCTTCTTGGTTACGTGACTTTACTGAAAGAACTACGAAGATATTCTAACTATTGTTTTTACTCATTATGTAGTGAAAGTACAAACTGAAAGCATTGAATTGTGATCTGGGTCCTTTACAATTACAGGGTGGACCTGTTCATCCCAGGAGTGTCCAAAGTTGGAGGCTTCTCCCTGTGCTCTTCCCCCGAGCGCCTGGCAGAGGAAAGCCTTGTGGAGTTGGCTGTGAAGTACAGCTCACATCCGCCAGCACACTGGGTACACAGACAGGTACTGATTGGGCCTTGCTTGATTGATAGTCATAATTCCTAGCACATTTAGTCATGTGTACACACACGTGGTATATGTAATTCTTAAACCATTTTAATTCTGTGAAACTGACAAATACATTGTTGTGGTAGATCATAAGTTATTATTCCACTTGTTTACCCAGGGACGCCTCACTGAGTCTCATGACTCTGTGTAAGGACAAGCCGACCAGTGCAGTAGAGGGGCTATCATTGCTTGTTGCCATGTCGATTACAATTGGATAATTTGCAGATTTTTTGTATTTGGCATATTTAGACTGATGTTAACACACAATGGCCTACTCTTGAAATTACATCAAGGAATCTTTAATGTCCACTATGAAGCAGGCGGCATATATATATATATTTATGTTTAATTCACCTGCAGTAATAACCAGGGCAGCCACTGGATTCGAATCATGAACCTGTGAAAGAAGCGGCTAACGTGCTACCGCTGAGCCACGTCACTGCCCTCAGTTGTCGATTTACATGTATTTTAGTTGTCAATTTTGTTCCATTTGTATAATCATGATTGGCACATCTCTGCTTAAATCAAAAGGGTGGTGAAAACATGGCCACCTTTTAGTCTCATGTCCTCTTGATACTTTCCTATATTGACGCCCAAGAGCATAGTGCAAAAGAGAGTTGGGCCTTATCTTATATTTATATAGCGCCTTCATCCAAAGGCGCTTTACCAGGGTTATGAGTGGTACAATGAGGGTAGCTAAAAGTGATATGGCAAATAGGGATCGGGTATGAGGAGGGAGGTTTTTGGGTACGGGAATTACGGGGGTACCTAGGGATGGAGGGAAGGATGGGCCAGGGAGAAGAGGTGGGTCTTGAGGGAGTAGCAGAAACTCGACAGGGAGGGTGCTTCTCGCTTAATGTGGAGGGGAAGTTTGTTCCAGTGCAAGGGGACAAGTGGTAGGGAAAAGGAGCCTAAATGGGATTGTGCACAAGGAGAGGGGGGAACGGTTAGGAGACGGAGAGATGAAGAGCGGAGCGGGCAGGAGGGGATATAAAACGAGACAATGCAAGCGAGGTAAGGTGGGGCAAGGCCATGAAGAGATTTATATACTAGCTTAAAGAGTTTCAACAGACACCGGTAGTAGATGGGGAGCCAGTGCATTTCTATAAGAAGGGCGGAGGTGCGGGAGCAGTGTGGTAGGCTGTAAATGAAACGTGCAGACGAATTTTGTATCTGTTGTAGCGGAATGAATGCATATGCTGGGAGACCGAGTAGGAGAGAGTTACAGTAGTCTAACCGAGGGAAGATGAGTGAGTGTATTAGTAGTTTGGCGGTGGACTGAGTGATAAGAGGGCATATTTTGCGAATGCTTACAAGGTGGAAATGATATGTGCAGGTGATTGTGGAGATTTGAGAGGTGAGGAAAAGGGAGGAGTCGAAGAGAACACCAAGTTTGTGGGCAGATGGGACGGGGTGAGTAAGAAGGGTGGGAAGGTGATGGTGGGGGTGAGTGGAGGTGATAGAACAGCCGGGGAAAAAGAGAACCTTTTTTTTTTATTGGGTTGATGGCAAGGAAGTGAAGCGACATCCAAGGCTGAAGGGTGGTTAGGAAGGCTGATATGCGAGAAGAGAGATCCAGAATGAAAGTGGAGAGAGAGAAGAACATTTGGATGTCGTTGGCGAAGAAGTGGTGGGAGAAGTTAAAGGAGGAGATAAGTGTTTCAAGAGGGGAGATGTAGAGCGAGACGAGAAAAGGGCCCAGTACAGAGCCTTGACGGGTGAAGGAGGGGTGCAGGAGTGATTGAAGGAGACCGAGGAAGAGCGTGAAGAGAAATATAATTGGAGCTAGGATAAAGCAATACCGAAAATGCCCAGATTAGAGAGAGTAGAGAGAAGAGTGGGATGATGGACAGTGTCAAAAGCCAAGGAGAGGTCGAGGAATTTGTTATACCTGAGTTTCCTAATGTCTTCTGAAGCATGCAACCTTTACAGAGATGTGTTGAGTATATTTGAGTATTTGTTTTTAAGGGTTAATAAATAATATCAAGAACTAACTAGTATTTAGCTAAATAGTATTTAGTCCTGAATGTGATTAAGCATGTAATTATTGTAGAGCATTGTGAGATGCAATTCGCATGAATGACGCTGTATAAAAAGCTTAAATTATTATAGAATCTCTCCATTGCAGGTTGTAGAGTCACACCAATGTAGAATTACTCTATCAATTCTTATTACCACCCGAGATTTCAGCACTTTTTTTCACCCAACCACAGTTCTTATGCTGTGGTATTAATAGGTTCTGGAGGGGAGATGGTGTGGGGGTTAGTGAGCCCATTTATTTACAGATGAGGATTGCTCATAAATGTGCGTGTGTGTTATCAGTGCAGTGTTGGGGCTGAAGTCGCTATTCGTATTGGTGGAGACTTCTACTACAACCCCCAACCATTCGATCCATCCCATGACCTGCTGCTCGTGGCAGGAGGGGTGGGTATCAACCCCCTCTACTCCATCCTTCTGCACGTTACGGATATGCTGCGACAGGATGCTCCTGGCTGCAGCCCACAGAAGGTCAGCTTGGTCTACACCGCCAGGGATTCCACCGAGATTCTCTTTCAGGTAAAGGCAAATGCTTTGCTCACAGGGTATGTGTGAGCCTCAATCAACATTGGATCGGCCCCTCTTCAACACAACATTTACAGTCCCAAAATCAACTATTTAAGTGTCCCTTGAGTGAAAACCCAAACAGGCGGACTTGCTTACACACACACAGCTACTTGAACATTTAATGATTTGCCTCACACACTGAAATGTGCCACCAGCCTCAACTGTCATTCCAATTGGTATCTGTCAATTTTGGTGTTTCGTTGTCTAGGGTATAGTTGAATAATGACAGTAACCCATGGAAAACAGATTAATTTGATATCGTCGCATACATGGGAGTGGTTGAACACACTAGTAAACCACACATGGGAACTGGACTTTAATGCAAGCAAGTCTTTTCTTTATTAAGAGCCAGAATACCATGTATTGGTATTAATCAAAAAGCAAATCAAGCAAGCAATGCTGTTTATTTTATTTAAAACAAATCAACATAAAATAACCAGTCTCAAAGTAGTAAATGTATATGCATGAGTCAAACTGAATGAGGACTTGATACCACTGATCCGAAGTACAATAGTTGTGATACTTATTGATGAATTTATTTTAAGCACAGTGTGGTATCCTTAGTCACAGTCGATTAGCAGGTGTCTTCTCTCACGTGTAGGAGTCATTGCACACGAGGCCTCCTCTGGTGCAGTGCAGATCAACGTTAACAGCGCGATGTCACAGCGATACAGCCACACGCTAGCATCGATAGCTGGCAGCTTGATGAATGACAACCCCATCACAGTGATGAAGCAGTTGCGGGCCGTTAATTACAGTACAGTAGCGGTGCTATCAGTGCTGTGCTTTTCATTGCATGGTGTGGACAAATCAGTTTCGAGGACATTTATTATCAGAATTCGTTTTTTTGTTTGCTTTCTGACCACAAGCATTGTGATTAATGTAGACATGATCCCTTGTGAAAGGTTTCAGTTTGGTGTTTTAACATCTTAACACCTGTTTGTTGCCAGAAAAAAAGGAAAATACCTATTATATGTTGGTACTGGCAAAGGAGATCCCATGGTATATACGTTATAGATTTTAATTATATGTGTACATGTAATTGATTTTGATATGTATTCCTTGTCACCCTGGACACCCTTGCAAACGAGATGTTCCATCTCAACTGATTGTCCAGGTGAAATAATTGAATTGATACATAAACAGAAACATGACTGTTGGTTGATGATGTGGTGCAGGAATCGTTGCTGGCCTTGATGAAGGAGTTCCCTGAACAAGTGAGATGTCACTTTCACGTCACCAGGCAACAGGCGCCTGTACCGGACTATCTCAGACCCCACCTCACAGGTACTCAAATAAAACTAGTGGGCAGCCCATCCTGATGATGGGGTCATGTGACACACTCACCTGATTTTCAGCAATTATAAATGTATTGGTATTAATCAAAATTTAACCGCCTCTACGGGGAGGGTTTCCACACAACCATAAGATATTTTAACAAACTCCGAGACAAGAAAGCTCATCTGATCGAGTCACTCACATTTCTGAAGAGATGCCGCGACTCTAAGGTAATACCGATCTCCTTTACACTGACCTCTGCTGCTGTCACATCTTCCAATGCTAAACGAATTTTGTTCAGGGCTGGCTTAGACCTGATCTCAGAGAGAATTAGACTGCTCCGTACTGAACTAGATCATGTAGACAAGATACTCTTGAAATCACACTGAACATTGACAGAAAAAATGTCTACATCTGATTGGGAACATGTAGATAACATGACTGCTTCATCAGCCACTACAATGTCAGCTAAGTATAAAGATAACCTGATTTCCAAGTTCAACCTCCTTTCCAAGAAGAAACCAGATCCACACATTAAAAAGTTAGACATTGACAAGGTTGTTATTCATCCAAGTAATAGTCCAATTTTCGATGTTCTAAAATCAGTTCTGGCTAAAGGGCTGAACTTTTCAGTCAACCCCAAACACATCCCAGTGGATGACATTATTGCCCAGGTCGATGTAGCCCTTAAAGGTTTGGGACACATCGCTGCAGACGTGACAAGATCTGAAATCGTTGCAATCCTCAAAAGCGATACGATACCAGTCGGCAACATCAGTAAGGATGAGCGTTTTGAGTTATCTCAATTGAAAAAGAGGGATTCATATCATCACCCTCTCAGCCGACAAGGGCAATGCCACGGTCATCATGGACAAAACTGTGTACAACAACAAAATTCAGGACCTACTTAATGATGGGAGCTACACAAAAAATTACGGAGATCCCACCAACAGCTTCATTACAAAAACGAACAGTATCATCACTCATTCAGCTTCATTAATTGAACCGAACAAACGGTTTTCCTTAAAACCTTCTGCTGCTAGATCACCCAGATTATATGGCTTACCAAAAAAAATCCATAAAGAAGGTACACCCCGTCCCATCGTCTCTACCATTGGCTCACCCACCTACAAACTGGCCTCATATGTGTCCGTCACCTTACAGTCATTCACTGGTAAGACCACCTCTTCTGTACTTAACTCAGCTCACCTGGTATCGGCATTAAGGACATCTCACTGTCCCCAGGTGATTTGCTCGTTAGTTTCGATGTACAGTAAAACCTTGGATTACGAGTAACTTGGTCTGCGAGTGTTTTGCAAGACGAGCAAAATTTTAAAATAAATTTTAACTTGATAAACGAGCGAGGTTTTGCAATACGAGTAGTACGTACAGTATACGCTTTGTCTGCCGAGTGTCATGTGATCACAACTGAGCCGATGGTTCTTCTCTCTCTCGCTGCGGGATTGTGGGTAATCGTCTCCCATGCTCGGTCAGCGTGCCTCACTCGTATAGTCAACATCTGTGCGAGCGTATACTGTTTACTATAGTGTTGTGACCACGTGTGTGTGCGTAAAACATTTTTTTAATTTTGTGTCCAAGTGTAGTAACTGTTCTTTAGTAACTGTACTGCAAGTGAAAGTCGTCCTACACAATAATCCCCCTCCTCTCCTCTCTCTCGTCTCCCTCACACCAGCCACGATTACATTTAATTAATAAATTTGTTTGATTTATATTAAATAAAAATATAAAAAGGTATTTTGTATTAATCATTTTTATATTAATACAGTATTTTTGGGTTGTGGAGCTAATCATCTGAGTTTCCGTTATATCTTATGGGGAAATTCGCTTTGATATCCGAGTGCTTTGGATTACAAACACGTTTCCGGAACGAATTATGCTCGCAATCCAATGTTTTACTGTAGTTTCTTTGTTCACCAAAGTTCCTGTGCCTGATACCACTGCAAGCATATTCTTTAGGTCTTTCGGTAAAGTCACATAGATAGGTTAAAATTAATAGAAATAAAATGAACAAAAAACTACGACGTTTCAATCGCAACACAAGCGGTCGTCATCAGGTGTAGAGAAAAGGAGGGTAAGCCTCTAAATGCAACTGTTTATAAAGGTTTAAAAGTGGGCGTAGCCCAAGTGTCAGAACGGAGTGGGCGGGACACAAGAGTCTCGGCCAGCAGTGGATAGAGCAAGCAATAGGCATGGTGTACTAGAGGTAGTCTAGACCAGCAGTGGATAGAGCAAGCTATAGAAGTAGTAGTCTAGACCAGCAGTGTGGATAGAGCAAGCTATAGCCAGTAGTCTAGGCCAGCAGTGTGGATAGAGCGGGGCTCCTCACCTCAGCTCTCTCCCCAGCCTGACTTCCTCTGGTCTACCATCTATCCATTTTTAACACTCCGATGCTCACCAGTTTTTTAACCCCTCACACAACCTTCACTCATTCTGCCTGCAACCGCTGGGGAGAGAGCTGAGGTAAGGAGCCCCGGTCTATCCACTGCTGGCCTAGACTACTGGCTATAGCTTGCTCTATCCACTACTGGCCTAGACTACCTCTAGTACACCATGCCTATTACATGTGTAGTGACGTATATCGAGTCACTACGGCACTTTACGCCAGCTATTGAGAATAGAGAGGAACTACGCGTGTTAGAGCCTCTCTCTGGCACCATGGTGTGTATGCCATGGAAGGGGCCCCTAGGGGGCATGGTTCTGGTAACGGGCAGAGAGAGGGCACGCCAGGACATGATACTCTGGGTGAACCCGAGAGGTCACGTGACCAGGACAGGGTAACGAGGGGGGCCCGAGGGGGGCGAGCGGGACACGTGAAATGCAGCCGAGAATCTGCAGTCACAAAAGCTTTAAGTCACCATTGCAATCATTGAAGATTTGGTCCAACAAGGATTGAATGCTGATGTACCGGCCCTGGTGAGACACGTCTCACCAATACATACTTCACCTAAAATGGAACATACTATAAACAAACTGAAGGCACCCCAATGGGTTCTCCCTTATATCCGGTTGTAGCCAACATTTTCATGGAAAAATTTGAGATGGATGCCATCCAGGCATCCACTCTACGCCCGTCCTTGTGGAAGAGGTACGTGGATGCCACGTTTGTCATCTGGCCACATGGCCAACCGGCTCTGAACCAATTCCTCAACCACATAAATTCCATGCACCCAGCCATCAAATTCACCATGGAGGTAGAAAAGGATGGCAAGCTACCTTTCTTGGATGTCCTAATCAAAAAGAGACCAGATGGCTCAATGAGCCATTGTCTACAGGAAAGCAACCCATACTGATGCCTACCTAAAACCTGACTCCCACCACCATCCATCCCAGAAGAATTCCCTCATCAAAACTCTACACCATAGAGCTCAATGTGTCTCCGACCATGAACACCTAACCAGTCAACTCAAACACGTACACTAAGCTTATTTTTATTCACTTTATTTTGATTACTATTTTTTTATCTACGTGACTTTACTGAAAGAACCAAATAATATAACATTTATACTATCTAGAATCTATTATCTGATTTATAATGTCCATCCTTTCTGTATTGTGTGTATCATTCTCTCTTTCATTATATGTCCATCTTGTTTATGTTGTCCACGTCATTTTGCCTGTCTTGTTTGTGGTGTTGTATTTATGTCTTGCTTGGTTCATCTTCTTTCATTGGTGGCATAGTGGGTATCCTTAGGCATTGAACATGTTTGGTAATATTTTATTGGCACAATAAGGGTTAGAGAGGTGACCATCTGCTTGTATTTATAGTTATGCTTTGGAATAATTCTGATCATATAATTTCATTCAAGAAATACAGCCGCTCTGTTACATAATACTGAATGTATATGTTTTAAATATTTACGTGTGATTCTTAATGGTTGTCAGTGACACTAAGTTACATCTTTCATATGTTTTCTTCCATTTCTGCATGACCTCAGTTGGAAAGCTGACGAAGAATGATTTGAGCGCGCGTGTGAACGGGACTCCAAGGTGCTACATCTGTGGACCACCCCCCATGATTGAATTTGTGTCGGAGACACTTCAGTCACTGGAGTTGCCTCGGGCTAGCATCTTCTATGAGAAGTGGTGGTAGCAGCTCTGGATTTTTTTATGCAAGCAATGCAAAGCAAATATCTGGGAGTATATATTGCAGTTCATTTAACTTGTTATAAAACACATGGCTTGAATGGGCCCAGTTCACGTGTCATCAGAATGCTTATAAATATCTGGAAATTGTTGTGAAACTTTAAGAGGAAAAGAATGGTGCAGATACTTTGGTCAAAGTGTTCCACAAGAAAATACATCACTTGAAGAGGCAGCGATTCAGACAGACGAGATCTCACAGAAACCGAAATGTTCCGCCAGTCTAAACTTATTTAATAATTAAGTCACACTTTAAACAACTTAAAACTGTTAGAAAATGGAGCATTATATATGAACCTGTGGTGTGCAACATCGAATTATTTGTGTACATATGTATGTATTTGACTGGGTGTGATATTGTATTCATACATACTGAATACATTATAGATTTTAAAATGGTCGTATAAATTTCGTTACGTATTTTGTATTTATTACTTCACACCCTGGACACCTTTGCAAACAAAATGTTTCATCTGCAGGGACTATCCAGGTAAAAATGCTTGAATAATAAAAAAAAAATAGGTCCACAATCTGGTGGATACCTTAATCTATCTCCACACAAATGTGATGTAAGAACAGGACTGGCTGCCATGCTGTTTCACATCTCCAATAACAAGACCGGGATAATTATCGTGGCATTGCCTTATTTGCTGACAGCTCATTGTCACATGCAGTGACCAAACACCTTTCATGTTGCTTTATTGAATGAGGGCTCCGTTGGCCCCGCGTTGTTCCTTTGTGATTCCAATGTCTCCGATTCCCAAGCCACTCAACCATGTTTACACTCTTCACAAAACACACACAAATTGTAGTCGCCATCACTGGAAAGTGCTTAACGTAATTTAGCAAAAATGCGGAAATATAATTTTCCAGGTTACGATACAATGAAATATTATATTTGATGATTATGATATCAGTTTACTTTAACATTGTAAATGCATTTCATGTTTACTGTCTTGTTTTTGTGTTTTGATGTACTTCAAGTACATATATTGCTAAAAGTTATTCAACAGCAGTTCATTGAACTTAAGCCGAACAAATCTTTTATCTATTGAAACTTCACAATATTCTACAATTATAACGCACATGCTGGCAAAAAATGATGTCAAATAACCTTTAATTTCTCCAGAAAATATTATAAAGCGCCAATTTAATAGATAGGTTTTTATTTTATTTAATATCAACTAATTATTTCATAAATATTGTCAAATAAAATACTTTAAAAGTATTTATAATCACTGTAACAACATTTAGCGAAATGAGCGTTATGATTATCGTAGAACTTGTATCGTACGATATCATGTTTTGGCCATACATTGGCAATCTTAGCCATAATATCAATCCATGAATTGTGGATTATATCAGGACAGTGGAACTTGATACTGGTCATACCACCTCCCTCAGCCCACATCTCTCGCAACCATAGATTGCGGCATGAACCTCTACCCTATGACCCCGTGTCATTGGTTGTGTCGGGAGCTTACCCTCATTGGCAACCCGGCTGCCTTGTGAGACAAACTCCCAAAATATATAATCTTGTGGTGGACTAATTACCACCTCCCCAATAAAACTACCATAATTTACAGAATTCGTCAGTTCTACCACAATAAACTAACAAAACCTCCAGCAGAAGGCAGAAGATCCATGGGTTTGGTCTTCCACGAAGCACATTGTCCACTTTAATCCGCACAAACCACGGCAGATGCAGATACCTGATGCACAAATCGAAAATTAAAAACTCTCCAGTGTGCGACTGTGGCCATCCAGAACAGACCATACAATATATAACGACGCAATACCTGATCCACAAATATGAAGGAGACCGCACGGCGATATACTCTGCTGCTCCTGACGCAGTTACCCGGCTTTACCACCTGAATGAAATTGGAGTTGCTTTGCATCTCCATCCGCCATATACGAAAGAAGGAAGTCTGCGGCCAGTACCGGGTGGTGGAAGTAACCCAGAGGCCCATATCAAGAAAGTAATACCAGTCGCCTGCTGGGCTGAGTGCAGAGTCTACCACGTGAGTGGTGTGGACAAATACCCCGAACCAAAGAAGACCGCAAGCACACTGATCTTGTAGGCAAGAGGGAGATGGATGCGGAAGGTCACATCTAAAAAATGACAGCCCATGGATTGGGTCAGCTCCATGGTCACTGTTTCAAGTATTTTTCGGAATGTTTTTTTCGGGTAGGTTGTGTAAAACGCATTATAAACCTTCCTCCGCATGACAGCCAATTCATAAAAGTGTCACAATCAAACGTGCCAAATGTATTACTGCTTCAGCATCTCACAGTGTTGGAGAGTAATCTCACAGTTGTTCAGAGTTCCGCTCTCGAGTGAAAACAATTATCCGAGAGCTGAAATAGATGCCATGACGTCAGCAGCAAAGTGATTCGCGTGCTCTAATTCAAGAATTGGTTGAATACGAATTAATTGGCAACTTGGGTTAAGTGGAATAAGGTGAATTTAATAATTAGTGAAAATAGGCCATTAATGATGTTACGGTATATTGGAGTAATGAAGCTGGAACTTCAATGCTATTATAGTGAAGCCTTAATTGAGTTAATTCGTGACGTCGTGGGGATGAGCACGCGTGGGGTGTCTGTGCGGAGCCCGCAGACGGCGGACCGGGCAGCCCCTGAACGCGCGGGGATCAGGGGGGGGCGTCTAATGGTCACGTGGTGTCGCCTCGCGCTCCGCCACGCCCACACAGCCCCCCAATCACAAGCCCGGATGTAGCCCCGCCTCCTCCCGACATGTTTGGGTTTGCCCCGCCCAGGAGACGGCGGGGCTGAGGGGCGGGGCTGAGGGGCGGGGCGCAGCGGGGGGGGGGGTTAGTGCAGCCCGCGCGCACGCGCCGCGCGCTCCGCCGCTCGCCCCGTGGCGCTCTCCTCTGTGGCTCCTCTCGTCTGTGGCGGTCGCCCCACGTTAGTAAGAGTCGCTGTCTCTGCGTCTGCACGCTCCCCCTCTGTCTCCACCATTGCTATAGACTCCACAGATTGCTGCTGATTGAGTGAGTCGTATACGTGCGTGTGTGAGTGAGTTAGTCCCCCCCCACCACCGCATGGCTGCTTCTGGCGGCGGGGATCTCCACGCCGCGCGCTTGGAGGAGTCCCGGATCGCAGCGAAGGCGGCGGCGGCGCGCGAGCGGAGCGGGCCCGCGATGGCCGGGGAGGCCGTGACCAACGGGAGATGCGGCCTGCGGGACGGGGCCGCGGCGCAGGGGCGGCCTGCAGCAGCAGCAGCAGGGACAGTGGGGCAGCAGCTGCTACAGCTGGATACCAGGGGACAGCAGCTGCTACAGCTGGATACCAGGGGACAGCAGCTGCTACAGCTGGATACCAGGGGACAGCAGCTGCTACAGCTGGATAGCAGGGGACAGCTACAGCACAGCCCAGTGTTGGCTATGGGACAGCAGCTACAGCACAGCCCAGTGCCAGGGATGGGACAGCAGCGGAGCCCATCATTTAGAATGGGACATGAACAGGATCCAGGCCTATTAGCGATGAGACAGCCACACAGCCCAGCACCAGGGATGGGACAGCCACACAGCCCAGCACCAGGGATGGGACAGCCACACAGCCCAGCACCAGGGATGGGGCAGCCACACAGCCCAGCACCAGGGATGGGACAGCTACACAGCCCAGCACCTGGGATGGGACAGCTACACAGCCCAGCACCTGGGATGGGACAGCTACACAGCCCAGCACCAGGGATGGGACAGCTACACAGCCCAGCACCAGGGATGGGGCAGCCACACAGCCCAGCACCTGGGATGGGACAGCTACACAGCCCAGCACCAGGGATGGGGCAGCCACACAGCCCAGCACCTGGGATGGGGCAGCCACACAGCCCAGCACCTGGGATGGGACAGCTACACAGCCCAGCACCAGGGATGGGGCAGCCACACAGCCCAGCACCTGGGATGGGACAGCTACACAGCCCAGCACCAGGGATGGGGCAGCCACACAGCCCAGCACCTGGGATGGGGCAGCCACACAGCCCAGCACCAGGGATGGGGCAGCCACACAGCCCAGCACCAGGGATGGGGCAGCCACACAGCCCAGCACCTGGGATGGGACAGCTACACAGCCCAGCACCAGGGATGGGACAGCTACACAGCCCAGCACCAGGGATGGGACAGCTACACAGCCCAGCACCAGGGATGGGGCAGCTACACAGCCCAGCACCAGGGATGGGGCAGCCACACAGCCCAGCACCTGGGATGGGGCAGCCACACAGCCCAGCACCAGGGATGGGGCAGCCACACAGCCCAGCACCAGGGATGGGACAGCTACACAGCCCAGCACCAGGGATGGGACAGCTACACAGCCCAGCACCTGGGTTGGGACCGCCACGAAGCCCAATACCAGGGATGGGACATCGGCATAGTCCGTCGTATAGAATCGGACAGGACCAGGAGCCAAGCCTTTCATTAGGGACGGGATTTCAGCACATCCCAGTGCCAGAAAGTGTACACGGACTGCAGGTCAGCCCAATGTTTGTGCCGGCGGGACTGAGACAGCAAGCCAGTCCAGTTTTAGGAGCAGGGAAAAGACCTCAACCCAGTCCAATATTTGGGACATCGCAAGGACATCAGATCAGCGCCGTTTTTGTGACAGGACTGGCTCAGCACACAGACCCACGGTTTGGGGCAACCCAAGGTCAGCGGGGCAATCGAGGACACGAACTCGGGGTGGAAATGCCATGCGAGGTGGTGGGTGGTCTCGGTCGGAGCAGTCAAGCTGGTCCAGTGTCCTTTGCTGGTGTCGAGCAGCAAAGCCAGGTGTACGGCCAGGTAGCCGGACCGCAGCGTCCTGATGCAGTGTTAGAACCGGATCGTAAACCGCAAGCCAGCCCAGGTATGGGGCTTGCATCAGGACAGCAGATGGTTCCCACGATGGGATTTGGACTCGGACAACAATCCAGCTCCGTGGTCGATCAAGGATCAGGACATCAGGCCAACAACTCGGCCCTTGCAACTGCACTGAGAGAGAAGCCCAGCCCTCTGTCGGAGCAGGGACTGGGCCAGCCATATGGTCCAGTAGTTGGGCCTCCTCTCGCACCGGAGCAGTTGTTACATGGACAGCCTGGATCACAGCACCGGCGCGCAATCGCAGATCCGGGCACCGTGGGGGGTGCGGTGGTGACGCCGCATGGGAGGAGGACGCTGCCCAGGAAGGCGAGCATCATCAAGGTAGGAGGAGGGGGTCCTGCCTGGGTGACACCGCGCTCAGCCACGTTCAATGGAGCCTCCTTCGTTATTAGAATCGTATGTTATTATTTCAAATGCTTGTTTACCCAGGAAAGCATCACTGAGTCGACTTATTTTAAGGAGGCACCGGCCAAGTTTTGCGTTTTCTAATTATCTTAATTTGCTAGTTTAATTTTCTAAATTGGACAAATTTGGACCGTGACTACGGCACACGTGGGGGACGGCAGCAGAGCCCCGTGCTGCCGGCGTCACGCCAGGACAGCGCGGGGACGTGTTGCGAGATCTTTAACGTCCGCTGTGAAGCAGACGGGCGCGTGTGTTGCATGGCTAATGGGCTCATGGGGGGGGGGGTGCAGCTCGGCAACGAGCGGCCTCCTGTCGCTGTCCCAGGACTGAAGGTTTCACATCGGATTATGAAATTAATTTCAGAAATAATTATGATGTAAGTGTAGTCCTTACATTTCGCGACACGTGAATGCAAAATGATCTTGTATTAACTACTTACCACCTGTAATTGCGTTTGCAATGTTTGACTTTAAAATGTCATTGTTAGGCGCGGTTTCTATTCGCTCTCCACCAACCGAAACAGAATAGCAAGAATTGCAATTACCGTATTGGTTGAACTGTAGACGTATATCACCTTTCAGATTTCAGTCCGTCACTGGGTCGTGTGTGTGTTTACAAGTCTAAAGAAAATGTCTCTAAATCGGCCGGAATTAAGAGCAGAGTAAATGTTTGGTGTTGAACTTAAAGGTTAAGCCTCATTACACGCAATGCCATTACTGGCTGTGTGCGCAAGGTGCTGGAAATGTTGTAGCAGCCGCTGCTGCTGCTGCTGATGTTGCCTTTTGCGAGGGAGTGCACGCACAAGGCTCGCCATTCACCACTCGGCGGCGGTGACGTCAGCACGGCGCTTGTGCCAGCCTAGGTGCACCTTGAGGCGACGTGAAGCGTCGAAGGCTCGCTGGCAAGGAGGTCACGGGACAGACGCAGGTCTCGTGGGTTGATCGACCGAGATGACTGGCAGATGCACCACCTGTGCTCCCAACTGTGCCAACTTGCTGGGGTTTAATCCGCCTGGCACTCTCCTCGTTGTTGTGAGCGTCGCTCCTTTCCACCCTCCGTTGTTGTTGGAGGGCGACTGCCTCCAACTGCCCAGCAGCAGCGTCCTTCACGAGCCTCCTCCACAGAGGTCGATCTTGACACCGCTGGTACCGGTCATCGGCAAGTCCACCCAGCTCCACATCGTATCATCAGCCCGTCTCTTCCCCAGCCTGTGCCGCGCCTGTTTAGCCCCCCCCCCACTCTATCCGGCCAAACAGAAGCTGCTTGGGCTGGGGTGGATGGGCGGGCATGCAGGCTGCATGACCCAGCCAAAGCAGCCTTGCCGGAGGAATTGATGGTACTCTGGCCACAGTGTGCGTGTGTGTTTGGTTTAAACAGATGAAGACCCACGGTAGAGCCTTAACAGCCTATTGGGGCAAGTGTGAGCACTTATGAAGGCCGGCATGGCCAGAACCACGCCCGGCTGCCTTTGTCTCCCTTGTGATATTTACACATCGCACCAGGTGCTCAATTTGAGGATCAGTCGACCTAGGGGAGGCCCAGGACTGGTTTAGATAACCATCACCGGTGTTGGCCAAACTCGGGTAAGCAGGTCCGTAGTGCAGCACGCTAACAACTGCGTAACCACTCCCCACGCACACAGACACATGCGCAGGACCTGAAATTGCCACTCACAGGGGAGTGCACAGACACATACACAGACCTGCAGACAGACATACACAAAGACACGCGGGTCTGCAGACAGACATGCACAAAGACGCGCGGACACACACGCAGAGATGGGCACACGACGCTGGTAAGATGAAGAAAATAGGTGTCACGTGGTTATAACATCACAAGCCATACTCTTGAAACATTCTTACTCTCCCTCAAATAGATTGGGAGCACTGCTAGGCCAAGGGCTGATTAGGGTTCATCATCAAAATGCTTTGTTCTGTTACACCGATGATATTAGATTCATTTAAACAAATATTCCACAAGATAACGGTAACAATTAACATGGTGGTAATGACCTCGCCCAGCTATTGGGCAGCTTGCCCGTGACTAACCACCCTGAGGAAGACCGCAATGTGTGAGTTGGTGTGGGGATTGCAGAATGCGCTGTTTCTCACTGCAACGCCCACACAGGCACGCGAATATGGGCATCGGCTGTTGCTGCTGCTTGTCACATGGGGGCTGCTGTCACAGGAACACACGGGCACGTGTGGAGGACACACGCAGAGGTGCCGTGCTGTGAGAATCAATGTGCGCGTGTCCTCATCTTATATTTCACCTCACAAACCAGGGGAGTTTACACATTTTCTTGCCAATAAAAACCTATCCATTAACCAAGACCTCAAAGATGTAACTCGCCACTGACTCATGTCCGGATCCCCCTTCTGAGATTGTATCGTCACCCATCCTAGAATTTAATCCAGGTCCAGAAGGATGCTGGGGGGACCCAAGTGGAACAACCCAGACATGCAGAATAAACACCTCATTTGAGACTTAACATTTCTCCTCCTGGATTTGACATTCGTCCTCGAAGACACTGGTGGAACCATGAAAACATCAACAGGCCGAGGCACACATCTCCTTTATAATTTAAAATTAGAGACAAATCCACAGTAGTGCGATTGTGGGCATGCAACCCAAACTCTGGATCATGTCGTTAACCACTGTGGGCTCTCTGCCACCTACATGAACTGTCTCCTAAAGCCGTCTCGTGGCTGCCTGGCAAGCCTCAACATTGGCATTTAGCTGCTGAACATATTGCAAATACGCCAGGATAGCATAGAGCCCCATAAAGCTCGGTGATGATTAATTTAAAAAAATGTATTAAATGTGTACAGTATCTGTTACATTAAGAAACGTCATAAGCACACGCTAGATAAAGGGCCATGTAGCCGCTGCGACACTTCGATCACGTGTAGTGGGTAACAAATCATAAAATGAGTCGGGCAAGGCGATTCGCTTGCAACCAAGGCTATTCACAGGAAGTTTAGAAGATATTCATAATTTGCATTGAAGATATAAACACATAATTAGAAATGGATTAAATATTTACCATCTCGGATTTTCTGACGATCATAACAGCCGTGTTCAAAATGGTCACTGAACAAATGAAAATATTGTTTGGAGGGACACGACCAATAAACACCGCAGAGTGCGTGTGCAGAGCCGTGTTTTCAACCCACCGCTGGTCACCGTGCAAGGTAAAGGTGCAGCCTTGCAATTACTTTCGCAGGCCACTGCTGGCCGAAGGGCCTCCACCAGAGAGAAACTGTAGGGGGTATTCTAATATTCCACACTGACCAGACGTCCTGGAAGAGGTGAGCGTACTGGCACATCACCCCACCGCACGCGACGTGCCGATGGGCTCCCTGTGGGGAACCCGTTTCTACTGCTGGCTGGGCACAGGGAGATGGAGGAAAACTGCGTTGATTCCACTGCTGGGAGCAGGAATCGAGCTGACAATCCCAGCGTGCCGCTAACCGTTACACCACGGCAGTGCCCTGTGTGCTTCTCATTTAAAAAGAAAATGTTTTGGTTGTTGCGAGACATTCTATACGTGCGGAAAACTAGTAACCGGTTTTTACTGGGGGGTTTTCCACTTGGGTTACCGATAATGGAAAAAAAAAACATGTTTGCAGCACTGGTATTCGTGCAGTTCAATCTTTTCCTAGCAACGAGTAAACTGACTGCATGTTTTACAATGGGCAGCATTTTGAATCAAGGCAGTTTTTCAAGTGTGTCACTTGAGCAAAGCGCATGCTATTCAGACCACGTGGGCTTTAATAGCGACGCACGACTGGAGTGTGTGAGGCTGAGGAGTGTTCCCATTGACACCTTGCTAAGCAAAACGAGTTTAAGCAAGACCCTTAAGCCATTTATTATTTAACATTCTGATTTAATGTCCCTCATTAATAAGAACGTGCCATTATTTGTTACTAATTAGATTTAAGTCGCCTCAAAGGCCACTAGAAAGGGTGATGTGTTAATTGCTTATAAATAGAATTTGAATCTCGCAAATTATCTTAATGACCCATTTTATAAAATTGTAATGTACCACTCCCAACTACATGCTGCCCGGGGGAGAACCCTTTATCGCGTGATAATGTGTTAATCAAATCCCTCATCCTCTACGTAGGGTACATTTTGGGGCAATATCTTGACGATAAATCATGTGTGTTTACTGTTGTTTGTGTAAGGGCTAGAAAAGAGATTTTAAAACAAAATACTGACCAAGTATCTTCCAATTTTTCCTCTATATCACACAATTAGACTTACAAAAGTAGTCACCATTTTAACTCCATTACACCAGCATTTGGATTGTATAGGCCGTTTTGGATGAGTCTCATTAGGTTTTAGAAAAGTTCGAATACCAAAGTTATGGTTACCAGCATTATTGCCGTGTCTGATGGAGGCCTTGCAAGCACTCTGCATTGTTTCCATGACAGCCCCTGGCTGTGTCTGCGTCATTAATTCGGGTACATTCATGTGAACTCAAACGCAAATGTTCTAAATAAATTATTTCTTGGTTTCCTTATTTAGTTGTTTGACAATAATCTGTCCCTTGGATGCTATACAGTGCTCATACAATTCAGTATTGCTCAGTCTGTTTTACAAATATATCCACTATAACATCCTCCCAGCTTACATGATGCCATTTGTATTATTTACACTAAAATGGACATTTAAGAGATTCTTTTGGTGGGTTTTCAGCAAAAAATACTCCTTGTTAAGAGAGACATATTTTATGTTTTTAACCTTCACAATGTGTTTAAGCATTTGCGTTGAAAAGATACACTTTTGTAATACGGTCTACATTATTTTATTATTAGGAGCGTTTTTCGCGTGATTTAAATCTCACATCTCCAGTCTTGCACTTCTGTATTCATGTCATGGGCACTTGAATAGCATGCAGTGGGAACGAAAATCGCATCCCGTTTTACCTGAAAATGTATATTTCCACACTCCAATATCTGAAAATAAATTATTTTTAAACTGGCTAAAACAAAACTATTTCAGACTTGAATACACATTATAGACAATTAGTTATCGAATACTCTTAGGTTTTTTCGGTAAAGTCACGTAGGTAAAAAATTTTAATTAATAAAAGTAAAATAAAACAAATTGGTCTTAAGCCTCACCTTACCATATTAATAAAAAGTGTGCCGTTCCTGGCCCTTCCCCCCCTCAACCATTATATATACGGGGTGGTATTTCTTGTGATCTCTCATTTACTTGATACAGCTGTCGTGGCTGTGACGGTTCCACCTGAAGAAGGAGGCTTGTGTTGCTTCCGAAACATCGTGAATTTTTAATTTGTTTTATTTTACTTTTATTAATTAAAATTTTTTACCTACGTGACTTTACCGAAAAAACCTAAGAGTATGAATCCTTGCAGTCACGAAAGCTTCAAATCTAGAATTAGTTATCGAATGGTTATTATTGTTGAATAACATCACAATTAATATTCTTGGTTCTTTCGGTAACGTCACGTAGAAGGGAAATAATAAAAATAAAACAATAAAATTCCCACGACGTTTCGATTGCAACGCAAGCAATGTGAATCCCTGCAATCACGAAAGCTTTAAATCACAATTAATATACTGTATAATATATTGTGTTAAAGATTGTAATATAGTCGTAATGATGTTCTTCTTATAATTAATCATTTAGAGACCTTAATTCACTTCTGGATGAAGGCGTCTCATTGTCTGATCAGGCATGAGTGCTTTTTGACCATACTTCACTCAGCTGGTCACTGGGTCGTTGAAGAGGGTGGGGGGGTCACGGTCAGTTCAGATGTGACAATAGGCCGATAGACTTACACTTTTTATGAATAGATTGGGAATGGAGGATATTCGATTTTAATTGCACTTCTATATAATCTGGTTGCAAATTTAGTAGATATTTACTCCATCTCTGTCCACACGTAGGATCAGACTGCATACATTTACAGGGACTTGTAGCCGCATGGTCTCACCACAGTGAACATTACTTAGGAGATTTGGTCTTTTTGGGTGCAACCGGAAGTGGCTTATGCCTGGTTATGTTGATAAAATGCATTGTTCATGGGGTGCACATCTCTGCCGATCTGCTGCACATTCATCTTGGGGGATTCAGGGTAAACAGGATGCGTGCTGGCATAGAGATTGGCATTGCTTCGATTAGCACGGTTGACTATACGGTGCGAAAGAACTCCAGTGTACAGTACATATGTACATTGCTTGTTGAGCACAGCATTGAAACGGGTGCTGTTATGTTGCGGTTGGGTTTTGGAGCCTGTCTGTCTTGTGAGATGTATTGCTCATGTACTCAAATGCCACTCTACATTGCAACACATTTTCATTACACGAAGGATAATAATACGATAATTTCGGTTGCATAATCCAACATTTTTTTCTTGTATGCTTTTCATAAATATCAAAGTAAATGATGATGATTATTAAAAAGTCCAGACATAACAGTGACTGACGTGAGAGACATTCGTACCCATTTGTTCAGTATTTCTGGTTTGGCAACAATAAAATTCTCAATCTTGATTTGAAGCTTTCGTGACTGCCGGAATCGAATACCTCCATTAATCAAATGCCTCCATTATCAAGCCATGAAACAATTAGCTGGGCGTAAACACGTTTGCTTTGCATGTTATCCTGTTTTGAGTACCACAACACTCTTATCTTGTGTTATCTGATCTGCAGAGCCGTAATTTATATGGTGCTGTGTGGTTGGAATTTTTACTGACACCACCTTTGGCTCAATACAGTTTTCGTAACAGCAGTGAAGTTTCCCAGCCTTCATCACCTTTTTTACGTTAACCAAAGTGTTGCGTGTGTTGAATGTACACGAGCCTGGCGTGTGTGCTCAACGCAGCAGCAGCAGCAGGCCTGCCCGTGGCCGTGCTGCTTGAGCTCCATGGGAGAGTTGTGTGCATATGTTGAACTTCTTTTGTACCGTACATATTTGAGCACGACTGACGGTGACGCAGCCGGGCGGCTAGCTCGTTCGCCACTCGTTGCAGAGGTGGAGCGGTTGGGGTCATGCGGGCCACCCTGGTTATTACTGCAGCTGTATCAATTGAAACATATCCACCGTCTGCTTAAAAGTGGACATTAAAGGTCACGTGAATTCACACGCAAGAGTAGGCCTTTTTGTGCCGGTGTCGTGGTCCAGATTTGCCAAATTCGAAAATGACACCACAAATGACTCAATTGGGATGCCACTAAGCCACATCGTCCTTTACTGCTGCACGACTGGCTGTGAAACAACGCAGTACCTTCAGGATAGCCTCACGTATACCAAATATACTGAATCATTGTTTGTGTACATTTTCCTTTTCATGTAAATTTGTGATACAAATATGCGTGCTGTGTAAATGTGCTGCGAACATTTGAGTGTAGTCCCAACTCTTGTGGCAAAGTGGAGCCCTGCTCGAGTGGCGTGTGTGACGAGGGGATCGCAGGACATGTCCCGGGAGTGGGGAAATTTAATATCCTCGATGCATTGTGCACTGTACTGTACACTGCAATTTGATAATTGACTACAAGCATACACATCTGTGCACTTAAGGATGTGTACACAGGTAAATTCTGCAAATGTTGAGTTAATTTAACCTACAGGATTGAATCATGTTCATTCTTGCTGTACCCGCTTGAGCCTAAATTTATTTTCTAAATATGTTGTAGCTACCATTGGGTATGTAATCTTGAAATGGTAGAACAAGAAAGTGTGCATTATCGTTAGATGAAAAAAAAACAATTGCCCCCTGTCTGGGATATACAGCTCATCAATTATTAAGTATCTCCTTTATGTACATTGAAGCAACGTGTGTTTGAAAAGCGGGCTCAGTATTTTTAGTGCTCTCTTGGTTGATAAATAACGCACTGGTGGTGTCTGAAAGAGTAACAACGTTCCGCTTACTCAGGTTAAACACATGCATGCAGACAAAGTTTAAGAGCACTTGCCCCACTCAACATTTCTTCTTTCAGCAATTGGAACGTAAAGCCAAGTATCTCTACCGCCAACTCATGGACCCATTTTGGAAACATGTTTGAAGCTTTATCAATAAAAAATAAAACTGTGATCAGGTTACGATTGCTGTAGTTGAACTACTTTGTGAGTTTGTGTTTTATACTGATTGTGATATAACCATCGAGACGTGGACACGCGTGTGCGCGCGTGCATCCTCGCTGGCGCGAGACGTGTTGTTGTGCTCCTCCCGTGCTTGGCAGTGCAGAGGCGGTATCTGCCGCGTGCAATGGGGGTGGAGGCTGTGGCTGTGCAGCACGGAGATCCTCCTGAAGCTAAGGTCAAAGGCTCGTATTCTAAGTCGTGTCTCAGCTCAGGCTTGGCTCAAGTGAGCCAGCTTGAAGCCAAGCCTAACTTCAGCTGCCTCTGAGCACTGATTTCCTTCACCAAGTCCATCATACGCAATCCAATTACTGTGCTTTCTTCGGCTTAAGTCGGCTCTGAGCATGGTCCCAGCCCTGGGTCTCAAGAACCTGAGCTTTTGTGTGACACCGTGTCTCCCCGTGTGTCACCGTGTCTCCCCATGTATCTCAAGACTCAGAAACTAAGTAGATCTCAGACGCGAAGTTGCACTGAGCCTGGATAGTTCTTGGATGGGTGACCATCATGCACAAAACAGGTGTTATAGGCTACCTATTACACAGATGTACCGTCATATTTACCATGGCATGTACTCGTCAGTCTCTTACAGGCTTGACGATATTGGCGTGTTAAGCACGTAACGTATTTCACCATCGGTCTTCATGTTTTGTTTCAGGATACTTCGCGCCAGAAGCAGCCGGAGCGGAAGAAGACCGTGTCGTTTAGCAGCATGCCTACAGAGAAGAAGATCAGCAGTGCCGGCGACTGCGTCAGCCTCATGCAAGAGGGCTCCGAACTGAAAAAGGTCAGGTCAAATTCCCGCATCTATCAGCGCCTCTTCTTGCTGGAGTCAGATTTGCAGCACCTGCGTTGGGAGCCGTCCAAGAAGGACCTTGACAAAGCCCGCCTGGAGGTGCGATCCATAAAGGAGGTGCGTGCTGGGAAAAACACGGACATCTTCCGCAGTAACGGGATATCTGAGCAGGTTTCTGAAGACTGCGCCTTCTCCATTATCTACGGAGAGAGCTACGAGTCGCTGGATTTGGTTGCAAACTCGGCTGACGTTGCGAGCGCATGGGTGACGGGGCTGCGCTACTTGTTGTCGTGCAGCGGTAGGCAGGACATCTCTGCCTCGATACATTTTGGACAGAACAGCCTGCGCAGTTGTTGGCTGCAGGCAGAATTTAAATGCACAGTCACAGAAGACGCAGGATACCTTTCAGAGGCCGATGCAGTGGAATTGATTCATAAGCTACACCCAGGATTAAGGAATTTGTACGTTAAATTGAAGCTGAAGGAAGTGCTAAAAGATAACGATCGGCCAGATGACATTATTGGCCTCACGGTGGAAAATTTCATTGACGTTTTCAACGTATTAGCAACACGACCCGAAGTTTACTTCCTGCTTGTGCAGTTTTCCAGTAACAAAGAGTACCTGGATGTCAAAGACCTCTCTTTATTTCTGGATACAGAACAGGGAATGGCACAGGTTTCGGAGGAGGTGAGCCTAGACATCATCCGTCGATTCGAACCATCGCAGGAAGGCCGAGCCGCCGGCTGCTTGGGTATCGATGGCTTCACGCGGTACCTGCTATCCCCCGAGTGCCACGTCTTTGACCCCGATCACCGGCACGTGTGCCAGGACATGACTCAGCCCCTCTCCCACTACTACGTCCACGCCTCGCACAACACCTACCTGGTGGAAGACCAGTTCCGTGGTCCCAGTGACGTCGGGGGCTTCATCCGGGCCCTGCGGCTGGGCTGCCGCTCCGTGGAGCTGGATGTGTGGGATGGTCCTGAGAAGGAGCCTCTGGTCTTCAATGGACACACCATGACGTCCCCGATCACTCTCCGGGCGGCTCTGGAGGCTATTGGCAAGCATGCCTTTGCAGTGTCGGAGTACCCTCTCGTGCTGTGCTTGGAGACGCACTGCTGCCCGGCCCAGCAGCGCACTATGGTGCGCCATATCAAAGAGGTGAGATCTACTGCAGGTGTTGTTTACATTTACGCTTGTGTTCTCCCACGAGTTTATATTAAGAGGAGATATTAGTCACATGTCGGGAAAAAAAGAGTTATGACCACACTGTGCTTGTGTTTTGCTTTGGTTTCACGTACTCGAGGTTTCGTGGGACAAATTACGTGGGAATCCATGTTTTACCATGGACGGCAGCGAATATGCAAGTTTTGCTGGAAGGAATGGGCCAGTGGTCACAGTTGCACCTGTTTCTATCTAGAATTCACCGGTTGCTTCTTATTCCGCCTCAGTTCGATAGAGGGAGCGGCACGCAGTCAGAAGGTCGAACGTTCGTATCTTTGTCGCGGGTTGACTTGGCACATCATCCCTCGAGGGTTTATTGTAGCTATGTGAACAAGTAAATGGTTACAACTTCCAGATAATGTGAGATGTTTAATAATGGAGCGGCTGTTGACTGTATGTTGCAGGTACTGAAAGAGAAGCTGTACACGGAGCCAGCCATCGCGTCATGCGCACACCTTCCCTCCCCGGAGAGCCTCCGCGGGCGCATTCTCATTAAGGGCCGGAAACTGCCGCCCACTTGCCAGGAGTGCGAGGGCGACGTGAGCGAGGAGGACGAGGCGGCGCAGATTGGGCAGCAGCACTGCGAGCCCGAGCAGGCACGCAGGCTCACGCTCACACGGGAGCTCTCCGACTTGGTGTCTCTCTGCCAGTCTGTCCGCTTCCGCGACTTTGATGTGGCTCTTCAAAGCCAGAAATACTGGGAAATAAGTTCGTTCAGCGAGCTGCAGGCTGGTCGACTTATCAGCGAAAGGTCGGAGGACTTCCTGAGTTATAATAAGAGGTTTCTTTCCCGCGTGTACCCAAGCCCCATGCGATTGGACTCGAGCAACGTTAACCCGCTGGATTTCTGGAAGTGTGGCTGCCAGCTGGTGGGGCTCAACCTCCAAACACCGGGGCTCATGCTGGACCTTAACGTTGGCTGGTTTCAGCAGAATGGTGGCTGCGGCTACGTGCTGCGGCCTGCAATCATGCGCGAAGCCGTTTCGTATTTCCGTGCCAACACCCACGAAAGCTTCCCTGGCCTCTGTCCTCAGATGCTGCACCTCCGCATCATTAGTGGGCAAAATCTCCCCAAGCCCAAAGGCTCGGGTGCCAAGGGGGAAGTGCTGGACCCCTACGTGGCAGCTGAGATTCACGGCATTCCAGCTGACTGTGCGGAGCAGAGAACCAAGACTGTATACCACGATGGAGACCACCCGATATTTGAGGAGAGCTTTGAGTTCCAGCTCCACTTGCCAGAGCTGGCTCTGCTACGATTGGTGGTACTGGACGACGACTACATAGGAGACGAATTCATCGGTCAGTACACCATCCCCTTGGAGTGCCTCCAGCCCGGATACCGTCACGTGCCGCTCCTCTCCCTCACGGGCGAGCTCTTGACCCACGCGTCCATTTTCATCCACGTGGCCGTGACCAACCGCCGCGGAGGGGGCAAGCCTCCGAAGCGGGGGCTGTCCGTGATGCGGGGCCGCCGCACACACAAATACGTCACCATGCGCACCGTTTGCATCAAGGTGGTGGACGAGGTGTTCCGCGTAGCGACGCAGCCGCTGCGCGACGCCGCTGACCTGCGGGAGAACTCGCAGGTAATGGTTGGTTGAATGCTCAACGTGTCGGTACATTACATCAGAGGCAGATATGTACGTTGAACTTCTTTCACACCATACGTAGCCAACCATGCTAATCGGTGGTGTGGGACAAATGCTAAACTGTATGTATTTATGAAATAAAGACTGTATTTTACACAATTTAACAGAGAATATATCTCCTTAAAATATTTGTTCCTCCACATGATAAATAAAACTATGGAAACTTCCCAAGGGTGGAGTGGTCTAAGCCATTTAAACAGGGCCCTACATTAATGAAAACAACTGTGTTTTGTCTGGTAAATATAAATAAAATACCAATTTCCAGGGTTTCAGGGTAGGGGGGGCAACACCAGGTGAGTCCTCAAGACACCAGTCGCCATGGTCACCGACCTGCCGGTGCGCGTATTCACAGTTGATGCACCGCAGTGTGAGTCAGGCGGCTCCCGGATTCACACCGAGAACCTCTGCAAAGAGCAGCGGACGCGCTGCTGCTGTAGGGAAGGGATGATCACCGTGTGGACTTTTGTCCCAGGTACAAAAAGTAAGAAGTGTGCAGCCTATAGGTGCGCAAATTCTCACTGTGCATAATGGTGCGGATGTGTTCAGTTGAGTGGTAAGTGATTCGTTATTCATTAATTCATGTTTGCATGTCGTCAAAAACTGGAGTTTCCAGAGGAAACGTGGAAACTTTATTTATTTAATAGTCGCCACGGTGGTGTGATGTCTTCTTCCTCGCCTGGTATGTAGGAGGTCGAGAGTTTGATCCCACCCCTGACGCCTGTGTATTTAGGGTTTGCATGAACTCTCCGTGGTCACGTGGATTTTTTCTCCGGGTCCTCTGGATTTTCCCTCCACATTTAGAAACATGCATTTAGACTATTTAGATCATTGTTCTGCTATAAATATCCAAATGAAAAGCCACTTTGTTGAGCTGTCATTTGTGGCCAGGTCGATTTTGAAAAATAATGTAATAACTCAGTGGGCTTTGTCTGGTAGGATGGTGATAGTTTAGTTTTATTGTATTTCTTTGTTGTGGTAACGGTCTGACCCGCCCCTACGGGACATCTGTAAAAAAAAGAGCTTCATAGCTCATCGGATTCCTTCAGTAGAAATAAATATTCGGATTCTGAAATGAACGTACGGTGCAAATAGCCAAAACTGAAACTCTGCATAGATGGATCATGACCCCATGTATTATTTAACTGTACGTATCGTGTGCGCATGTGCAGTGCGCATGTGCTTACGTGGCCGTCGATGATCACGTGCCTGGGCCGTTTGCGCATCTTCAGGTGGCAGTTCTGGCTTTCAAGGAGGTGTGTGGCCTCCCTCCGGTTGCCAACCTTGCCCAGTGCATGCTGGTGCTGTGCTCGCGGCTGCTCAACACCGACGGGGCTCCCCAGGTGGGACTGGTGCTGCGTGGCCAGATGCCGTGCCTGGACGTGCAGGGCGCCCTCCCCGACGTGCTCAAGAAGGGCGTGGTTCTCTATGACACGGTGAGGCCACAGCCTGCAGCTGGTATCGCTCCTCTACAGACTGTCGCCAAACAACAACAACAACACAGCCAAAATTACTTCTGGATCAATTGAGCATTGAGGGATTGGTGCTTATCGTCCCGTTTACAGCCCTGAGCCAGTGGTGTAAATTCCACATTCCTTGTGAGTGTAGCCATGGGGCACCCACAGGTCACTTCCCTACAGAGTGGTGTTCATTTTCTCGGTCCCAGAGGGATGATGGCCTCAGTGAACTCCAACCAGGATTTGACTTCTCAAGCTTCCGCTTGTTAACCACTCTTCCGCTGAGCCCCATGGCCAGTTCCTGTCCACTCCGTACACTCTGCCTGTCCACTCCGTACACTCACTCTGCACACACTGTACACTCTGCCTGTCCACTCCGTACACTCACTCTGCACACACCGTACACTCTGCCTGTCCACTCCGTACACTCACTCTGCACACACCGTACACTCTGCCTGTCCACTCCGTACACTCACTCTGCACACACCGTACACTCTGCCTGTCCACTCCGTACACTCACTCTGCACACACCGTACACTCTGCCTGTCCACTCCGTACACTCACTCTGCACACACCGTACACTCTGCCTGTCCACTCAGTACACTCACTCTGCACACACCGTACAATCTGCCTGTCCACTTCGTACACTCACTCTGCACACACCGTACACTCTGCCTGTCCACTCCGTACACTCACTCTGCACACACCGTACACTCTGCCTGTCCACTCCGTACACTCACTCTGCACACACCGTACACTCTGCCTGTCCACTCCGTACACTCACTCTGCACACACCGTACACTCTGCCTATCCACTCCGTACACTCACTCTGCACACACTGTACACTCTGCCTGTCCACTCCGTACACTCACTCTGCACACACCGTACAATCTGCCTGTCCACTCCGTACACTCATTCTGCACACACCGTACACTCTGCCTGTCCACTCCGTACACTCACTCTGCACACACTGTACACTCTGCCTGTCCACTCCGTACACTCACTCTGCACACACCGTACGCTCTGCCTGTCCACTCTGTACACTCACTCTGCACACACCGTACACTCTGCCTGTCCACTCCGTACACTCACTCTGCACACACTGTACACTCTGCCTGTCCACTCCGTACACTCACTCTGCACACACTGTACACTCTGCCTGTCCACTCCGTACACTCACTCTGCACACACTGTACAATCTGTCTGTCCACTCCGTACACTCACTCTGCACACACCGTACGCTCTGCCTGTCCACTCTGTACACTCACTCTGCACACACCGTACACTCTGCCTGTCCACTCCGTACACTCACTCTGCACACACTGTACACTCTGCCTGTCCACTCCGTACACTCACTCTGCACACACCGTACGCTCTGCCTGTCCACTCTGTACACTCACTCTGCACACACCGTACACTCTGCTTGTCCACTCCGTACACTCACTCTGCACACACTGTACACTGCCTGTCCACTCCGTACACTCACTCTGCACACACCGTACACTCTGCCTGTCCACTCCGTACACTCACTCTGCACACACTGTACACTCTGCCTGTCCACTCCGTACACTCACTCTGCACACACTGTACACTCTGCCTGTCCACTCCGTACACTCACTCTGCACACACCGTACACTCTGCCTGTCCACTCCGTACACTCACTCTGCACACACCGTACACTCTGCCTGTCCACTCCGTACACTCACTCTGCACACACCGTACACTCTGCCTGTCCACTCCGTACACTCACTCTGCACACACCGTACACTCTGCCTGTCCACTCCGTACACTCACTCTGCACACACCGTACACTCTGCCTGTCCACTCCGTACACTCACTCTGCACACACTGTACACTCTGCCTGTCCACTCCGTACACTCACTCTGCACACACCGTACGCTCTGCCTGTCCACTCCGTACACTCACTCTGCACACACCGTACACTCTGCCTGTCCACTCCGTACACTCACTCTGCACACACTGTACACTCTGCCTGTCCACTCCGTACACTCACTCTGCACACACTGTACACTCTGCCTGTCCACTCCGTACACTCACTCTGCACACACTGTACACTCTGCCTGTCCACTCCGTACACTCACTCTGCATACACTGTACACTCTGCCTGTCCACTCCGTACACTCACTCTGCACACACCGTACACTCTGCCTGTCCACTCCGTACACTCACTCTGCACACACTGTACACTCTGCCTGTCCACTCCGTACACTCACTCTGCACACACTGTACACTCTGCCTGTCCACTCCGTACACTCACTCTGCACACACTGTACACTCTGCCTGTCCACTCCGTACACTCACTCTGCACACACCGTACACTCTGCCTGTCCACTCCGAACACTCTGACTCTACACCCTCATGATGGTGTGGGACTGAAAATCGTTGCTATCAGAGATAAGAAATGCCATGAGCAGTGTATAACGTGGGGGTCAAAAGTAAAATATGAAAAGCAGGCATATACGATATTTAGTTTGTAGTACCTCGTTTATGTTTTGAAACATAAAAACATAATGTAGGGTTTGTAACGGTGTGTAACAATAATAATTGTGTGCAAGGCACAAGTGCCGGCCATCCAGAGCTCCCAGCGTATCACGAAAAAATTGCCATTAAGTTCTTCAGTGTTCGCGTTGAGATCATTCACAGCACTATCACGCTCAAGTTACGTTTTACATTCTAACGTCCACGTTCCTTCTGCAAAACTAATAACGAGTAAGCGTGAAAAGCGTATTGATTGCTTCTTCTGAGGAAACTGTACAACACGGTGTGATGGTGCTGACTCAAAATCAGACGATCATGAGTTCAAATTCCTCCTGCATTTGACTCGGGCCCACATCCCTCTGGCGTCTATGAAATGAGTAACTCTTTGTCACAAGATTATGGCGAGACTGGTCTCCACCGTAGGAATGTGTCATTAATAAAGAGAGCACCACTTGTTAGCGAGTCGTCGTCTTATGGACAGACTGGCCTCGCCCTCGGGACATGTTCTTTCCCCCATTGGCTCAGGGCTGCCAATGGAGAACAGCTGGTGGTCCATTGCCCAGGAAAGACAATGATCTTAAGTGAAGGAATGATCCCCTCATGGCGTTCTGTTGCTTTTCGTAGAGAAACGTTGCTCGCCCCAGTTGTGGAGAATGGTGCCAGAACCATCACACACCAGCATGGCCCACCACATGCAACAGTTTTTAACTTTACTCTTATACTAAATCTTAAAGTCACAACTGGGAATATAGGTGTGAGAGTATTCAATATGTAAAGGGTCACAAATTATATTTCAGAGACATAAAAGATTATTTCTCCACATAGTCACCCTTTATTAGCACGCTCTTGGTTCCAGAAGTGGCCCACAAGCTTCCTAATGGCAGCAGCGTAGAAGTCGTTGGGCAGGTTTCATCTGTGACTGCGTCGCTGCCTTCCCAGCGCCATCACGATCGACCTGCCTTCCGCGTAGAGCTTCCCTCAGAGGTCCACAAGGTGGACGTCGCTAGGGGCTGGATCTGGGCTGCGTGCCCGATGGTGTGGAAGATAGTATCCTCACTTTCCCAACATTTCCGTAGTTGCACGTGCCATGTCATGCTGATACACCATTGGCTGTCCCTCTCTCAACACTCCACGGTGTTTCTGACAAAAGTCAAGCTTCAGTTTGTTCTCCCAAGTCGAAATATGAAGCCAATAGTTATTGGACCCTGCATGTCTCAAACTATTGAGTACTTTCTGACAGAAGCGTTGAACAAATTAAATTGTCACTTGTACAAACGTTTAACGCACAAATTATTGTATTTTCGGCTCACTCACCGGTAGGCAGAAGAATAATTCTCACAGCCAGACATGGCAACTAGATCTAGCATTTCGCTTGAAACTACATCAAGCATCTACGGGCCAGAACCCAGGAAGTTGGATTCTGACCTGAAGATGCTGACGTGACAATTTGGTTATGTTGAACGGTGAAGAGCTTAACAACAAATCTTTGTCCAAAATATAAATTACGGATTGTAATTTATGATTGCGAAAACATACGTGTTAAATGTTTAGTTTTTCTAGATCCCTTCCATTTGCAGAAGTGTGTGGTAGATTGTGTGCTTAGCACCTCAAGGTGCACCGAGCCTGGCACAGGCACCGTAGTGACGGGACCACCACTGAGTGGCGAACGACGGCTGTTGTTGCTGTTGTTGTTGCTGTGCGAGCAGATGATACAGGAATTGCGGACCCTCATGGAGAGTGCAGACGCCATCCACGGCAAGATCACACAGTGCCAAAAGTCAGGTGAGGAGCCTCGGTAGAGCCTCGACCCACTGCGGGGGCGCCCCGGCTGAGCAAGGTGCGAGCACCGGCCCCTCGCGTCGGGCAGACAAGAGAGCGACTGCTGAGAAGGGCACCCGTGCTTTGTCTAAAAACATTAGACAGGCACGCACCGTATGATATTGCTTTGTTTGTAGTATTTCATTGCGTGTGGTATTTTATTGTCAATTGCACTGTGCATTGCATTGTATTCGCTATTGTATTGTGTACAGTATTGTATCAAGTGTAGTGTAATGTTTTGTATAAAGAGAGGAACCTTCTGCAAGAACACTCTATTTGAGAGGAGAAAATATTTATGCAAACATGTTTGTGATTGCTTGAATGGATGTTAAAAATATTGTTATTAACTGATCTGTGTAGAAACACAAATAGAGTTTAACTTCATTTAGAGCTCTTGTCGAATGGAGTTTATGTAAAATATCACATTATCTGTTGTTGCTGTTACAGGCCAGTGTCAGCAGCTACAAAAGCAGTTTCATTATGTTTATGTTTTTGCATAATGAGCCTCGGACAGCATCAGTTTAAATGGATAACTATTCGTGTAATTTTTGTTCAATTTTTACAGAATAATTATAATAGCGGTGCCACACACACCGCTTGATGTTTGTGCTTGTCGGTGGATGCTGGAAAGGCTTTTCTTTCTGGTGTCTTGAATGCGAAGGTCTGGAACTTCATGAAGATCTGAGCAACCTGGGCACCAGAGAGGGACTCAAAGGCCGCAAGCTGGCCAAGGCGATTGAGAGCTTCACCTGGAACGTCACCCTGCTCAAGGTGGCACGCTCGCCTGCACCTTGCCCACTCTCATCGTCGTCATCGTTGTTGTTGTTCCGCTTGGGTACCCAGGAAAGCCTCACTCGGTCTCGAGACTTGTTTCAGGAGGCAATGTTTCATTGCATTGCAGGCTATGTTTCATGACAGGAATCAAGTCTGATATATACTACCATATATTTTATTCGTGAGATATGATGCTGTGAGAGGTCATTGATTTTCCAGCAATTGTATTTGTGCCTCTGCTCATTTCAATAATGGTTTCTGTAAAATAATGGAGTTGTTTGTATAATTGTACAATAGCGTAGCCAGTCCAGCAGGAGGCACAATACTCATTGTGGTTAGCATGTGGTCATGATTTTTTACTTGCATCCAAGGTCATGCATAGGTTAAATGCATTTCCATATATCCGTAGTTTCTTAACGTCATTATCAGCATCCGAGAGCCTGGAGGCTGATTGGAACCTAACGGTGTTGCGTCTCACGTAACACGCACAGATATCAAACACAATGCTTTTAGTCACAGGAATTAGCGTGACTAATCTTAGAGGCCTCACACAAGACCAATCTTAAGTTTCTTCACTGAATTATCTCTCTGATACCCCCTTTGGCAAAATTTGAAATCCTTGGAGGCTGTACTTGTGGTTCTTCTCTCTGTGTAGTAACCGCCAGACCTCAGCTACAATGTTATCGGTTTTGACCGTGCCGGCCATCAGGGCCAGTGGAGGAGAGCTGTTGCGTTATGTTGCAGCGGTGGCTAATTGAATCCCATTGGGAGCTCACAGGCGATCAGGGGCTTGGCGACGGGAAGATCTGCGATTCCAATATAATTACTTTGAGAAATGTTGGGGTTATCAAGCTTCGTCTTGCTTTGATTTTTCGTTGAGTGTTTGCGAGCACGATCTTCTGTGGTTGTGAAGCTGTAGCTGCCAGGCGGGTGCCGGCTCGCAGTGCAGCAGGCCCACGTGGAGGATAATATCATCGGCGGCGGCAGCAGCAGCCACTGTCGGCAGCTGTAGAGGAGGGCGCAGCTGTGATATTGTTTTTGAGACGTTCTGTGAAAATCTATTCTGTGACACATGCAGCATGCTGCTCTGTGAGATTTCCAACTGCATTTTTTATCTCATGATGCCGATTCCAATAGCAGAAGCGGAAGAAATGGAGAACATGGCCTGTCATCAGACATTCATTGATATGCTACAAAAGTGACATTGAATCTGTGTCTGCAGGGTCAGGCAGATCTCCTGCGGCAGGCCAAGGGCGAGTGCATCGAGAATATCCGCCAGGTGCACAATGCCGCCATCTCCTGTGGGCTCGATAAAAATGCAGGCGTTGCAGCAGTTTCCGAGGTTGGCTCAACCAAGAAGGAGGAGCGGCCACTCCTCACTGGCTTGCAACAGCAACCCCAAGAGGAAGTCACATTCTCCACCCCTGTGCCCAGGCAGCAAGGCACACTAGTGACAACAATCACCGGCACAACTGCAACAGAAGCAGCTGTCTCAACACACGCTCTGAATGAACCAACGTCGTGTTCTCCATCCTTGGCCAGAGATGACCGTGCATGTTTTCAAGTTGACCGTGCATCACCCGATATCGGTAACACGTTTGCCAGTGCGTCGGTCAGTCTTTCGTTGTGCCCAGAAATCAGCGCACCACAACAGTTGCAGGAAACCTCTTACCGGAACTCGGCGGTTTCAGTCTCATTTAATGATGGGTTTTCTACTGAGCCATCCATAGTGCAGCAAGGCGTTTCCGTTGATTCCCTTGCAAAAATAAACAATTCAATATGTATCGGTTCATTTCTCACCCAAACCCCTGTGGAGCATGGCTCCAGCATTGAGAGGGCATTGCTCGCAGACAGCAGCAGCTGTGAGATGAGCAGACAAATCCACTGTCCGTCCGTGTTGGGGAGTTTCCCGGACAGGGCACTCTACGATAGTTTGGAAGTGAACCGAGAAATTACCGAGAAGTTGAATTTGGATAATTTGTGACGTCCACGAAATCTATATCGTACTTGTCTAAGCTGTGTCGCAGGAAGGGTTAGTGGTCATACATATGCCTCCTGGGCCATCTATTCTGTAAAATATCCATGTGAAATGTTTACTAAAATGTGTTCCTTAGGTAGACTTGTACATCTAAAAATATATCTCAGCAATAGATGACGTGCACAAGCAATGAGGTGCGCATCAAGAGGAGCGTTGCTGGATGGTGCATGCTTGTAATCGTGCTAGATTACTGATGTGTTGGATATCATCTGTGAATCGGTGTAAGTGGTTTCACTTGTTCAGATGGCTGTTAGACTTGTACAAAGTTATGTTTTTCCCGACTTGAATATCCCGAAAGCATCAAGCGTTAAATTGTAAGATAATTGAAAGCACTTTCAGAACAGTACCAAAACGTTTCCACATTGAAGCTGTGTGCATGCAACGTAGCTCCACTTGTGTTTCACATTCACTGCTCTGTTTGAGTTTGCTATGTTTGAGCCATCTGGACAGATTATTCAGTGTTTAAATACTAAATTGTAGTAATGGTAATATTTTAAGACTGGAAAAGAGGACGTGTCATATATTTTGATTGTTTCGTTTTTCTTTTCTCGGTTGTGAAATCGTCTGTTGATGCCGACGTGCTCCCCAACATCCAGGCCCCGCACCATTGCACACCGATGCTGGGGAATGTCCAACTCCCTCTGGGGCGCCAACGCTACCAACTATAGGATGGCGCTCTGGTGTGCAGCTGCATGTGCTTGGCACAAATCTGTCAAATAAGCTGTCAGAACTGGGCCTCGATAAATATACAGTGTGATCACAAAATGCATTACCTTTTGTTGTTACCAATTCATAGACGAAGACTCGAAAGGATTAGCCGAGACTTAATCCATTGATCTCAATGCTTCTGACTCGGTACCCTAACACGGCAATTCGTATTACTGTTAACCCAACAGGTAACCTTTATAATGTGTTCATATTAAGCGTGCATCTTCTTGCCAAAGCAATACCGTTGGGATTGCGTGCGGAGTGTGTAATCCGTTGAGCTCTGATTTACGTGCCAGAGGTAAACGCATCCTTGGGAGTTGCTACGCAGTCTTCATCTCCGCGGCCCGGGATGTCTCTGCTGAGCGAACGCAGCGCTTCAGAAGGCGGCGGCGGCGTCGGCTTAAGACCCCACACCATGTCACCGTGTCATACCATCGTCTCGCAAAACTCTGTTCCTGTGCACTTGGTAAATCCCAACTGTAGTTGAAAAACATATCAAGGGGTTATAAATGAAATCCAATGTTTAAATTCATCATGAGTATCTCTTCCAGTGCTCTCCTGCAAACGACCCTCCCTCTCTGCTGTCCGTGGCGTTTCACAGAGTACGTATCGAGCGGTGCTTTGGTCACGGGTTGCTTTGTTCGTTCAACATCGACCATTTAAACTGTTGAACAGGAAATATTTCTGGGTGGTACCAAAAGACAGCACGCTGACCCCTCGTGGTGCTCTCCGTTAATTCAGCAGTCGTGCATCTTCGCATCCCCACCAGTGCAGCCCACGGTGAACTCGTGCCTCGCTCTGTCAGTTGATGTCACTAAATTGTCATGTTTTGCCAAGAATGTAAACATTCGTAATGATTATAAACAGTATATTTTTGTTTAAATAGTTCAAGAGGAGGTCGTACACAATTATAAATGATGATAAATGCCAAAAGTATTACTACTATTTTCTTAAATATATTTGTCTTTATTTAACATGATTGTGGTCAAACATTTTTTTTGTATCAAATTGACCATTGGTACCATTTCCTCCCTCTATAGGATAATGAAAATAAAGTAACTACAGTTTTAAAAACGAAGTAATAGTTCTTCCAGTTAAAATGTTTAAGTTCTGTTTATATACACTGAAATGTAAATCGATATTCTGTCATTTAAATGTTTGATTGAAATATTGCAATATTTTCTTTAGCAATATGTTTCATCTTTGCATTTGAGTGTTAATTTTTTTAACAGTGCAATAGTATGGGGAGTGATTTAATGGAATTATTCTTCTCTCTGACCTAAGCCTTTGTTTAAAAAAGTGTGCGTTTTACGTGATTTTTAAGTACACATTTTCCACCGCCACATTTAACTTTCCTTTGCTAATTCATAAGCGCTGTCGATCACATTAACAGCTGATCATGGTGAGGTGGACGTCTGTCGGAAGTCACGTGCTCATCAGCTTATAATATTTTCCATCAAGATCAATCCTGGGTCCATTTACAGATGCTTACGCTTCATGATCATTTTTTTCGGTGTATTTGGAAAATTACGGTTACGAAGAGAGAACTCTTTTATTTGAACGTAAATCCAAGACTTGTTGTTTCAACGTCGGATGTTGGACCGAGATGCGGACATTGGAACACCAGCGCCTGAAGGTGGCGCTCCAGATCGTCCCCGCGACACGGCGGGTGCCGAGGGATGCCCCGCACTGGGAGCGCCTCTCGGCGCGTGCTGCTCGTGGCCACAGTCCTCCCCCGATCCCTGCCGCCCTCTCGAACTGCCCTCCGCCTCTTGTTTAAATGTTGGTTGCTCCTGAATTAGCTCAACATTTATATGGAGCGGCATTGGCAGTGGTGTGCAGGCACAAATATAAACACCAGATTCGTCATAAACAAACCCTGCGTTATAATAGAGAATATATCTGGCTGACATTTGAGGCAATGGGCTTTAAAGCTGAGATGGCAAAGAGATGCGTTGACTCGGCACATTTGAGGTGACAACCTCCCTCAACATCTGCGCAGTTGTATAGTCTCATTCCATCTCTCGTCTCTTTATATCACTGCTTACCTTGCATGTAGTTTCAGTCCATGATTTCAGTTTATAAGGTCTTTCCTCCGAGTACAAAACCTTTCAGGTCTTTTAATATGTTCATATATTAATATTTAAAAAAGGTTGATCATTTTTTGCCCTTCCGTGCTGAGACCGGGTCTCGAGTTGATTGAGTGTTGACTGCACATTGTTCGGAAACGTGGTGCGGACTCGATTGTCATTGTTACAGGTTACCTTTCAGTTTAAATGGATACAAGAACATTCATTTGGACAGATTAAATCCAAAAAGGCAGAATTTGAATATAAAATGTTGCTTTTTTATTTACTAAAATTACATGAAGTGTATAAGGTTTATGCAACATAACGTTGCTGTGCTGCACTGCGAGTTTATTATGGAACCAATGAAACTGGACACATCATTGCAATTAAAACCACGGACAACACATTTCTGTATGTTTACCACTCCGTCATTGTTTTGGGGCATAATTGTATTGTACATGTGCTTTACAAATAAAAAATGTTGGCTAGGTAACATTATTTGATAAATATTCTTATTTTTTGTCGGTTTTATTCCAATTTTAACATTGTGTAAAATGTATTGCATAATTTTTTTTCTCAAAGTAACAGCTGTTTATAATAAAATATTGACAAATTAATTGTTTAAACGTGTAATTAAATGTGTATTGAAGACCGCTCATGCTTCTTGTGCCAACTTATTAATTAAGAATAACCAAACTGTAAATATTATGGAAATAAATTAATCCAGTCATCTTGTTATTATTTTTATGTATTTTTGCATTTCAAGTTGTATATATGCGTACACAGACCCTGATAGAGCCCCATTGTACAGTGTTCAAAACAAAAAGTCACCTGGACACATTTGAATATTTTTAGGTCACTTCTCTCGTTTTCAAGAGCCGCATCACCCAAGTTTGAACTCGGCATGCTGTCCCACCAGATGATGCTGTCGGTTGCCGCCCGTCTTGTGCCGGTCCCACTTGGCATGCTGGCTAATTTCCCTGTTTAGGAAAAATTGGGCCAACTCGCATTGCCAGTCCTATGGAAATGAGGTATGAGTGGTAAATATATAGGACAGTTATATGGACCAATCATGAACACCTACTATAAAACGTAAATGTGTTTAATTGCATTTTTGGATTTTTCATTTTAGTGAGATGACACGATTGTCACCAATGTTTCCAACAAACATTTGACCAAAATGCTAACCACAACTACACTACAAAATAAGACATGGCTAAAGCAATGTCTACTGGTAATATGCATTTAACATTGGCCATCTTGTGTTTAACAAAGGTTCGGTCACTTTTAACTGTGGAAACATAATGTGTGAAAATTACTTCTACATTATGGTTTGTTTTACGTGACTGCCGGCGAATGAGTACTCGCTAGAGTAACGTGCAGCGCATAATTGCATTTGGAACTCCGCTCAGGTTAGCTAATTATGCAAAACATCATTGGAAAATCACCAAGTCTCTTGCAAGCCATGCCCAAGAGTGGGCATACATTGTGATAGAGGTTGTGTTCAAAAGCCATTAGTTTGATCCTGGCATTCGAACATAAGTGTTAGAGGGCATTATGGTAGGAGTGAGGAAAACATGGTTACCCCAGTGTACCGAATAGTGCTACTCCTGCGCTTTATTCCTGACTCGGGCGTCTTTCTGCGTGCACTTTTTATGTTCTCCCTCTCTTCTTCGTGGGTTTCCTCTGGGTTCTTTGGATTTTGTCTCGTGGCTAACAAAAAGCATGCTCAATGCTGCTGGTTTTGGCTAAGTTTCCCACTGCTGAAGAAATACCTGCAAATTGGGATCACACATAGCAATATCTCCCCCTCCTGCAATGAGGCATTCCTGGGTAAAAAAAGCATAATAAATAAATAATACTACATATGATATGTTGCGTAACTGTTGTAGAACTTTGAATCCACCAATACTCGGTTCTTTAACCTTGTAGCCTAATTAAGTTACAGTAGCGATTGCACGGTGTTGAAACATTTCCAATGATAATTCTAATTTTGTGTTTGATTTGTGCAGCTGATTGGATGGAAAGGACGCTATTAATTAGCATTCTTTTAGTCTGTGCCAAATCCTTGTGTTCAGTATCGGATATTCTGTGAGAGAGTGAAAGGCCAAGGTACAATTGTGTCATTCGTTTAGCAGCAGGGTGATGCTACCATGGTGGGCCTCGTTCTTGGTGGAACCGATGTTCAATTTGCACTTCCTTTACCGCGGTTACATGAACATTAAGCGCTGTTCACAGGCATCAGACTGCCGCCGCGTTTTTTCTTGTTCCTCCACTTTGCTGGTTTTTTGTTCTCCGAAAAAGACGTTTGGGGGCGTTTGGTGAAAAAAAAACCTCAGCTGTCAATCTCATGCCAAGTGTCATAAAGGGACTATGAAACACTTGAAAGGTATGCATGCATTGATAAATATTCAGTACTTTGATGTTTGTTTACTTCCTCATGTATCTTGTTTTTATTGTTATTATACCGTGCTCGCGTGATGCAAGCACAAACTTGTTAGGAATGCACTGTACTTTTGTATGTTTCTTTGAAAGGGTCGATTCACTTCTCAGTAAATATATGAATGTTCAACAATTTCCGTGCACTTGTTCCTTGATAAAACATAAAACAAAAGCATTACAGATTTACCGCTTGAAAATGTGCAGCAATTGCTGGTGGAAACCGTGGACTTGTGTTGAAATTTTCCGATTATAAACATCCCAGTAAAATACAAGTTGTGAAGTCATCTTCTGCAGTATTTCCAGCATACTTCAACATTTTTGTAAATGATGTATTTTACATTTATTATGACGAGATTGTAATGCAACATTTATATGTTCATTAATACTTTCTATATGGGTTTTCAAATGTACACGTAAAAAACGTTACATTTTAGCAACTATGTTAAATACAAGAGCAATTAATGTTTTTTTATATGTTTGGTCATTTTTCCCCAATTGATTCCATTTGCTAGGAGGCAGATAACGAATTCTCACTCGCGTTCTGCAGTGGGTGGCACACACTCCCACAAGTTCTGCGTTGAGATTGTCTCGTGAGGCCGCTCATTCTCTGACCTATAATTTTTCCGCATCACATCCAAAACCAAAGTACTGTAATTCTGATATTTATTTTGTGTGGACATTGGTGACAGAACTGAGACCTGCTCCTTGCCACACTAGAGAAGCTGGCTCCAGTCGTGGCTGGCTGCCCGGACTTGAGGCTAAGACCTTAACAGCTCAGCATTCCAGCGTCTGAGCCACGCGGCCACCTGTAGAATTCTGATAGTTGAGGCTTTCGCGACCAATATCCATAAGAGGTTTTTGGGTTAGATCGCGTAAATATATAAATGTGTCGTGAAAACCCGACACCACCCGACACAGCCAACTAGTAATGGTTGTCACGTAAACAGAACGTGCCAATTCGTCACTAGTACAGCACTAACCGGTGTGTTGGAGAGCCAAGCCACAACATTTACAATCGGAGTACGACATTTCGCCAGTAATTACAATCAGGCGACAGCCAGATTTGTGGAGAAGTCTTACTGTTTCGTTCCTTATAGAGGCGTAGCTGTGTTGACCACGCAGCTGCGCTCTTGCACAAGGGGACGGAATTACTGAGGCAACGTACATTATGCATGTGCATTATGCGAGACCTTTGAACTTGTCTTTCCTGTCGATTGTGTTTATTAAAATATCCCTACCAATGGTAATCCATATTGAAGTACGCTGCCCTTTGTAGACATGCATTTAACCATGTATTATTTGATTATTCGCTTCCCTGCAGCACTAAGGCGGTAGCTATCCGAACAGTTAAAGTTATTTTAATTTCGATAAATTCTCGAATTAGTCTTGACCAGTAGGAGCTAGTTTTGCACAAAACTTCAACATTATCAAAATCAATTGAGTGTCCTTGTTGGCACTCGTGTTCTGCTACTGATGACAGTTGTATTTGGGAGAATTTAATATTTATCTGATGTTCTTTTAGTCTCGTGACTGCAGGAATTCATATTCTTTGGTTATTTCGATAAAGTCACGTAGATAGAAAAAAAAGTTCATAAAATAAAAACTACGACGTTTTTTAAAAACAGTTGCCTTCAGTGACCTCCCCTCCTTTTTCCTCCTGAAGACGGTCGCTTGTGTTGTGATCGAAACGTCGTAGTTTTTATTTTATTTACTTTTATTATTTTTATCTACGTGACTTTACTGAAAGAACCAGATAAGAATCTATTTCTTGTGGGTTCCTGTGTCGGGGTTCACTCTAAGAATCTTGCTATTGGGTTATTTTCTTGAATTTTCACTTGGGCCGCTTGCATCTCACCCAGCTCTTCAGTCATCCAGCTACAGGAGACAGATTCGCATGATTCCAGCCGCGCGTTTCTTTCTCCACTGCCCGGCTCAAGCTGGGAGGGGAGTGTGAGACTGACTACGCTGGTGCTCCTGTAGAGGTGTAATTGCGCATGGCTACGAATGTTGAGGTGTGATTATGCATGGCCACGGATGGCCAACAAACACAAGGGGCGGGGTTACGGCCGTACACAAGGGTGGCGCTCGCACCGACGTCCGCATGTGTATCCCCCACGGGCCCCCCCTTGGGGGCAAGTCCTATAAAAGGTGATGAGCCGAAAGGCTCGGGAGTCGGGACTCAGCTTTAACCAGAGAAGAACGAAGACCTGCTAGTATAGGCCCCGGAGCTCCCCTGGCTCGCTGTCCTTCTAAGGGCCGACCAGGGCAAGCCGGTGGCGTGGCCCCGAGAGCCCAGACGAAGCTGGTCTGGTGACTCAGGGAGCCGGGATCCCAGCTTAACCAAGCTGGGACAGATAGCCTCCCCTAGTCCCGTAGTGGAGGAGTTGGTATAGGTTAGAGGGGTTAGCTGTCGAGAAATCCCTGTAGCCAAGTGACCTGTAATAACTGTGTTGGTGTAATAAATAAGTGTGCCTCCGATCCTGTCGTCAAGCCTCCATATATACTTACTACACTCCCATGATGCACTGGGGGAGTGTGAGACTGACCACGCTGGTGCTCCCATGATGCACTGGGGGAGTGTGAGACTGACCACGCTGGTGCTCCCATGGTGCACTGGGAGGGGGGGGGGGGAGATGCGCACGCTGGTGGAGGGATCGCGAGGGGTGGCGTGGGGGAGTGGCCCCTGGCGTCTGGAGTGGGACTCCTCGCTCCCCTCTCGTATTCCATTCCACCTCAGTGAACGCCTTGACACGTGGTTTTCAGGACAAATTAAACCGATTGAGCTCCTGATTAAAGCACCCGTAACGTTACACTTGATGTTGTTGCACTGACAAAAGAATCGTTAGCGTTGTGGAGAATGTGACAATACAAGCAGCCTGTACCTCCTTCACACGTCTATTTTGTGTAATTATTTTACACATCGAGTCAGCCACACAGCCTTCTGGGAGTGCATAGGAAGGTGGTTTTGGTCGAATAATGTCACAATTTTGGTAAATGGAGATTTGCAATTGAGTGCGGAGAGATGGATGGTCACAATGCTTCTGGATATGTATTTAGGTTTATACAGATACTCCTCAGAATATCTTGGCAGGTTATGTGAAGCATCTTAGAAGTTTAGAATCGATCATAGGGTAAAAACATTTCAGACATCAGCGATAAGAGATTGTGATGGATGGGCCACCTGTGAGCAGAGGAGACAGGCGGTGGAGTGGCACCAAGTGGTGTTTGGCCAAATCAGGACACCTTGACACGAATGGGGAGACATTTTAACGGCAATCCTAGGATCAACTTCTGTAGCTTTTGGCAAAAGGAAGCAATGGTAAGGTGGACCAGCATGACATTGCTCGTGGTATGTTCTTGATCTTCGTGAAACTGATGATTATGGATTCAAATATTCACCCATAAAGGTTTGACGTAGTCTTCAAGTCTTGTTCAGGAGTCCCTGCATCTGACCGCTATGCAGGAGCAGGCCGCGAGCCTTCCTTCTCGCTGCCTTTCGCTTCTGAGATCCTAACTTCCCCACCATCAACAGCAACGCACACTTCAATGGAGGGAGCGCTTGAAATTTTATACTGAATTTCAATACAAACATTTAATACTTAAAACTGTTAGTGCAAACCTCTTAGCATCCACTCACGTTCATTTATATATATAAATCATTGCAGGTGATGTTAGAGAGTACACGAATATCGTTTAATTCAATGCCACAAGGAGCTGTGCGCGTGATTGGCTCAAGCGGACGAGCGGCCACCCTCGAGTCGGCGCTGCGCTCCTCCCGCGAGTTCACGGCCCACGCCGCGCGCACACGGGGAGGGGTGCCGCTCTCAGACGGCGCCTTCACAAAGTCGAGCTCAGCGCAGTTTAGGGCGTTCATCGTAAAGTAATAATAATATTCATAGCAAAACGTAAAATTGTCAACAATTCTAAACACGTACGTTAATGCACCGAATAAAAGAGCAGAAGCCGTGTTCGATCTACGCGCACGTGGATTTATTTACGAAATCAAAATTGCTGGAACTTTTTGATAATTCTTTCCAAGTAAGTCGGGAATGACATCTTCATTAACAATCCTGCTTGCCTGTGAGGTACTGATGCGAAATCTGAAAAGAGAATAATGACATTCATTTACAAGTATTCAACATTCTCAACATATGAAAGTTCACTATATTACTTTGTCTATGATAATGGTGAACATTTTTGCAAGTATCATTGTCTGAGCGTGACAATGGCGTATAAATTGTGGAAATAAAATTTTCATTCAGTAAATTGCTGAATTACCCACGTGCATTTTACAGGACCCATGTGAAAGAAGGTATCTCTAAAACCGGCGTGATCTCCGCACGTAGATCACGCGGTGTGCACAGGTGGCCTCGTGACACTGACTGTGGCTGTCCACGATTGCCAGTTCCCAAGAACGTGGCTTTATGTTGAATTGTTAACGTAAGAAACTGGAATTATTAAATGTGAGCACACTTATTTAACAAATACAATGAAATAAAATGATCGCCGATATAGTCACTCCACACCCATTAAACTCTTATTTAAAATGGTCTAATCAATCAACAACAACGCAAGTATCTTCACCAGCAACTTTGCAAGTGGGGGTCCGCGTGTGAGGTCTCAGCACCAAGTAATCATCTACGTCACTTTTGAATATATATGTACTCGAACAACATAAACAAGCAGACCATCACGCCTCCTTCCTATAGCTGTCCCTTACAAAATATGTTTATTATTTTACACATCCAATCAGCCACGCAGCCCTATGGGAGTGTATAATTTCAGCAGCATTGGTTTCATACGTGGGGACTCGAGACTGACCTCGACACTACTCAGTGTCTCACCAGGCTTGGCTACAAGCATGGCTTTCCCGATGAAAACAAGTCTGAATCTGCTCATGATACACTAAATATCAAGAGCAGTCCAGAGTTTGCTTGTGTCGACCAATGCTGCTGAAGTTATGTTCGATAAAGCCGTGGTGGCTGATGGGATGCGTAAACTAATATATGTGGCGAGATGGATACATGAAGGAGGCGTATTGTTTGCTTCGTGTGTAAGATAACATTTGCATCAGGCACTGGCTCATGCTACCTGGTTGCTTGATACTAATTCAGGTGCAGCTCACGCAGCTCCACAGCCACTGTGCCATGTGCGTACACAAGCACGCCGTGCCCGTCTCGTGTGTGGAGCCAATGATTCAAACATTAAGTGTATTTAAACATACTCATTTAATTTGTATATGACGTACAGTACTTGCTTCTTCATGTAAATCCATCTCCTGTAATAATGAGAGTGGTAATGATGGATGCAGCATAATGAGTGGCCACAGTGAGCTGCATGAACATCAGAACCTGATTCCCATTCCTTGGCAGATTGGCCGAAACATCGCCGTGGCGATTTTCCACGTTGTGCATAATGGAGACATCGGCACAGGTATGCAGAAACATTCCCCAGCATGTGAATGAGCCCCACGCTTTTTATCCCTTTTCCTTCCGACCTCTGTACCCCGGTAGCCGACCCTAGACGAGGTGCCCTACCTTCATCGGCAGCCACGCTAACGTGACGATGAGTAAAGTTTAAAGCAATTCAGATTTTTTTTGGGGATATAATGTTTTTTAAATATTTTAATTGTTCTATTACCTGACCAATATTTATTTATTCAATCAAAACGTTTAATCAAAGCGTGGAAGCAGATTTTAATAATAAACTTCAATACCTTGCATGCATTTGAAATTGATTTGGTTTGCATTGCGTACATCACCACCCTTAATCAGGGAGTGCGCGTGTGCTGTATTCTAATTTCTAATCTGCATGCGCTGTAAGTGATGGCTATGTGCAATAGACGCATCTCAGTCGGAGCAGTATAACAGACACCCAATTTAACACGTCGGCTTTTGCGACCAATATCCATAATTCAGTTTTTTTGGGTTAGATATTTACACAATCTAACCCAAAAAAACCTGTGTTATGGATAACAGTTAAGCCATTTTAAAAATAGCGTCTGAATCCCACCGTGGCTGGATGCGCTTGTAGGGTTTGAAGAAAATGAGCCTCCTTAGCTCCCAAATGGCTGCATCGTTTGAATAGGAGTGTGGCAACGTGTGCATGCATGTTGGTACACATATATACAGTGTGTATATATATACTTGTGTATGTAAACGCGTTAAAGCAAATGACAGGGTTACATTTTAATGGTGCTGAAGTTGGCGTTGTAAAACAAATACATGTCCAATGCGTCATACGTATGTATGTTGGACTTATTTCTTACCCTACGCAGCCAACCGTGCTAATCGGAGGAGCACCACCTACACAGTAATGATTTCACTCCAATATGAGCATGCCCACATACCTGGAGCCCTGCGTGGGCTGTGCGCGGCAGAGTACGCAGCAGTCGCGGTTTCCCTTCGTCCCAGGCCGTGCGATATGGAGATGACGCACTGCACATACTTGTCCCAGAACAGCTGCGCCAGGTCCCAGAAGTTCTTGGCATGGTACGGGTTGTCAGAGTTCTTCAGGTCGAGCATGAAATTCCAGAATTCGCCGACTGTGTGCGTCATGCGGGGCTTTTGCATCTTGATGACTGCGATCGTGGACAGCTCCCAGCACTGTGGGTTCACCTCGTTGAGTGACAGCACGTCGATGTCTCCCCGAGGGAGGCATGGCACCACGAGGCCCAGCACCACGAGCAGCCACAGCAGCAAGGGCTTCCCCCAGCGTGGAGTCTTCTCTTGGTACCTGGGCATTGTCAATTTGAGCTGCGACATAAAAAAACAGACACGCTCATATTACAAGGCCATCCGCTCAGAGAGATGCCGCCCTGCAATTGGTTGCTCATGGCCCGTTGACAGATTGGCTACGTAGGGTGCGAAAGAAGTTCAATATACACACATAGAAGGTATTTGGTCTACTCTCCCACACTGACCGGATGTATTGAAAAAGGTGGGGGTACCCATACGTTTCGCCACCATCCGTGACCTGCCGATCATACACGAACAGTGGCGGGTATCTACAGCACATACTGCTGGTCCACTCACAGAACACCAACAATTGCACGATCTCTGCGCAAGGGGACTCGGGATAAACATCAAGGCGATGTGCGTCAGTAGCAGCAACGACATTAGCCACGATCACCTCACCACCGTGAAAGCATCACAGGTAGCTACCACCCTGGTCATCACACAGGTAGCTACCACCCTGGTCACCACACAGGTAGCTACCACCCTGGTCACCGCACAGGTACCTACCACCCTGGTCACCCTGGTCACTGCATAGGTAGCTACCACCCTGGTCACTGCACAGGTAGCTACCACCCTGGTCACCCTGGTCACTGCATAGGTAGCTACCACCCTGGTCACCCTGGTCACCGCACAGGTAGCTACCACCCTGGTCACCCTGGTCACTGCATAGGTAGCTACCACCCTGGTCACTGCACAGGTAGCTACCACCCTGGTCACCCTGGTCACTACACAGGTAGCTACCACCCTGGTCACCACACAGGTAGCTACCACCCTGGTCACCACACAGGTAGCTACCACCCTGGTCACCCTGGTCACTGCACAGGTAGCTACCACCCTGGTCACCACACAGGTAGCTACCACCCTGGTCACCACACAGGTAGCTACCACCCTGGTCACTGCACAGGTAGCTACCACCCTGGTCACTGCACAGGTAGCTACCACCCTGGTCACTGCACAGGTAGCTACCACCCTGGTCACCACACAGGTAGCTACCACCCTGGTCACCACACAGGTAGCTACCACCCTGGTCACCACACAGGTAGCTACCACCCTGGTCACCACACAGGTAGCTACCACCCTGGTCACCACACAGGTAGCTACCACCCTGGTCACTGCACAGGTAGCTACCACCCTGGTCACCGCACAGGTACCTACCACCCTGGTCACCCTGGTCACTGCACAGGTAGCTACCACCCTGGTCACCACACAGGTAGCTACCACCCTGGTCACCACACAGGTAGCTACCACCTTGGTCACCACACAGGTAGCTACCACCCTGGTCACTGCACAGGTAGCTACCACCCTGGTCACTGCACAGGTAGCTACCACCCTGGTCACTGCACAGGTAGCTACCACCCTGGTCACTGCACAGGTAGCTACCACCCTGGTCACCGCACAGGTACCTACCACCCTGGTCACCCTGGTCACTGCACAGGTAGCTACCACCCTGGTCACCACACAGGTAGCTACCACCCTGGTCACCACACAGGTAGCTACCACCCTGGTCACCACACAGGTAGCTACCACCCTGGTCACCACACAGGTAGCTACCACCCTGGTCACCACACAGGTAGCTACCACCCTGGTCACCACACAGGTAGCTACCACCCTGGTCACTGCACAGGTGCCTCCCCCCCCCCCACCTCAACAGCGAGTCACAGAGAGGATTGTGGATCTGCTCCATAAGGTGACAAAACGTCCCTTTGAGTAAAAGCTCCAACAAACACGACACAGAACGACTCCCACAACAGAGTTGAGGACAGTGTCCATCTGAGACTTAAACAACCGGAGTGTATCATGGGGAGACAAATATCCCATGATACCAAAGTGGAGAGAACCACATGCGAATGCATCGCCTTGAGCATGTCAAAACCAGGATTGTTTTACGTCCCTGGAAGAATGGCAACTTTCCCCGGATCGTCGCTGCCACAATGAGAGGGCGATCCTGTAACACCAGGACGGGTGGTACCCCCCCCCCCCCCGTTGTGAGTGCTCCGGCATTACTGAAGCAGGTGAGTGTCCAGCAACCAACGGCACCATCGCACTAGAAGATGAGCGGCCACTCATCGGTGATCCACAGCATCACCACCAAGCAACGTCGCCGCGCCGCGGCGAAGGGGTCTCAAGCCGCACGCGGACGTGTTTTTTACGCTGTCGTGGTAGCAGCGGTGATTAATCTCTCAGCATTTCAGAGCGCAGAAATCAGAACTCGGCAAGAGTTGACATCGAATTCACCTCGGGCGGATCTCGGCTGCCTTCACCATGCATCTCTTTCATCTGTGATCCCTCCGTGCCTGCACGCACGATTTACCGAGTTGCTGGTGAAACGCGCGAGGATTTTGTTTAAATCCTCGTTGAATTATTTTTCCAGCTACGGACGTCGCTAAAACTTCTCCCGAACGTTAAGAACTTTCCAGTGTTCACAGTGGGTGTCCATCAGGCGTCTCGTGGTTCTTATTTCACTACGCGAGCTGGAATCCAGCATGTGGAATGGGAATACGCATGGGACACTTCCCGTTGTTATTTTCACTTTCATTCAAATCGGTGTCTTCAGGGAACTTCCGAGGTCACAGTCAAGGAGGCTGAGCAACGCATTGAACGATGCATCATTCCCTTCACTAATAAATGAGCAGACAATACGATTCCGTAAATCTGTTAATCCACGTAAAAAAGTATGTTTACACATCCCATCAACCACAAGGCCTTCTGACAATATATCATTTCAGCAGCATTGGTTCAGCACAAGCAAACTAGACCGGCCTCGACACTTAACAGTGAGGCTTGCTTAAACTAGTGCTGCTGGTGAACTGACAGATGTTAACATGGGAAAGGACTCTCTCTGTTAGATATGGGTCCGAGTAAAACATAATACAGCTGTATCATACTGATGAGCATCCAGCATCGTCGATTGCTTGTGTTGAGCTCATGCTGCTGAAATGATGCACTCCCAGAAAAGATTGTGTGCTAGATGGAATGTATATAAAACATGTTGTATGTATCATCTGGAGGGACTGCTACGTGGAGGCGGATATTGTCTGCTTATTTATTTTGTTCTGCTATTCTCTCCGCAACGACGCTCATGGTTATTTTGTGAAAAGCCCAAGGCGCGATGGACGAATCCAGAGCCGAGGACGGACGAGGAGGGCAGCCGAGTGCCGCTCGTGTGCCTGCCCACCGACGGCGCACTCCGAGGACCGAGCTGCCCTGCGGAATACCTCCTCGCTGAGACACCACGCGTCTTTGGCATGCTCCCTTCAGCACTGCGCATATTTAACATGACTGTCTATAATGCATCGCATACTTCTCATTTCACGAGACCATCTGTAATTCCACAATTGAGTCCATTTCATGATAATTCCAGGAGCGCGCGAATGGCCCGGCCCGGTGGTTGCGTTCGTGGTGGATTAGGAGGCGGCGGAGGTCGGCGTCGGTCTTCGGGCGGCGCCGCTTGTGCAAAGGGCAGCACGGATGCGCGGTGCGAGGGGTTAAAGCGAAGAACGCTCCCAGCGATGTCCCCTCTGCACGCATCGGAGAACCGTGCCCGTCAAGACTCTGCCATTGACACCGCAGAATCGTAAAAAAAACGCGCTGTGCGTCGCCGCCACTACAGCCACGAGCTGGGCGGTGGTGGCGCACGCCTGTAATCCGGCACTGTGAAGGCAGCGAGGTTTGGTGGATCGGAGAAATGTTGTGAAACTCCCTTCTCTTGGCTTTCCAGTAGAATGCAGTACAGCAAAGTGTGGATTAATGTTATTGTTGCCCCTCGCATGTGCGGGGTTTCTGCGGGTGCTCTGGTTTCCTGCCACATGTATACACGCTCAGCAATTGTCTGAAAACATCTCAATATATAGAAAACTGCAGAGCAATTGTTGGTAGCATCGGCTTACTGCATGGCAGTTGTCCAGCTTTGTCTGTGGTTCCTCGGGGATCGTGAGAAGCAGTCTACATAAACGACGCTCCATCACACTTAATCATATCTTGTACGCTTCGATCTTTTTTTAAAGTTTGTTTTTATGCGCGGCGATTCAGGAGGCGCGCGAGCTTCTGGTTATCCTGGCATCGCACACCCAATCCCTCCTTCACATATTAGTCTCTTCACGTAACAAAGATATTAATTATACATCCCATTCGCCTCCCCGCCCTCAGGGAGCGCATCATTTAAGCATTATTATTGTTCAACACAAGCGAGCTCTCTTGGCTCGTGTTGCCGCGCGCAGTAAACGCTGTAGGTCATCACTGACGGGCAAATATTTTATTTTGTTATTCTCGAACACGACGCTAATTGTCATTTCTGTAATATGTACCACAGTATACCACTGTATAGCGCAGTAGACTCTCACATCGGTGTTGTACTTCAGTAGATTAATGCACTCACCAGGTAGACGATTATTCGCACGAATGAGTCCGCAGGTGATACATGGTTGGCGAAGACACCAACCACGCAGCATGTTCGCGGAGCTTTGCTTTAACCCTTCGAGTCGCAGTTTGACTCGAGTTCGGTTCTTGGCTCGTTTCGCTGGTGTCGTTGTCTGAATTGTTTTAATTCACTCGGCAGCAACAAATTCGAAGTGAGAAAGCTGCATCATTCTGTCGGTGCTATCGGTTTATGGTGGGTGCGCTCAGAGTGAAAGCTGAATTCGACAGGAACGCGTCGACGATGCGTATCCTCGGGTTGCGGTTTGGCCGCGCCCTGTCCGTGGGACCCCCACGCTGTGCCCGTAAGATGCCCGTGGGATCCTAGCGCAGTGCCCGTGGGACCCCCACGCCCTGCCCGTGAGATGCCCGTGGGATCCTAGCGCAGTGCCCGTGGGACCCCCACGCTGTGCCCGTAAGATGCCCGTGGGATCCTAGCGCAGTGCCCGTGGGACCCCCACGCCCTGCCCGTGAGATGCCCGTGGGATCCTAGCGCAGTGCCCGTGGGACCCCCACGCTGTGCCCGTAAGATGCCCGTGGGATCCTAGCGCAGTGCCCGTGGGACCCCCACGCCCTGCCCGTGGGACCCCCACGCTGTGTCCGTGAGATGCCCGTGGGATCCTAGCGCAGTGCCTGTGGGACCCCCACGCCCTGCCCGTGGGACCCCCACGCCTTGCCTGTAGGATCCTAGCGCAGTGCCCGTGGGATCCTAGCGCAGTGCCCGCCCGCGTCCACGTGGAGCCGTGATGGTGCCGCTTCTAACCTCCCCCTGGCACCGCGTTCCTACTTCCCACCACTCATCCACGCAGGAAGAGTCGCTGCTTGGGCAGCAGCATTTGCGACGTGACCGCGTCCCTGCGTCGCAGCGCTCTTGTGAGCTTCACGCCGAGGGTGGAGTCGAGGGCACAGGCGCAGAGACGCGCCGTGCCGAGGGTGCGGCAGCGCTCAGGGCTGCACTCACCTGCGAGGAGGTGGAGACGCTCCGCGTGCAATCCGCTCCGCGTGCGGGGGGTGCGGGCTGGGCGCGGGGTGCGCGGTTTGGTCTCCCGCGGGGCTGGGAGCGCGGTCCCCGGGGCCGCGAGTCGCGGCGCTTTTATTCGCGGCGCCCCGAGGCGGGGAGGAGCCGCGCCGCGCGGTTGCGTCAGCGAGGGCGCCGCGGCCGCGGCTCGCCCCTTCCCCAGGTCACTCCGCGCGCGTCTTGACCTCGCGCCGGCGGCGGGGCCCGCGTGTCGCCCTGGCACGACGCCGCGCACCCCGCCACCGTGCCCAGCACAGACGGCATGCTCGAGACAAACGACCACACGTCTTTGTTTCCCACTTCTCGCCAAGCACAAGGCCAGCTGTGAGTGCATCGTTTCAGCAGAATTGGTTCCATAGAACCAACTCTGGACCGGTGTTGACATGCTTGATCTCAGCAGTCACGCTTGCTTGACTATATCTTAAGCAGAGGGTCCTTGCCTATAACATCTGGGAGTTTAACAGCATTGGTTCAAGCAAGCCTGGACGTCGAAGCCGGTTAATATTTTGCTTGTATTGATTGGTCCAATACTGTTAAGATTGTGCACTCTCATATGGCCTTTTTGAGCAAGGACAGAAACATGAAGGGGACATATTGTGCGTATTTCTTGTCACCTAGCGCGGCAATGTCCCGGTGCTGCTCGGCTACTGGCCACACTGCTGCTGCTGCCTCCACGGGGTGCTTTGTCTTCTCGGGGGTCACGACGGGGTTCGAGGCAGTGACCTCGCGGCAATGCGGTCGAGCTGGGACCGTCTCCTCAGCAACTCCCCACCCCGCGTGGAGCTGCGGCTCCACACGGGGTGGACGCCGTCCCCACCCCGCGTGGAGCTGCGGCTCCACACGGGGTGGACGCCGTCCCCACCCCGCGGGGTCGACCCTGGCGAGGGGCATCCGTCGCTCAGCACGCTGGATCGACGCGGCCAGCGCGGCAATTCTTGTTCGCCGTCATGTCTGTTCGCCGTCATGTATGTTCGCCGTCATGTATGTTCGCGCGGAGGCAGCTCTACGAGAGGGAGAACCAAATGGAGCAACGTCCTGCGGCGATAGGCGAGATACAAAGCAGCAGCAGCGACATTCCGCAGTTTGATCGCGTCGCGTCAAAGTTCATCACATCGATGCTGTCGACCACATGCTCATGAGAAGACTACGAAGCCCCTGGACATTGGGACGTACTCTGTCTGGACGACAGCAGGTTTACCAGAACTCTCTATGGAAATCTGAAAGTGGTCAAGCGCTCTGCTGGAGGACAAAGACGGCTGTTCGGGGAAAGGCGAAAGTGGAGAGCAATGGCTTAGTGCAACACCGACACTGGCTTAGTGCAACACCGACACTGGCTTAGTGCAACACCGACACTGGCTTAGTGCAACACCGACACTGGCTTAGTGCAACACCGACACTGGCTTAGTGCAACACCGACACTGGCTTAGTGCAACACCGACACTGGCTTAGTGCAACACCGACACTGGCTTAGTGCAACACCGACACTGGCTTAGTGCAACACCGCCACTGGCTTAGTGCAACACCGACACTGGCTTAGTGCAACACCGACACTGGCTTAGTGCAACACCGCCACTGGCTTAGTGCAACACCGACACTGGCTTAGTGCAACACCGACACTGGCTTAGTGCAACACCGCCAATTGTGACTGAGACGAGATAGAGCAGCAAGGCCGGGCCCTGTGGCGTTCCTCCTCCATGCTCAACGACGGCGTTGAACTATGTGGAGGCTGACGCGCGAAAGCAGCTGTCGAGAAGTGTGTGCGTGTTGAACTTCTATCGCACCGTACGTAGCCATCCGTGCTAATCGGAGGCGGGAGGGAAGGACAAGAAAGTAAACACAACACGCGTCACTCACTGCCTCTTCGGTGTTCACGTGTGAGGTCGATTGAGGCACATGAAGACCCACAGGGAGCAGACATAACCAGCCATCGTCGATCTGACGTGACAGCCAAAACAACATCGGTCTTTCCACAGCCCCCGTTTTCTTCTGTCGTCTTGATTGTATCTTCCTGATTCCACTCGTTTACTCTGGACAGTCTCGCTGAGTCTCAAGACTACGTTTTAGGAGAATCATGCCACGTCTTTTGCAGTAGGGGACAATGATGCTTTGCGTTTTAAAAGTAATTTGCGAGTTATTACTCAGTTATATTGGACCGTAGTGCCGGCGTACAATGGCCAAATCATATTCGATGTCACGGGATGTTTAACACCCATTATAGGGAGATTTATTCTTGTTCAAGTTCAAGTTCATTTATTAGGTATAGCCCTGTGAGCCATTCAGCTCTTGAATCGGGTGCAACCGCAACAAACAAAAAACAAAAACATGAACAAAAAAACATCTTAAAGTGAATATGTGACTAAGTGCAAACAGAAAATCCAAGAAAAGACAGCAAAAATATTGCAGAAAAAACACCGTACACCAACGCTGTGTGCAAAAATCCCAGTGGGATGCAAGTCAAACAACAACAACAACCACAAGACAACTTAGATTAAGGCCATCAGTCTAACTCTGTACTACAACAACGATCCATTTATAGGTAATTAAAATTACATACATTCTAATGCAACAAAAATCCTGCCTGGATTCAAAACACACTCCACCTGCCCGTGGCACCATCGTCACCACCTCAGCTTCATCACCAATTCACAACCATCGTCATGCCCACATCATCTTCAATCTCGTCACAACCACATCCATCAACACTGCCACCGCCATCATTGCCTGTATCACCACCAACCCCACTATTGTATCTCCAATAACCTCTAAATATCCGACAGTTGACTGGCTTTGGTTCAAGAAAGCATGGTTCACTCATGAGACACTTGAGTAAACGAAACCGGTCCAGTTTTCATGTGTTGAGCCAATGCTGCTGAGTTTGTGTGCTCCCAGAAGGCCGTTTGGCTGATGTAATGAATAAAAACACTTTATTGTGTGTGGAGGAACAGACATGGGATGTGTGTGTGTATTGTTATCTCTGCTGCGTGACGACAGAAGAAGTCGACTTCGTGTCCTCCTCTTCGTGGAGCAGCGACAACGTCGAGTCCACGTGGCTGGTGGCGACTTCGCGCTCATGTCAAGAGTTAATCGGCGTCGCGCCGATCGTGTGGACAAAACATCCCAAGATGTGTGTCAAGCCACTGCTGCACGAGGCTTTCCCACGCGCTGCGAGTAGTCGTAGGGTGACGTGGCCATACCGCGTGGCACTGCTCAGTGAAGGCGCGAGCATAGACGTTGCAGCGTAGTACGGTACAGCAATGGGTATTGCTGTACGTCATTGCGTTATCATTAATACCACACATCACCATCACCTCCTTTCACCATCGTAATCAACATCATTACCCTTGCAGTAATTCCCTAGCTCATAATAATCATTAGCCTAATCACCATCACACATACCTTGAGCAGAACTCGAGCAGCACTCAACCCCCCATAATCACAGTCGCTACCAACATGCATCACGATCATGCGATCATGCTTTTAAATCACTATCAAAATGATCGCTATCACTCCACATAACCACCACTCATCCTTCCCATTCTCCTCTCTGCAAGCTTGGATCTCACGGTTAACAAGAAAGTGTTTGAGTCCACAGCGGTTGTCACGTGATCTAGACCCCCAGCACCGTCCCACCAGAGGAATGTGGAATGTCTACCCTGGGCAGCGGACTCGCCCCCTCCTGCACAACAAACACACGTGGGACGTGTTCTAAATCTGATGACGACTATGTTTGTGCAGTGTTTTGATTATTTCTGTAACGCAGCTGTATTAGCCCAATTGTCGCAATGGGTGTCTATGTCATTGCCTCTGGCATCCAGGTGACTCGCGAATGAGCGCGGGGCGAGGCGCCCCCTCGTGGAGGCCGTGGGGAGCGACCGGGGAGGAGGAGGCGGCGGAGCGGCGTGGGGGGGGGGAGACACGTGGGGGGGGGGGAGGCACGTGGGGACGGGGGGGGGCAGCAGCAGCCAGCAGCGGACATGGTGCGCGGGGTGAGCGCGCTCCTCCTGCAGGCGGCCGGGAAGGTGCGGCCACATCAACCTCCCTACGCACATTCTAGATTTGAGATCCCTACGGACACCCCACTCCACACACACAGCCGACCTACACAGCCTACAGCCGGCCTACACACATCCCACACACAGCCTACACATAGCCGACCTACACACAGCCTACACACAGCCCATACACAACCCACACACAGCCCATACACAACCCACACACAGCCCACACACAACCTACACATAGCCGACCTACACACAGCCCACACACATCCAGCCTCGCAGAGTCAACCGTGAGGCTGCCCGACTCCACGCAGCCAGCCGAGCCAGGCCGCGGGCACGCGGAGAGCCCCGCACGCCCTTGGCTGCTGCTGCTGATGATGATGCTGCTGATGATGATGCTGCTGATGATGATGCTGCTGATGATGATGCTGCTGATGTTGCTGCTGATGATGCTGATTGTCGAAAAGGGGACAGAATTTCCCTGCGTTGTGTTGAACAAGAGTCGCACTCCCCAGAAATCCGAGTGGCTGACGGGATGTGTCGAGGCGGCGGCGTTTTGCGTCTGCTGCTCAGGGGTCGTCCATAAATGACGTCACGCACCTAGGGGGGAGGGGATCAGACATTAGTGACGAGGGGGAGGTTTGAGAAATGTGACGTCACATAAAAATGCGCAACTTTAAATAAATATTAACAATATAATTGTTATAACACAATTTCTTTAAATTAATTTTCATTATTAACTATTTGATTATTTCAATTTACTAAGGTCACCTTTTATTTACTCCATGCAGGAGCATTTTGCTTCTCTATGGGGGAATGGAGAAGCATGCATTTTGTAAAAAAAAATAATGATTGTTATTAAACATTTTATTTTAATGATTCTACCAGGACTTTTCATTCTATGAAATGAATATGTGATTGTTATAACTGTACTCTCTATTTTGCTTCGTTCTACTACAAAGTTTCAAGTATATTTTTATAGTTATAATAACTTTTAATATTGTATAATTATAGGATAATTTCAATATAATAATTTGAACATCTGCAGTTTTAGTTAGACGATGAATATTTTCAAGTGAATTTTATGCTAAATTTCAGCTTTCCAACGCCTCCTTTTAAATAAATGTTTTCTCCTACAATATCAGAGTGCAGCGCCACACTAAATACGCACTACAATGACAATAGTTTAAAGCGATTTGAAGAATGTTTTATTTTCAAAATGGAAATAGATTTTCGGGGGGGGGGGCAAAGCTTTGTGACGTCATATTTGAGGGGGGTCTGACTTTTCGTGACGCCGTGTGACGAGAGAGGGTCAAAAATTGGCCAAAATCGCGTGACGTCATTTATGGACGGCCCCTCATTTGTTGGGTGTGCCGAGAGCACCGAGCGCTGTGATCCCTGGGAGAGGCGAGGGGGGCGGAGAGCCCCGAGACGCGAGTCGGGAGCGCGAGGGAGCTGCCCCCCCCCCCCCCCCCCCGTGGTCTCCCCCCTGTGTTGTCTCCCTCCCAGAGGTCGCAATCGGGTACCCGATACCCGTACCTTACCCGATACCCGGCTACCCGTACCCGGCCGGGTATCGGGTAGGGTATCCGTTTGCGACCCTGGTGCGGCCGGGTACAGGTGAGGAATCAAAACCCGTTTGCGACCTCTGCCCCCTTCCCCACCCCGCCCAGACGCCGCGGCACCGCCACTTCGTGGACTCGCTGCGGCTCCACGTGCGAGGCGGCACGGGCGGCATGGGGCTGCCGCGTCTGGGCGGGGAGGGCGGCCCCGGCGGGGACGTCTGGGTCCTGGCCCGGCCCGGCGCCTCTTTGCGCCACGTCACCGATCGGCAGCCCTCCAAGCGCCTCGCAGCCGGGGTCGGAGACAACAGCAGGTGGCCTCTCACCTCGCCCGCTCCCGTGGTGCCCAGTCCCTGGTGCCTCATCCCTAGTCCCTGGTGCCCAGTCCCTCGTCCCTGGTGCCCAGTCCCTAGTCCCTGGTGCCTAGTCCCTGGTGCCTAGTCCCTGGTGCCCAGTCCTTCGTCCCTGGTGCCCAGTCCCTGGTGCCTAGTCCCTGGTGCCTAGTCCCTGGTGCCTGGTGCCTCATCCCTAGTCCCTGGTGCCCAGTCCCTCGTCCCTGGTGCCCAGTCCCTGGTGCCCAGTCCTTCGTCCCTGGTGCCCAGTCCCTGGTGCCTAGTCCCTGGTGCCCAGTCCCTGGTGCCCAGTCCCTGGTGCCTGGTGCCTGGTGCCTCATCTCTAGTCCCTGGTGCCTAGTCCCTGGTGCCTAGTCCCTGGTGCCTGGTGCTTAGTCCCTCGTCCCTGGTGCCCAGTCCCTGGTGCCCAGTCCCTGGTGCCTGGTGCCTGGTGCCTCATCTCTAGTCCCTGGTGCCTAGTCCCTGGTGCCTAGTCCCTGGTGCCTGGTGCCTCATCTCTAGTCCCTGGTGCCCAGTCCCTAGTCCCTGGTGCCTAGTCCCTGGTGCCTGGTGCCTCATCTCTAGTCCCTGGTGCCCAGTCCCTAGTCCCTGGTGCCTAGTCCCTGGTGCCTCATCCCTAGTCCCTGGTGCCTCGTCCGCGAGGTGTTTGTGTCACGCGACGCCGACGAGATGGTTGAAGGTGTCCTGGCTGGAATCCCTCCTGGCGCCCTCCCTGACCCCATATCCACCGCACGCATTGCCCTGCTGCTTCACTCGTACTGCCGCACTTTGGAGTTCCCTGCCACCGTCTCTTTCCCCCAAGCTGTTCATCGTGACGACATCGCTCAACGCAAGACGTTGATAGTGCTGTTTGTTGCTCGCCGCGTGACATTTGTTTTGAACCAGAGCTCAGCAACTTACAAACAGAGATCTCGTCGGGCGTGATTTGCCCTCCTCAGCCGTGTGCGGACTCGCACCCACGAGGGGTGACGCACGCACCGCTGCCTCTTGCCATTGCCCAAAGCTGGGAGACAACTGCGCATTGATGGCTCTTGCACGGCACACTGCCCTGGTGAACTCACTTAGACTTGGTGCGTTATTATTATTGACAACCTGAATGCATGCAGAGGGTATTGTTGATGAGTACCGTGTTTCTATATCTTCCATCTTTTGTCATACACACTCCGTTAAGTATTATTTGTGCAGGGTATTAAGTGTTGCATCTACATCGTGGGCGGTTCATAATGACTACGTATTACACTCAACTGATGACCTGCACGGCGTGTTTGCAGTGTTCGATGTCTCAAAGGTGCAAAAGGCAAAGACTTTCAAATCGAGGTGCCCTTGGGGATCTCTGTCCACACAGATGACGGGACCCTCATCGGTACGCATTGCACGGCATTAGAGATGATGATGAGCCAGGAATGTCTGTTTGTGTGTAACGCACGTGACGTCACTCCACATGCCGCACCCCGTCATTAATATTCATGAGCGGGTGGATTTTTACACTCGCGCAGAAGAAGGTCGAGCGGATATAAAAAAAAAAACCCGCAAATTCGCTTTAAGTTTGACGTTTCTTTATTGAAAGTGAATCCAGTAAATAATTCTACGCAGCAACAGAGTGGATTTGGTGTCTTTATTTATGTCTTCAGCACTTGAGAAAAAGGTAAGTCTAATTTATGCTTCTACATTATGGTAAAATAGACATTTTTCGGTGATTTTCCAGATATTTTATCGAATTCAAATTCATTTTAACCCCAGCGACCGAAAGCAGAAGAGAATAAAGTATCAGTGAATTTGAACAAATTGAAGGTCAGTTATATAGTGCTACAGCGACATGAAGTGAGGTGTTTCATGACATAGTTTTGTGCAAGATTCACTGCCATTAAATTTACACGAGATAAAATTATACTCTGGACAATTTTTTCGTAAATATTACAGCTTCCGTCCTAGGACAAGCAAACAAGCTAGTTGAGGATATTTGCACATGGCATCCAGACCCATAATTGTATCATTACAATCTCATGAGAGCTCAAGTGACTTAAAGGCCCGGGTAAATGCCAACGATCGCGATGTCTCCGTGTGGTTGTGAGGACCCCAACACTCACGGAGTTTGCGTCGTCGCTTCATTTTAGTTTTGTTTTCTTTATTTGTATTGCTTTGTTTGTGAGAAGCTTGTCCGGCATACCCCACATTCTGGCTGATTTAAGTTAGGCTCGATGGGTATTCACTGTGTACAGAAAATGTTCAAGAAATTCGCTGGATATTCTCAGGAAAAGTTTCCTAACTGTGCTACCACTGCTGAAGCGTCACCGCTAAGGCCTTGCTTAGCAGTGACAATTCCTGGTTACTCACCCCATATTCTTGTTTTACTTCCAGGGGAGGTGAACAGCCCTGAGGACCGCGTGCGCGTGGCCGTGGGCGGCCTGGGCGGGGGACTCACCACGGATTATCAGCCCAGCCCCGGACAGAGGCGGATGATTCGTCTCGACCTCAAGCTCATTGCCGACGTTGGCCTCATCGGGTAACTGTAGTCACGGCTCTTTTTACACATTGGTCAAAAATCACGAGTCACACGTGGATAACTTTACATAGCCCAGATCCACAGCTTAATTTCATCAGAATGAAGCCGTATTGGGCCCTGCATGATAAAAACGTTGACGTAAATGCTGCGAGTGACAATCAGCCCTGTGGACAGATTGCCCAGCCCCCGCTGCATTGTCTCCGCCCTTCCCAAACTTTGTCCACCACCTGGTATAAGGTCATGGTTCCTAATTAACTGATCATTCTGACCATATGTTCATGATTTAGTACGGTCACACTGAGTCCTCGGTGGATTCTGTGATGAAAATTGCTCATGTGCTGACTGACTGGCTGAGCCGATGGACTTACGAAGCTGTTTATACCGCTGTGAAGGTGGAAGAGTGAGAATCACTTTGAGGGAATTCATTAGATGTTGTCCTATGGGAATGTGGAATCGTTACAGGCATATGAAAATTGTCTGCTTTTAGTGTTCATTATATTCTCCACAAAGATGCTAATGTATAGTGTTGTGTTGAACTCGGACGCATCTGACAAGAGATGATTCTTGCCTGTAACGCCTGACAGTTCACAGCAGTAGTTCAAGCACGCCTGACTCTTCTGACGAGACACTGAATATCAAAACTGGTCCATAATTTTCTTGTGTTCATCCAATGCTTCCAAAAAACTATGCATTCCCAGAAGGCAACGTGGCTGATTGTGGAGGGACATATATTGGGTAGGAGGTATGTGTGCTTAATATTTTTAGCGGAGAGGATTTGAATTTGTATTGACTAAGCAGCATTCTCCAGCAGTATGGACCTCTGTGTGTCTTGTGCAGGTTCCCTAACGCTGGCAAGTCAACGCTCTTAGAGAAACTCTCTTCTGCCAAGCCCAAGATTGCCGACTACCCTTGTACGTACCCAGCTTAACATGTACGTGAATATACATTTAAATACCTCGTAAATATGTTACTGTTTTAGGATCCATTATTATTAGAAATATAAACTAAACTACAAAATCTTCTTGGTTCTTTCGGTAAAGTCACGTAGAAGGGAAGTAATAAAATAATAAAAATAAAACATAATAAAACAATTCTCACGACGTTTCGGCTACAACGCAAGCAGCCGTCTTCAGGTGAAGAATGAGACAATGCCAAGCTAGGAGCTTATATATAAGCTGCGTTGGAGGTGGAGGAAAGAGCGCCTTAACAAAAGAATGTGCATGTGAAGAGGAATTTAGCATATTCATGGAAAATGCGTAGGAGGTGGGCGGGGGGGTTTCAAAGTCATATTATGCCCATGCATTATGCAGGATCAACAGCACCAAGGGGGGGGTGCAGGGATTAGCAGTAAGAAAGGAAAGGAATGTTAATGATATGTAGCTGCAGTTACTCAACCACCACGTAGAAAACTAAAGCATAAACTACATAAAAAACTAAAGTATAAATAGCATAGCACCGTCAGTATACTTACTATACTCTACACTAAGCTGAGTTACTAACAGCAAGTAATACATTACAATTCTACGTCGTAAAAATTATATAATATGCTTCCATCTAAACTTTATTCTATTGCATCAACGAGCATATACCGTACTATATACTGCCAACATTAAATTATATACTGTATTGCTGTAAACCAACCTATATCTTATACATTTAATATAACACTATGTATTATTCTACCCACCCTAATGTGTGTCGAAATGGTTTATTACGTCCTTCCAATGATTGCTAAGCCAGAATCCATCTTCTCGGTTAAAATTGTCTCTGTGTTTGTATATGTGGATCGCCTCATGAACGAATCTCTCATGATAGCCAGATGGCTTGCAGAGAACCTCTGTCTTGGAGAAGTCAATGTCATGTGAGCCCACTGAATTGTAACAGTGATCTGCCACGGCTGAGGTGTTTGTCCTACCGTGTTTCAGGTCTGCCTTATGTTCACGGATGCGGTCCGAGACATGTCGTTTGGTTTCTCCAATGTAACTGCTACCACAGAGGCAACTTAGTTTGTAGACGCCAGGGTACTGTATGTCTGGAACCACATCTTTTACAGACGGGACCAGATCACGGATTTTATGTACTGTGTTGAATCGGACCTGGATCTTGTGTTTAATCAGGATTTTGGAGATCTTTTTTGTGACCCCAGCAACCATCAAGAAGGATCCTGTTGAGGAGCCTTTCAAGACCATCACCTTACCCTACATTGCTGGGGTCACAAAAAAGATCTCCAAAATCCTGATTAAACACAAGATCCAGGTCCGATTCAACACAGTACATAAAATCCGTGATCTGGTCCCGTCTGTAAAAGATGTGGTTCCAGACATACAGTACCCTGGCGTCTACAAACTAAGTTGCCTCTGTGGTAGCAGTTACATTGGAGAAACCAAACGACATGTCTCGGACCGCATCCGTGAACATAAGGCAGACCTGAAACACGGTAGGACAAACACCTCAGCCGTGGCAGATCACTGTTACAATTCAGTGGGCTCACATGACATTGACTTCTCCAAGACAGAGGTTCTCTGCAAGCCATCTGGCTATCATGAGAGATTCGTTCATGAGGCGATCCACATATACAAACACAGAGACAATTTTAACTGAGAAGATGGATTCTGGCTTAGCAATCATTGGAAGGACGTAATAAACCATTTCGACACACATTAGGGTGGGTAGAATAATACATAGTGTTATATTAAATGTATAAGATATAGGTTGGTTTACAGCAATACAGTATATAATTTAATGTTGGCAGTATATAGTACGGTATATGCTCGTTGATGCAATAGAATAAAGTTTAGATGGAAGCATATTATATAATTTTTACGACGTAGAATTGTAATGTATTACTTGCTGTTAGTAACTCAGCTTAGTGTAGAGTATAGTAAGTATACTGACGGTGCTATGCTATTTATACTTTAGTTTTTTATGTAGTTTATGCTTTAGTTTTCTACGTGGTGGTTGAGTAACTGCAGCTACATATCATTAACATTCCTTTCCTTTCTTACTGCTAATCCCTGCACCCCCCCCTTGGTGCTGTTGATCCTGCATAATGCATGGGCATAATATGACTTTGAAACCCCCCCGCCCACCTCCTACGCATTTTCCATGAATATGCTAAATTCCTCTTCACATGCACATTCTTTTGTTAAGGCGCTCTTTCCTCCACCTCCAACGCAGCTTATATATAAGCTCCTAGCTTGGCATTGTCTCATTCTTCACCTGAAGACGGCTGCTTGCGTTGTAGCCGAAACGTCGTGAGAATTGTTTTATTATGTTTTATTTTTATTATTTTATTACTTCCCTTCTACGTGACTTTACCGAAAGAACCAAGAAGATGAATCCCTGCAGTCACGAAAGCTTTAAATCGAAAATTAAACTACAAAAACTAAACAAATTTAATGATGGATATTTGGAAAGCCATGGGTAATTGGGCTGAGGCCATTATCTCCCGACACTTGAAAACCCAGTTTAATCATGGCCATCTGAAGCCTAGATCCAAGCACAATGGTGCTGGCTCATTGCTCCGACAAACTATTAGCTCTCTGAGTCACCCAGTGCCCACTGCTGCACCATACTATTATGCATACAGCCCGAGTATTTGAGAATAAAATACAATTGTGCATTCATGGTTGTTTACAAGTACCCTGGAGTGGGGCAGTAGTAATTTGGTTGGTTATTTGATTATTTTTCGCCGATTCACAAAGTTATACCGTTTTTAATTTCCACTAAATCTTATCTTTCGCTTAATATGAGGTGGCCTCATTAGAGAAATGTCCTCGACTCGATTCGAACCGGGTACCTCCTTAACTCTGATGTTACACTGGCAACAAGCGTGTGACTCTTCAGAGCTCTCAGTCTCTTTCCTCTTACCCCAACTCTGCAGGACCTTGTGCCTCCATCCGTGATTATCTCCCACAACCACTACTCCTCCCATCAGCTCCTGAGATCTTCATCTCGAGTCGTCACTGCAACTCTCTTCTTTGCGGCCTACCCACATCCCTCTCATTCAAACACGAGATGATCCACAATGCATACCCACATCCCTCTCATTCAAACACGAGATGATCCACAATTCCACCGCCACACTACTTACCCACACCCTTAAACGCGACCGCATCGTCACAATCCTCCACTTCCTCCACGGACTCCCAATACAGCCCCGGATCAACTTCAACATCACCCTCACCATTTTCAAGATCCGTTATGAACCCGCCCTGCGTACCGTTCCTCTCGCATCTCACCCGACTCATCTCGGTGCACTCTCCGCTCAATAAACAAGGGCCTTCTTTTGAAACCTTCAATAAATCTTCACTCAGTGGGAGGTCTTCCGTTGTTCTCTGTAGCCCCCGTCGTCTGGAATCCCGTCCCGGCTGTGTGCCCGAGACTCCCTGTGCTTATTCAAGTCCATGCTCAAGGCCTTCATCTTCTCCACTGCCTGCCATCTCTTTTTAAGTATCTCTTAAGTGACTTTTGGGAGGCCATCTTCCACTGCTGGATGAAAGCAGTCCTTCGGACACAATCCATTTCCATCGCGTTGAATTTTTAATTCACGTTGCCATGATGACCTTATCAACCCTCCGATTAACATGGTTGGCTACGTACGGTGCAAAAGAAGTTCAACATACATACACAACGCCGTATGGCTATATAGCTACTCACATTCATGCGCATGTGAAACAAGAATTTTTTTCAATCATTTGGAACAAACTTGCATATTACAGACTTATATGGAAATGTGTTTCTATTGCTCATGGAAAATGGCAAGACAAACAATATAATAGTTTGAAGCAATATTACTGCAGGAAAACATGCTTTGTTTATCTTAAGCTGAATACATATTAATTCAGATGGTATTTCTGTTATGTAACAACACTCATGGAATCAAGTATGAAGCCTGATTGGTCATTATGCTTTGGCTGATTTGCTTTCGCCATCTGTCACCATTGATTCCTTGCATCCTTGAATCTCCTTTGCTGCTGCTCCAATTATGGTTGTTGTCAAGGATGCGTGCTTCGGTTCTTCCTCCAATTTATTTGGCTAAGTCCACATCCTGATCTCTCTCATCTTTTTTGTATTTAGCTGCTTCAATTGAAGACAACTAATTCGTATCTTTTAGCTCCCTTACCTAACCCCAACCTCATAAAATACCACATTTATGTGAGTTTAGGTCATCAGCCACAGAGAATCCACTCCTGGATGAAGGCCTCCCCAATCTGCCTCCATCTCTCACAATCCTTTGATGCAACAATTCAACTAGCACCCGCTGCACACGGAACGATCTCATCGCTCCATCTGCTCGGTGCATGCCATCTCAGATGCGTTCCATCCCTTGGCTGCCGCTCTGTTATATTTCTTGACCAGCTTCCATGATCCCTTCTAGCCGTGACGTGTCCTGCCCAAGCCCAGTAGTGACTTTCCCAGATATGGTTAAACTGTAAGACCATGGTTAATTTGTCATTTCATTATTACAAGTGTAAAACTAAATATTTCATTATTTGTGGCATACACACTCTGTACCATCAACTCTTATAGTTCAGAGCTCCTTAAACGGTTCCATTTTATCAGCTCAATGGGTGATCAGCTGCTGGCATTCTTCTAGTTTCTCAACAATGCCATGATATTTGCTGTCTAATCTGGTTTGACGATTATTATTATTATTATACATTGCTATGATGTCTATGAAATTACTGCTTAAAGAGAATGCTGAGACTAAAGTGATTCTGTGACTTGGTTTTTGTTCATTGTGTTCGACAGTCACAACGCTCTGTCCACAACTAGGCAAGATGATGTTCCAAGACCACAGGCAGGTGCGCTTAACATTTGACAATAATTACACAGTTTGCATTATTTGGACATATAGCTGTATATTGGTGTCCAAATGTAATCCGTCACACTGAAGCAGGCAAGTGGGACTTCTCAAGTATTTTTATGGCATCGAATTGCAACACTGATGCCTCTTCCCAGTGCTGCTCACTCTTAAGTGTGTAGACACAGGCGCAGATTAGCCCAACGCAGTCAAAGAAAATAAACAGCCGAGACGCGACTTGCCATTTCACTCTCGGAACACTTCAGTGACGAGTTGCCACGGCTGCCATCATTATTGCCGGATCTGAATCAGTTTAACCACCTTCCATACTTAACCAGAGCTGGCTCCAGTGACTTCCATCTGTTTTTACAGTCACGAATATATTTGTCGAAAACAGCAGAGTTCTAGTCTTAATGAGGCATGGTGTGCTGCAGACAAGTGATTTGAGCCAGATATGTAAAGCAGTTGAACACGGATGTTCCAAGTGCATTCAGAGTGGCCAAGTAGAGAATAATAACCCAGCTTATTTGGTTTCCTCATTGGTCGCTGTTTCAGGGCACAGATCGTTTTCATCACCCCTCATATTGTGAAACATATACCCCAAAAAATGTAAACTATTTGGCCTCTGGGAATTCCACACATCTGGCATGCAGTTTGGCATGTTGAAAAATAACGTTGATATTTGGTGTAAATGTTCTCCCGTGTTCACGTTTGTTGGTGGCTTCATGTACAGATCAGTGTGGCTGACCTGCCGGGATTGATAGAGGGAGCCCACGCCAACAAAGGGATGGGACATCATTTCCTCAAGCACGTGCAGAGAAATAAAATACTGCTGTTCGTGGTGAGTTTGGCGGCAGTCACATTTCACTACATTTGCATAGATGCCACTCCTGAATCTGTTCCCATGAGCCTCACACATGTACGTTATGACTCCTTAATGTACTTCTGTCTGGCTTTATGAGCCGGCTGCCTGGTTGCGCTCCCCGTAGTGAGGCGCTCCAGTACATCTGACACCCGTGCAACCACTAAGGGCGCGACGGACGATGGTTTATTTAATTACTTTTTTATTTCGAACCTAAGCCTATGAAAGCTGTATTTGGAGGTTTTCAAGGTGCCGTCTGCCTCCGCTGCTTTGCACGGGCTCCCTTGTATCGCCGCAGGTGCGTCTGTCACGCAACGGCTGAAGGCCTTCATCTGGAGTCTTGCATAAAGCGAGTCAAAAACGAAGTGAAATGACGCAAATCGTATTGACGCAGACAGACGCGGTAAAGCGTGCGAGGACCTTCTGGTAGGGAGACGCTTGATGGCGACGCGTGGCGGTTGAGCCGCGGCACTCACGGCCGGGCGCTCCCTGTGACTCGCTGTGATGGACTCGCTGTGATGGGGTCGCTGCGATGGGGTCGCTGCGATGGGGTCGCTGCGATGGTGTCGCTGCGATGGGGTCGCTGCGATGGGGTTGCTGCGATGGGGTCGCTGCGATGGGGTTGCTGCGATGGGGTCGCTGCGATGGGGTCGCTGCGATGGGGTCGCTGCGATGGACTCGCTGCGATGGGGTCGCTGCGATGGGGTCGCTACCATGGGGTCGCTGCCATGGGGTCGCTGCGATGGGGTCGCTGCGATGGGGTCGCTGCGATGGGGTCGCTGCGATGGGGTCACTGTGATGGGGTCGCTGCGATGGGGTCGCTGGTCTCGAGAGCCGTGCCCAGCAGGGGGCTCGGTGCCGTACTCCCTCGGCGCGCGGCCATCGTGGCGCTCGCCGAGTCGAGAGTTGGAAAGCAAATTGAGCGCTGCCTCCGTGCCGGCCATCACGCACGCAGTCAACTTGTGCTTTGCAATTTCGTAATTTTGATGGAAGCAAAATAAACCGGCACCAACGAGTGTGTAAATTAGGATGCAATGTAGCGTGTGGGACCTTTTTCTCTGCAGGTTGACGTGTTTGGATTCCGTCTGTCACCAAAAACGCATTTCAGGGATGCTTTTCAGACCGTCCAGCTGCTCGTCAAGGTGTGTGTAGTTGGTATTTTTCCATCCATTGATTTTCAATACCTTTTTTGTATCTAGCCGTGTTCTCTTGTGATAACACATTATTTACATTGTAGTGTTTCATAATTTTATTCGATAAACAGTTAAAGTAAAATTTTTTTTTTTATGAGAAAGAGGGGGTTTGAGTGTGTAAGTATATGAGGTCACAGGTAAGTGTGAAAAATATTTGAAAGGTTTTTAAAGATAGAATAGTTATTGACTTAAACGTTTGCGTAAGTTTTTGTTTCCCATTTTGGATGGGATTGAGACATTGCTGCGTGATTGAGGTTTTTCATTTTAGTGGTGTTTCTATCCACGATATGATTTAAAATGTCATGATGTGACAATAATCGTGATATAAGTTAGACTTAAATGTTTAATTTGTATTAAAAAAATTATTGTATTTCTATTTGCACATTGTGTTTTGAACCCGTACCTGGATTTTAATCCTGGCCGCTGCTGTTTCTATTGGTGAGTCATGTCTGAACATTTTCACCTACCAAATTTGCAATGACCGAAAGATAAGCCCTTATCAGGAACTGTCCCTGGGCCTAAAATATTTCTTAAAATAATAATTAGGGAAGGCTGAAGACATCGTCAAAGAAGAGACGATAATGAGACCAAGGATTAGAAGCAGAAGACAGCTTGGTGCAGATATTGTGACTGTGAGAATAAATGACAGCACTAATGTCACAAAAGGCAAAGATGAACAAAGACCCTAATGAGACACTTCGCATGACCAGGTATCTGGGAATGAGAAACTGTTCCACCTGGGGATGCTTTGTGTTGTGCTGCAGGAGCTGGAGCTCTATGACCCAGATCTCCTGGGCAAAGCAGCTGTGTTGGCTGTGAATAAAATGGACCTTCCTGGTGCACAAGAGAAGTATAAACAGCTTTGCCATCAGTTGATGCATCCACAAGGTAAATACATTTGAAGGTTCTGGAACTTGGTAATGTAAATATGAGTAACGTTGTCTTCATCACGGCATTAGGGTGGTGTATTGGTAAGATGTGTACCTCACAGCAACAAGGGCCTGGATTCGATTGCCACTGGAGTTTTATGTTGTTCTGCATGGGTTCTACCAGTTTCCTCCCATAGTTAAATTTTTTTTTAACTGGTTTAGTGTAATAGCGCCAGCTGGTGGGCAACAGCGGCAACTGTGGTGGACAGACGGTGCACATGCCGGTGAGGGCGTGTGAGCACGGTGTGTGGGCAGAGTGGAGGAACTGGGGCAAGAGTCACGGAGGGTCCTGTCTGGAGGGCCCTGGAACCTGCTGGCGGGTTCCAGGAGGGAGGCGCGGTCAGGGCGGAGCCAGGCCGCTGAACGTCTCCGCTAGACGCTGCGCTACAAAGGAGAGCAGTTGGCTATCTCAGTCAGCGCCATCAGTGTTAGACGGCCGCTGGTGTGTACAGGCTGGGCTGAGCTACTGTGGAGAGTGTGCAGACGAGACCGTCGTGAAAGAAACTCTGTCTCTGAATCATTGACACTACACTGGTATTGGCCAATCATCCCAGTGCTGAAAAATTACCTGTAAATTACTCAGTTCGGATGACACAGAGAAATAGAGCCTGCAACTGCTAAAATTTGGCCGGCTTTATTGGGTAAACACGGGAAATGATTTAGATTTAAAGCTTTCGTGACTGCAGTGATTCAACTCCTTGGTTCTTTCGGTAAAGTCACGTAGAAGGGAAATAATAAAAATAAAACATAATAAAATAATTCTCAAAAACGTTTCGGCCACAACGCAAGCAGCCGTCCTCAGGTGAAGAACAGGTCTGTTGGAAAGACAGCGTCTGAATGAGCACCACCATGCTTGGCAGCGTATATTTAAGCTGGGTTGGAGGGGGAAGGGCGCTTTGACAAAGGAATTTGCATATCAAGAGGAATTTATCATATTTATGGGAAAGCAGATATGGGATTAGTCACTACTTGTGGAATGCATAGGAGGTGGGGGGGGGGGGTTTCAAAGTCATATTATGCCCGTATTATTCACCTGTAGATGGCTGCTTGCGTTGTGGCCGAAACGTCGTGAGAATTATTTAATGATTTTTTATTATTTTATTATTTCCCTTCTACGTGTCTTTACCGAAAGAACCAAGAAGACGGGTAATGATGTATAATAATTGTGCCGGTGCACCACTGCTAACACAGCAGCATCACCAAACAATATGTGTAATCATGAGTAGTGGTCTTTATCCACGTGCTTATGTTGTACCTATATTCTTGGGTCTTTGGGTAAAGTCACGTAGATAGGTTCAAAGAAAATAACAAAAAACTACGACGTTTCGATCGCAACACAAGCGGTCGTCTTCTTTGAACCTATCTACGTGACTTTACCGAAAGACCCAATAATATTAATTCCTGCAGTCACGAAAGCGTTAAGTCGAGATTTATGTTGTACCTGTTTATCATTCACTGACTGTGTGTGTGTGCTGCAACAGACTTCCTGTCCCTGCTGCCTGCAGGAATGGTACCGGTAGAGCGCTTCCCTTTTGAGCACGTGTTGCCTGTGGCGGCGGTGCAAGGCACGGGCGTGGAAGAGTTGAAGATTGCAGTGCGCAAGGTTCTCGATGAGCAGCAGGTGGAGGCGGTGATGAAGGCGCGTGAAGAGAAGCAGCGGCAGCTCAGGACCGGCCTCAGGCCGTCCCTGTGACACCCGCCCGCTGTTTCACTCATCTCAACCCACCCCTTCGACCTCCACATAAAATTAGGAAGTAGCAAGTTTGTGTGGGGAGCGATAGTGCAGAGGTTCGCGTACTACGCTACGAACCCGGCAACCCGAGTTTGATTCCCGCTCATGGCTAACACCAGTGATGATTATCTGAATTTGTTGTGGGCCTCCGCTTGGTCTACTCAGCCTCAAATGAGTACCTGGTACGATGTGTAAACATCACTATCACGGAGACAAAGGCGGCCTGGCATGGTGTTGATCACCGACCCACTCGTGTGCTGTTCCGTCCTTCATAGGTGCTTGCTAACAGCACTTGCCCAAAAAGTCTGTTAAGGCTATGCAGGGGATCTTTGTCTTGTTGTTGCTAGGATGTACAAGTGCTTGGTGCCTGATTTTGATAACGACTATTCACTTGACATTTTTTAGCCCATTAACTTTCACTTGTCATTTGCTCTTTGTGTCCCAGCTGTCGAATATGCATTGTTCTATGTACTTGCCCAATATCGATCATATATATGGATCATAATGACTGATTCACATTCCCATGATGTTCTAAAATTGTTAGAAGAATAAAGATGTCACTCTTCACCCCCCTTGGGCTTCAATAAATTGTTGCGACTCCGGGTTGGGAGGTGATTTTAAAATTCTTGGAGCGCCCTCTAGTGGTTGGAGAGGTCACGTGACCCCATTACATACAACATATGAATGGAAAAAAATATTCTTGCACACCATTTAATGCATGTGTACGAGCCGAAGATGAATCGATGTATTCAGGTAAAATGCTGGAATTGAGCACATTGGATGCTTTGTTGACGTCCCTAAAAACTGAAAATCCTTTTTTTAAACGTTGAATCTCAACAAATGACAACATCGTCTGTGTTAAATGTACATCGTAGTAGTTGATTGGTTTCACTCCTAGGGCTTCAACCCTCTTCATAAACGCTTACATCTGTATAATCCCCGTCCTCGGTGTACCAAATAAATTACCTCCTGTGGAGTGAAACAAAAGCTAAAATGCAGAAATATCCCACTCCCATTTACTACCATACAAATGCATACCGTGCTTACTCGGTACAATTCACGATTTACACTGGCAGCGGTGAAAAGCACACTTCAAAATATATCGCCAATATTCGTTATGAGCTCTGCCTTAACACCTGTACAGAATGTGATTAGCCGACGTTCTAAAGAAGGGCCATTGATCAAAACGTCTCATCCTTGTCTCCAGGGTGTACAATGCAAAGTGATGGAATTTAAAATCAGCAATCAGCTCCTCCATCACTTGGGAGTCATCATTTCTTAGTGTCACGATGGGTTCCGTAAAGCACATTCTGCAAGTGACCTGTATGCATATGTGACACATGCTTGGAGCTCAAGCCTTGAACATTTTGGAACATCCGTGACCATACTCCTTGCCATATCTAAAGCATGTTTGATCGTGTCTGACATCCGGCACTGATGCCATGCTACCATCATGTGCAGTCTACTCCAATATGCAATCACCATGGCTCTGGAATCGCGTCGTTGTGGACAGTCAACGAAGACTTTGATCTCGTGTGGGTTATGACGACCTTGCCTACAGTGCCTTTGATAACAAACAAAAAATGTCCACTTTTAATAAACGTGAAACTGCATGTTGCCTGGTGACATGTGCGCCGAGTGTCATGGGAGTGTATCCTGTGCTACTGGCTCAAGGTACGAGAAGAAATGGGCTTCGTAAGAGTGGCAGGAGTCGGCGACACTGATGTCGCTCGTGTGTTGTCCCATTGATGATGACGCACACCTCTTAGATGTCGAGTATGACCTCAGCGTTCAGTGCTGTGGAATGGTTCGTGTTGTTCACGAATTTATCCTGAGACCGTGTCACGCCAAGCAGCCCATCATCCTGTCTCAGAAAAGCGACGGGACTACTCGTAGCATGCCTCGCCACCTCTTGTCCCACACGAGGAAGCAGCAACTTCCCACCTGCCCTGCCACAAGTGGTAATGCTCGCTGCATATCAGCGAACGTAATATATTTAATTCCCAGAGCTGTAATGCATACAAATGTTTGGAGTGCAATACGAATGTTGCTTGTTGAAGTTGTTGGTAATGAGGCTGAGACCAAATGCCAACACAGCAGCGAGAATCACGGACAGCTCCCCACATTCAGCTCCAGATGAGCGGCGTGAGCGCAGTGGCTCCCAGCCACCTGTGCCCACCCCACCGAGATGTTGAAGAAGGGACATTGTGAGCGCAGTGGTTCCCAGCCACCTGTGCCCACCCCACCGAGATGTTGAAGAAGGGACGTTGTGAGCGCAGTGGCTCCCAGCCACCTGTGCCCACCCCACCGAGATGTTGAAGAAGGGACATTGTGAGCGCAGTGGCTCCCAGCCACCTGTGCCCACCCCACCGAGATGTTGAAGAAGGGACGTTGTGAGCGCAGTGGCTCCCAGCCACCTGTGCCCACCTCACCGAGATGTTGAAGAAGGGACATTGTGAGCGCAGTGGCTCCCAGCCACCTGTGCCCACCCCACCGAGTTGTTGAAGAAGGGACATTGTGAGCGCAGTGGCTCCCAGCCACCTGTGCCCACCCCACCGAGATGTTGAAGAAGGGACATTGTGAGCGCAGTGGCTCCCAGCCACCTGTGCCCACCCCACCGAGATGTTGAAGAAGGGACATTGTGAGCGCAGTGGCTCCCAGCCACCTGTGCCCACCCCACCGAGATGTTGAAGAAGGGACGTTGTGAGCGCAGTGGCTCCCAGCCACCTGTGCCCACCTCACCGAGATGTTGAAGAAGGGACATTGTGAGCGCAGTGGTTCCCAGCCACCTGTGCCCACCTCACCGAGATGTTGAAGAAGGGACATTGTGAGCGCAGTGGCTCCCAGCCACCTGTGCCCACCTCACCGAGATGTTGAAGAAGGGACATTGTGAGCGCAGTGGCTCCCAGCCACCTGTGCCCACCTCACCGAGATGTTGAAGAAGGGACATTGTGAGCGCAGTGGCTCCCAGCCACCTGTGCCCACCCCACCGAGATGTTGAAGAAGGGACATTGTGAGCACAGTGGCTCCCAGCCACCTGTGCCCACCCCACCGAGATGTTGAAGAAGGGACATTGTGAGCGCAGTGGTTCCCAGCCACCTGTGCCCACCCCACCGAGATGTTGAAGAAGGGACATTGTGAGCGCAGTGGCACCCAGCCACCTGTGCCCACCTCACCGAGATGTTGAAGGGACATTGTGAGCGCAGTGGCTCCCAGCCACCTGTGCCCACCCCACCGAGATGTTGAAGAAGGGACATTGTGAGCGCAGTGGCTCCCAGCCACCTGTGCCCACCCCACCGAGATGTTGAAGAAGGGACATTGTGAGCGCAGTGGCTCCCAGCCACCTGTGCCCACCTCACCGAGATGTTTAAGAAGGGACATTGTGAGCGCAGTGGCTCCCAGCCACCTGTGCCCACCCCACCGAGATGTTGAAGAAGGGACATTGTGAGCGCAGTGGCTCCCAGCCACCTGTGCCCACCCCACCGAGATGTTGAAGAAGGGACATTGTGAGCGCAGTGGAGACGGCGACTGCGCCAGCCGGTGTGGGGTTCCGCGTGTGCTCCTACAAGGACACTGGAGCCAAGACGAGCACTGTACAAGCTTTATTGATGTGGAATGCGGCCGCACGTGTCCATGCACCATATTTACATCCATTTCACGCGGACGGCAGAGCAGAGGAGACATGCTCACAGAGCCTCTGGCCATCCATTCAGTTTAGCCGCAATGGAATGTGTCGGTAACACAACACTGTGTCGTGGCTACACAATTTTGAGCAGGAAACGGTGTTAATGAAACTGTGTTTTAAATGTTAACACTCAAAAGTGTTGTACGCATACAGTCCTGCTTACTGATTTAATACTGAATCGACGTATACGTATTGCGTGTAAAGCTGTCTAACAGCACTGGTAGGCCTAGCACATGTAAGAAGTTTATATTTGGTATTTAGTACAGAATTATACCATGCAGAATAAATTAAGCACAAGTACTGTATACAGAATGACAGTAAGCCAAGTCGTCTCCACTTGTAACACTTAACAACTGTTGTGCAATATTGAATTCTTCAGCTCCCAGGAGCTGTTTCACGTCTCGAGGCAGATGGCAGCAGTTCAATGGAGAGTCCAAGGCAGTGGACTGGATTCTGCTGTGCAGCGTTTCGCGGGGCCCCACGAGTCACCGATTAGACACTAGACACAGCCGCGCGACGGGTGAAGGCGTTCTGAGACACGAGGCTGCTGGCTCTAGCGGAGTCGTGGCATCGGCGCCCTCGGCTGAAGAATGTGAATGCGTCGCCGTGCAGAGTGAGTCGGGTTCTTGTGCCAACAACACGCTTCGCTCACACGTTCATGGAAACCGAACGAACCACACTTTTGCTGTGGCCAATAAACCTTTTCACAATCGCGTCCGTGTAGTCCACTCTCTTAAATATTGAGCTCCACCAAGGTTGTTTTCATTGATGATATTTGCGTTGAGGGCATTATTGTGGTTATGTATAGGTTATGTCAATGGCAAGCCTATGAATATGTTAACATGCGAATGTTTATGTAATATGTGCATGCTAATATGGAATTTAATATAAATTATGCTTGTTTTGAATATAGTCATACAATATGATATGTGAATAACCCAAAAGCAGATGATATATTTTGTGTAAATTAAATTTACTGACTGCATTTGGTATATGTTTTGTAAATAATTACAGTAAATGTATCCAAGCTTAAAGCTGACATCATTAAAGATTGTGTAACTATTGGTTCTGCAAGTTGACGTTTGCTATTTTATTTGAACTGAACACAAGTAGAATCGTCCATATACCGAAACATATTTTACACCCTTAATGATTAATTATTAGTAAACCATGTACTTGTTCAGCAAGTGCCCAGATGCACTACAGCCGTATTGTTGTAGCCTTCAGTGAGTCGATGCCAATGCAAGAATACAGCAGTACTGGTGTGAGTCGTTTTGCGTCATTTAGATGATAACTAATCGGTTAATGAAAGTGCGTGGTGGTTATTTCTTACAATATCGAGTCTGTTATTGCTGAGACCGCAAACATTCGAATTGTATTGATATTTACCATGCACTGAATTGTGTGTTTTATTAAACCCTCCTGCCCTGGCAAGTCCCTGGATTCGCCACTGGCTCCCAACGTGGGTGTTGGTCGCACCGTACAGAGAGGTTCATAAAGAGCAACTGTGAACTCGGTTCATCCCACAGTCTGTGCTGGGTCGCAAGTGCCAGCAGATGTTTGGCAAGCTAGGAGCATATTTTCCATCAAGCTAGGAGTTTTAGCCGCCTCGTTAAGGGGCGCAGAGGGACGTGTGAGCACCCACCCAGGTGCAGACTCTGCAGCCTTGCTCCCCGAATGCACCTTGATTCATGTACACACTCGTGGTTCACGTGATTCATTGGTACCGAAGCCAACAGCAATATGTGTATATGATTCGCTTCCATTGATAGATTCAGTGCAAATTAACAAATCTCATCGCATAAAATGTAACCAGCACTTGCCATGCAATAACATATTAAGACTATGTACATATTTATACAAGTTGCAATATTATATATTC